CCCTAACCCTAACCCTAACCCTAACCCTAACCCTAACCCTAACCCTAACCCTAACCCTAACCCTAACCCTAACCCTAACCCTAACCCTAACCCTAACCCTAACCCTAACCCTAACCCTAACCCTAACCCTAACCCTAACCCTAACCCTAACCCTCAAGAGTTGAGGAGCACCTTCCCAATGCTTCATCGTTGGGAGGCAGATATCCAAGTAAGATGGGTTACAACTCCCTTTACTCAGATCAATAGAGCATCACGGAAGCTATTCTTGGATAGAGCCGTTGTTTGTTGTGACAAAAAAGCTATAACAACCTTCGTACGTTGATACTCCACAGCCTACTTCAGCGATATTCAGCCTTTGTTGTCTTGTCGGTCTGGTTCCACTAGGCCATCAGAAGACAGAATCTTGACAACTTCCGTATGGCCTCGAGATGCTGCCAGACTCAGCGCCGTTTGGCCAAATTTGTCTTGTCGCTCTGCATCAACCTTCCCCTCACGTAACAGAGTCTTAACAACCTCTGTATGGCCTCGAAATGCTGCCAGACTCAGCGCCGTTTGGCCAAATTTGTCTTGTCGCTCTGCATCAACCCTCCCCTCACGTAACAGAGTCTTAACAACCTCTGTATGGCCTCGAAATGCTGCCATGCTCAGCGCCGTTTGGCCAAATTTGTCTTGTCGCTCTGCATCAACCCTCCCCTCACGTAACAGAGTCTTAACAACCTCTGTATGGCCTCGAAGTGCTGCCAGACTCAGCGCCGTTTGGCCAAATTTGTCTTGTCGCTCTGCATCAACCCTCCCCTCACGTAACAGAGTCTTAACAACCTCCGTATGACCATTCTCTGCAGCCAAACTCAGCGCCGTGAGGCCAAAATTGTCTCGTCGCTCTGCATCAACCCTCCCCTCACGTAACAGAGTCTTAACAACCTCCGTATGGCCTCGAAATGCTGCCAAACTCAGCGCTGTGAGGCCAATCTTGTCTCTTCTCTCTGCATCAACTCTCCCCTCACGTAACAGAGTCTTAACAACCTCCGTATGGCCTCGAGATGCTGCCAGACTCAGCGCCGTTTGGCCAAATTTGTCGTGTCGCTCTGCATCAACCCTCCCTTCACGTAACAGAGTCTTAACAACCTCCGTATGGCCATCCTCAGCAGCGTAACTCAACGGCGTTCGACCTTCGTTATCTCGTTGGTCAGGATCAATATCCTGCGCTATAGTCAAGAGCTCCTTGACTAGATTATTGAGCCCATATAGGGCAACTAAGTGAAATACATTTTGAGATGGCTTCAAATACTCTGAACTTAGCCTTTCGTCATAAAAGAACCGTGGCTGTCTGATCTTGGAAAATCTAGCACAAAGCTGCACCACCATACTGACCCACCCTGGATTTGTCAGTAAGTTAAGAAGTCGAGGAATGCAGGCCGAACACGCAGATGCATGATGTCCCCAGTAGTCAACAGAGTAGGAGAAGAGTGGTTTTTCAAGTCGTTCACGCGCCTCCTTAATCGTCCTGACTGGGCCATCTGAAAAGTCCTTGAACAACAGGTATGAAACGCAGGTATTTGCAATATCGTGGTGAGGGTCCGTAAACCACCGAGTCAAAGTGTGCTGGAAGTATTCCTGAAGTGTATAGTGGACAAGCCGGATGATTTCGCTTTCTTTGTCGATCACAACAAGCCCGCAACATACTGAAACCATGTTTTCGGCTTCAGGAATTGCGGCTTCATCGATTCCGTCCTCGCTATCCTTAACAGCCCATGCATACTGAACCTCTATCGTTTTCAGAGGACGTTTGGCGCAGATAATCCAAGATAGCACATGGTTGGCAAGCTCCTTGTAATCAGCCGGTTGCCCATTGATTCTCTCCATTACGTCGTCATATGCCAGGCGTAATAGGGCAAGCTTTGACTCCTTTTCCTGGGCGCATTTTCGAAGCTTGTTCAGTGTTTCACGGATGCGCTTTGCGCTAACTTTATGCTCCAAGGACTCGATGAAGAGGCGAGCGAGTAGGAACCTAAATTTGTAAGCAAACATATGCTCAATTCGATCAATAACCCTTTGTTCATCGAATACTGATAACTTACATGCCATCTGCGACACTGGCAATGCAATCGATGATCTCATCTTGGAGGTCCCGATATTTTGAGACAGCGCGCAAGTTGGGCATTTTATTGCGCATATATCGCTCGATATCGTCCCTTTGGGCCACTATCTCAAGTCGGGAGTACCCATCAAAGGCTTCCACAATATCAGGTACAGGCCGGGATGTGGCGAGGATGTTGACATTCCTATCCCTAGATTGAAGGCGCAGCAATGCTTCGATGAATTCGGAACGAATATTGTCGCTCATTTGACATTCGTCCAGTGCATCAACAATAACAAAGACCCCGTCCTTGTACCGTGCGGCAACAGTATGGAACATCTCCTCGAGATCGCTCAACGATGGCTGTGATTTATACTTTTTATGTCGAGTATAGGCATCCATGACTGCAGGTGGTGGTGGAAACTTGTTGCTGAATATTTGCTTCACGAGGTTGGCAATGAGCTGCTCTACGGTTTGATCGTTTACGCGCCGGAAGTTACAGTAAAGGTATGCAATGCCAACGTCACGGTCTCCCGATATCCTTTGGAGATGATCAATGATGATCGATACAAGAATAGTCTTCCCAGCACCAGGTATGCCTGGACAGAAGAGAGTCACTGGCTTTTTTGACAACCTGGTAGCTTTGTTAGCTTAGAAGAAAAAGGAATAGGATATGGTTGAAAAAACAAGGACCATACCATTCCCGAAACTGAGGAGATTCTAGGAACCACTGCCCTGTGCCTTCTTGTCGTTGGCGAAGGAAACCAGCTTGTTGAATAGAATAGTCCACTGAAGCCAGTGAGGACAGCCAGTCAAGGATTTTTGCATCTTTTTGGTCTTCTGGAACTTATGTCAGCTCAAAAAACGGCCACAAGGCGATTACTCGCAAAAAGGCTAGATCAAGGTTCGGACAAACCTGCTTGGTGGAGTTTGATAACACCAAAATTCTGCGCGACCTGGATACCAGTACCGTTCAGGTCTCCAAAGTGGGACATTTTAAAGAGTAAGTGCTTTCCAGTTATTTTTACTTTTTACTCCCGAGCTTTATGTTCCGGTATTGGGCTAAAGCACGAGGACTAGTGGAGTTCCAACTATTTCCCGTGGGCTGGAAAAGAAGCAGGACTTCGAAAGTTGAATCCGATATCTAGTTGCACGTACTGTCAATAATGAAGGAGGCACGATGAAGACAGAAAGAAGGAAAGAGGGTCATGTAGAAAGCTCGCTCGTGTAGTAAGAATAATGGCGAAGATATCAGATCCGGACGAGACAAATCTTAACTCCAACGTAAGCAGGATGCAAGAAGGCCTTTGGGAACGGTGCAGCCAGAAGGCTGTTCAAAAATGTGATTATATATATGCCCAACCAACCTGACATAGTGAAAGTGCGGGGTAAGGCTGAGTCAGAGTTAGCATGCTTCACCCGCGGCAGAATTCTTGCGCTCTGATTCGCGATAAGCTTATCTCCAAAAGGCTAGCGGGATCGTTACACTAAGACCGTCATTGTAATTCGCCTTGACTACAATATATAGACATGTATTTTTGTGGAAATGTATATGCAAAAGTGGCCTAACCCTCTTCCTAAGGTCATTAATGTCTCACACAACGAACACGGGCGTTATGGTTGGTAATGGGCTCGGCGGCTGCCCAACAGATGGCGTAGGAGGGGACCAATAGGTAAATTTCAAACGGTAGGCAGACTGACATCTTCGAAATATGTATATAGAATTACCCATCCCCAGAAACGTGACGAGGACTCTCCAGTCAGCAATAGAACCAGTCATCAGCCAACAACTAGTGACCACAGTGAATCCCATACTCTACTGTTCGAGGACCCTCAGCCCATCAGGTTCTACAACCTGGCCACTACCTTCGAATCCATCTCAGGACGTTGTGGAATCGTCACAGCGGGCCCAATCATTGAATTTGTCAACTTGATAAATCGTTCATCAGCTCCTTGTTCCAATTGGTGCAAAATGTTGGCCTGCTCTTGAGCGTAATCTGTTAAGACCTATACCAAAGAGAGCTAGTATGAATTTTTCGATCAACCGCATCACCTTTTTGGACTAGATAATCCAGATCGGATTTTATTGTGTGCAGCGCTGACGAAACCTTTTTGACACCCGACTCAAATTTCATGGTCCGCTGCTCAAGAACTTGGAGACTCTGAGATTGAGTGTCACACGGACACGGCAGTCCAAGGAAAGGGATATCCCGAACGCTAATACAAGAGACACCATAAAATGATTGTGAACGATACAAATACGTGGGTGATGCCGGAAGATATATGGAGCCACACGGCCGAATGAGCCAGATGACCGAGGCAGGAGGACGAGACCTCTGAAAGCCTGGTAGGCCGAGGCACTCGCGAGGGCAAGGGGATTCCATAAAGGAAGCTGCCAGGACACAATGAAGGTCTTCTCTTGGTTTTTCCTCTCCCTAACACAAGGACACTGAAGACCAAGAAAGATTATTACACATATTAACTGACTTCGTTGTGCACTCCACATCGTCAGTGGCTATCATCTAACCCATTTGACCCATTGTCGATCCCTGCCTGCACCAGACCAAGTCAACTGTTACAGCAGAGGCCCAACGACTCATCACGAACAGGAACTGCGATGCCAAAAGTTTTATCAACTTCCTAGGCTCCGGCAGACTCCCATCCTCGGAGCAAGGCTGCCCTGGTGTTGCCCAGCTGCCGTGGGATTTGCTCGATGTATAAGAAAATGGTGAATGTGGCTGGGAGTATTTACTTGGGCGTTTCCCTGCAGAACACGCGGCCCTGAGAAAATCTGTCAAGCACAATGGGTACCACAGAATAACAACGCTTTACCTTCTAAACTTCACACACATGAGGGTGGATGCGCATGGCTCTTATATAAGGTCAAGCGTGCACCTGGCCTCAGTGGAGCCCGGGCTGACCGAGGTAGGTCAACGGTGACCACACCGTGGTCACTTGCAGCTAACAGAGCCGGTCGAAAATAGAATTCAAATTTAAACTCAAACTCAGGATCGAACGGCCGTTGACCAAAATGCACGATGGCCTGTCGTCCGAGGAACCCTTTCGCCACTTGAGGATGCGGCCCCAATCTGTGGTGGAGGTTGCGGTGGCGACTCGTTTTCTGTGATAATTCGTTCTTGCCCGCTTGCAGACCTTCCTGAAAATCAAAGGGCCTGTATCTCGGGACACTTGGAGGACCTTTGACCACCAGGGCGCGCTCTTAGTATTGGGGGGAGGGGGGCCGCAAGGCGCCCTACCACTCAGTCCTTTCATGGCGTCAAAGACCGTTTAGACGAAGTCTTCCAGTTTTTGGGGGAGTGGATTTGACATGGTCGTGGGATGAAAGCCCCTAGTAGGGCATCTGCCTCGGCAAACCGGCTTCTTCTAGGTAGAGATCTCAGGGGTGACAAAGGAACGGGGAGCACTCTATCCAGGGACACTACGAAGGTTCTGTGATCCATGGCCCAGTGGGCGAACTCTGCAAAGGCACTGGCTGGCCCGAAAGCCAAATCCAGTGCTCCGCTGGCTTGGTGTGCAGGATCCGGGTAGTTCAGAACATGGAGGCCGTGGGAGGACCCCCAGACGGCTTGCATGTCCCCTCTAGAAAGGATCAGGTGTGGATAATTATGATTTAACTATAGAATAGACAGGTAGTCAAGAACGAAAAGGTCTTAATGCTCACAGCCTAGCATCGCTTCCATGCAAAATTCAACTACCGTCTTACTTATAAGGCAACTATTGTCCGCTCGGGTGCAGCATGGTTTCATTGGTCCTACCATACCTTGTTGACAGCAGGGTTGGCCCAAGTCATCCAATGCATGCAGGGCCCGTTATCGGGTATGCAGAAACCCTGTTCCTTTGCTACCTGCAATTCTTGGGCATGGGACAATTATTGTTGCCTAGGCAAACACCATGAATATTAAAATGTGTGCCGAGTCCTCATGATGATGATGGGTGCTCTCCGGGAACCACAGCACAAAATGCGCTTATATTATGCTACTGTAGCTCTCGGCCAGCTGGCTGCCGCAAGCCGGCCCGGTCAATGCATAACCCGTGACGTTGCCATTATCGGTGGCGGCGCTTCAGGTTCGCATGCGGCTGTCTGGCTCCGAGACCACGGCTACAGCATCGTTCTTGTCGAAAAAAATAACCGTCTGGTGAGTGCTGCGGCAAACCACAAAAGATTTCACAGGCTAACAGCTCAAGGGCGGTCACTCTCACGATTACCATGACCCCGAGACTGGCCTGGATATCAACGTGGGCGTGCAAACCTGGGTGGACTACCAGGGCTCCTTTGCCTTTCCTGAGCGAATGAACGTAACAATCGTTCCTCAAGCCCGCGGTCCACCCAACACGGAGTTCTATGTCAACCCTAAGACAGGCCAACTGGTACCTGACTGGGTCCCGCCAGACAATGCCGAAGTGACAGCGGCACTGCAAAGGTTTCTGGACGCTCTGATGCCGTATGAGCACATGGTTCACCCTGGCTACTTCAACTTTCCTCCACCGAACCAGATTCCCGAGGACCTGTTGATGCCGTTCAAGGACTTTGTCAAAAAGTACAACTGCTCGGCGGCGATTCCCCGGCTGTGGGACTCTACCGCTTCAGGGGTCGGCGACACGATGAACGTCCCCACGCTGTATGCTCTTCAAGGCTCCGGCTATATTATGGCTCGTACATTCCTTGGTCAGGCTGCCTCGGGAGTCCCATCATCTGGCCGTGTTGCTGAGCTCTACGAAAAGGTGGCCGACTTCTTGGGTAGTGACGTTCTCTTCGAGACTATGGTCCTCACGACAACAAGGACTGCTAGGGGAGTTACGCTCCGTGTCAAAAACCCTCAGGGCAAGACGTCATGCATCGAAGCCAAGAGGTTACTCCTCGCCATTGAGCCGACGTCTCAAAACCTGTCCCCTTTCGACCTTGACAAGACAGAGCGGGACGTCTTTGGCAAGTTCAAGTTTCCTACTTCATATGTTGGCTTCCTTCGACACCCCTCCCTGCAAAATGGGTTCTCGTACGCCGTTCGGACCACAAGTCCCGAGTCGTATACCTATCTGGACTTCCCAACAGCTCCGGTTGTCGGCCGTCTCTACTACCTTTCCGGTACAAACGCCTTATATCGGTTTATCGCGGTTGGCACGGAGAAGGACACTTCCAACAACATCAAGAAAGTAATCTCCAAACATATAAAGGACATGATCGAGGCCGGGACGCTGCCACCTTCGAACGGCACTGTTGAGTACGCTGTGTTTGCGGACCACGGCCACATGCATGCCCATGTGACAGCCAAGGAGCTGCGTGCCGGCTTTATTCAAAAACTCTACTCGTTGCAGGGGCGCAAGAACACTTGGTACACCGGCGCTGCGTGGTCTGGTCAATTCTCGACGGTTTTGTGGAAGTTCAATGAAGAGTTGCTTCCAAGGCTTATCCAGGGGCTTTGAAAAGTGGTAATGTAGTGAAGTCTAGTTAGACACAGTTTAGGTAATTCAGTAACCCAAACAAGTCATCATTTTAGCTTGACCAATCTATTCTGGTTAATGTCTGTTGCCGATGAAGAATATGAGAGAGGGATTCTCTCACTACTCCCGCACACGGGCCAGCCATATATCATTGTTGGCCCAACCTCAAGAACTTCAGTTGCTTACACCAATTAATACCGCCCCACTCACGGCAAAAGGACGGCAAACACAATCCATTTTAGGAGGGCAAACAGGAACCTGAAAGGTTAGCAAAACGCCAAAGTGATCTTGGGATTTTCTTACGCAGAAATGCCCACAAGCGCGTAGCTCACTCGCTCTAATTGTTTCCCACGGATTCTACCAACATCTCAGAAGGAATAGAGCAGCAAGAAGAGTCACGGCAAGGGGAATTCTGAGACAGACAGCGGGAACAAAGGCGCGATATGGCTGCTTAAGATCGCGGCGTGTCCAGCGCAACTACAACAACCCAAGAGATGTAGCTGGCACAAAAAACTGGCCTGAGTAGCCTTTGATGTTCAGGATGAAGGAGTAAATGTTCTTGTATGGAATACAACTTGCAATAACAGATGGAATCCGACGGATGATAAGCCCCCCCCCTCCTCTTTCGAACCTGAGGGCTTGGACACGGCTCTCCAGAACTACTCTCCCTCCCCTCAACCGTGCAGCATAACAGACTCTCAATATCATATCAGTTTTCTCCCGCGCTGATTATTCCACCGGCGTCACCTGTAATTAATATATCTTAGATAGCTCTTGCCCGCCGGCCGTGGACACGACTTAGCACCCCCCAGTGGTGAAGCGGTCGGAAAACTAATAAATAAGATAAGCCCGCCCATCGGCGTGTTAAATGGCCAAGAAGACGAGAGCATTCTGCCAAAGGGGAGCAAGCCCTGGTGGCCAGTTTTGGTTCAGACGAACCTAATTTGTCAATAACGGCTTGATTCCCTCCTTGATATCGTTCAAGGACACAACCAGAAAGTAAGCCACGTCCAGACAGAGCCATCCCAGATGCCAGAACCAGAGTGTAAGCTAGCGGGCAATGGGTTAAGCCGAAATACAACGACAGCGACTGAGAAAAGAGTCATGAAAATCACCAAAGCGGTCTTGATCCATCCCAGAAAGTTTTGGATGGCAATGCCTGTTCTCAGGAAGCAGCCGCGGACAACAGTAACAGACGTTATGAAACCAACAGCCAGAACTCTGATTGCCAACACATGCTTCTCAGGGACTATTCGAGAACAAAAATGACGTACTCGCCAAATATGATGCAGTTGCTGGAGTTAAAGCTCAGGGCAATGGCATGAACATCGTAGATGGTCGACACAAGATATCGAGAGGCTGAGGATATGTGAACTCAAGGTAAACTTTGTCTCCTCCGGACCGCGGGAGCATGCAGCCGTACTCAAGGGACAACGATCAGCCCACACCAGCTGATGAAGCGCCAACAACCCACAACAACAAACTGAGGCCAATGCTACCGGTCGAGTTGACAACGGTGCTGAGAGTGGCAAAGATGCAGCTGCCGATGACTCTAATGATGATGAGGATAGGCACTGGTCCATCCAAGTGTACGATCTTCTATGGCAGTATGCTTCCCAGGCGCATAGATGGGGCCGAGGTTGGAGACTCAGGGCCGCAGTGGCCATCTTAGCGCACCTCAGCGAATGAGAGGTCTCGATATTTGGTCTTAGATCCATGATGGTTGTTCCAGGCTGCTGTTCGGAATCTGGGTGCTTAATTATTTATTCTATTTTCGACCGGTTCACCCCCGAGGGTGCCGGGTCGTGCCCACGACGCCGGCAGGCAAAAGCTACCTGAGTTGAACTAAATACAGGTAACGCTGGGAAAAAGCTGCATAGGGAAGCCGGATGCGGTTAGAAGTATTGAGGCGAAGGGGGGAGAGATAAGAATCTTTCGGTGGGAAGGTCAAGGGGCCGGAGCGTGGATGACGTGCTAAGGCATATTAATGACTAAATCTGATGTTACATAATGCCATGCGTAGATTAGCAATATCTGGAATGAACTCGACTTCTCGGATGGAAGGTCCACGGAAAAAACAACCAGTGAAGCTTATCGCTATCTAACAACGTAAAGAGAAGATATGAGAAAACAGTGGATGAAAAAAAGCAGACACCAAAGCATGTAGTAAGGTCAGGCGGAAAGAATCGGAAAAGAATGAATAGATAAGACAGAGAAGGAAAAAAGAAAAGTAAAAATAAGAAAAGCAGGAAAACAGAAACGGAGATTCAGAGTCTATGCTCAAAACTCTGTTCTCAGACCAAAATCTACCTGGAGACGGAGTCTAGCCAACTGCTGCAGGAAAAGGCTGAAATTTTTCGTCTCTATGCCCATCTAAGGGGACGATCAAAGTTTAGCGGAGCTTCACGATCAAATTATCAGCTATCCAACAGGCTTTGAAGATAACCATAAACATTGAAGCAACTACACCTCTATCGGCTAATGAGCAAACCGGAAATCCAACCGCTTGAGCCCCTCGTCCTTGGTATTCAACACATAGTCCTCCTGCTCCTGCGGCGTCATGGCATTCCACTTTCTTTCACGCACCTTATTCCGCCAAATATAAAAAAGCTTGACAAGGTAGAATTGCACAATGTTGTAACAAACAATTGCCAACAGGATCTTATTGCCGCGACGGTAAAGAGGCTGGTCATCTTCACGATAAATGTTGCTGGCAATGATGTTGCCGCTCTGCACAAACATGTTGTACAAGGCGGCCGAGACGGCACGAGTACGCACGGCGTTGCTGTTGCGGGCATTCCAGCCGACGAGGATGGCGTGGCAGTAGGGATACGACAACAAGCCGGTCAGCAGGCCGTAGCGAATCCAGTACGATGCGTCAGCCGGAAGCGTGACGAGGGCGATGAGCCACGGCAGCATCCAAATGTTCGAGAGAGACGAAATAATGGCGCGCTCCTTGAAGCGCTTCGACACCCAGGTGACGATGAGCAGATTGACTGCGAACAGGAACTGCGACGGGATTGCCAGAAGATTGGCATGGAAGACGGAGAAGCCGAGCTTGCGCAGGATATAAGACAGGTAAGTACCGGGGGGTGCAGGAGGGATGTAGGTGGTCAAGCCAATCAGGTAGAGAGGGAACATCTCCCAATCCTTGAGCGTCTTCCACAGCAGCCTGGGGGTAACACCCTGGCGGTTGTTCATGTCTCCCTTGCTCGGATCGTCGCGAAGCAGGCGATTGACGAGAATGTACTCCTCGCGCTCAGAGAACCAACCGTCCTTTCCGCGGAACCAGTTGCGTGTCTGACAGGGACCAGGCGGCATGAGACCCCACGAAAGTGTGCCAATGATGAGTGTCAGGAGACCCTCAAGCAGGAACAACCACTGCCACCCAGACCAGCCGTTTATGCCGCGCATTTGTAGAATGCCAGCCGCCAGCAGTGAGCCGACAATCTGGCAGGTACTGAGGGCTGTCCAGAAGAAAGCCAGACGTGTTGGCAGCTCATTCGACTTGTAAAAGTAGGTCAACCAGAGCACAATATCCGGGATGAAGCCGCCCATCAGCAGGCCGAGCAGGGCCTTGATGGCGTAGTATCCTGCCTTGTTCTTGAGGAAGGCCTGAGCACCGGATGTGATGGACCAGCCGACCATGATGAACGGGATCCAGCGGTCGGCGCCAACCTTCTTGCTGATCAGGCCGCTTGGCAGCTCGGCAGACAGGAAGGATGCCAGAAAGATGGTCTGGCCGTAGTTGAAGTCGTTTGTGTTCATGCCTGCAATGTCAGCATCGAGCCAACCCGTCATTGGGAGAGCACTCACCAATCTCAGCAAGCATGTTGTCCGAGATGGCACGGCTGATGTTCTTCCGGTGCAAGTCGAGCGCACAAAACATGATCCAGGCCCTGAACTGTCAATGGGTATTCTACTCTAAACGCATGAGAGCACTCACCAAAGCATGATTCTAATGTCAATCTTGCGGAGCAGCTTGCGCTCCTCCTCGGCAGTCCACGTGAAGCTCGGGTCAAAGCGGTGCCGGTTCTCGTAGCCGGCCTTCTCGTACACGCCACGCCAATACTCAGCAACAGCCGGGTCAGAGAAGATGTGGTTGTCGGTCGAGCCGTAGCCCTCGGCGTCGACATTGCCTTCTCCCGATTGAACGGATGCCGAACCGGACACAGAGCCGGAGTGGACGGCAACCTTCTCCTTGTCGGACAACGCCACTGTGTCGTTCTTGTCCGCCATGTCTCAGAACTCTGCAGAATCGTAACTCTTAATTGTGCAACCTGACGCATTTCCGCGGACGTAACCCAAGCTTATTTATACACGCATGATGCTATTCTCCCCTGTCGCACAACGTATGTTGCAAGCCAGCTGAGAAGTTGCGCCATGTTGCTGCGAGCCGCATTCTCGGTTTTTATCTATCGCGCGATCTCACACACCGATTGCACAGCGTGACAATGCAGAGATCTTGCAGTCTTTTCCAGTGTCTTGGACAGTGTGCTGGTTGGAGCGCGCGTCGAACAGAGAATGGGTTGACGAACGTCACGGATGACGTGCTCGCAGAGGTGTTGTGCGCCGCACCCGACTGGCCGGTAGGGCTCACCGCACGCTATAATGAGCCAGGCACGCAATTCTCGGCTACAGGAAGCTTCATCATTTTGGGTCGAAATCGATTGTGTGCTCTATGCTGCATTTGCGACATGCAACCTTGCCGAATGGTAGAGCCGCCCGGCTTCTTGGTACTCTCGGGTATGGGCCTTATCTCCGACAGCTCGAGAGGGTTTATGCATTCCTGTTTCAAGTTACATAGAATTGAGCGGGAAATGCAAGCGTCGCGGGCGGTGTGACGTAAATGGAAACTTTGTGGTTGTGAGAAAGTACTGCAAGATCGAGAGTTAGCCTAAGTGTTGGGAAGTGGCCAATCCAGCTTGGCTTCGTTCTTCGGGATCCCGCAGTTGATATCGGAGAAGGTAAAATAACTGAGAGGAACCCTGTCTCAAGTCAAAGAAACTCTTCCATCGGCCCCGAACTTAGGTGAGCTGTCCCTAGAGTCGCGGCATCGCCTTTGATGATAGCTGCACGTGGAATAAGATTGACCCGATGCCGGCCACGGCAATCTTTGCTGAGATAATGACGGGGGTATCAATTGGCAATAGAGCGGACGACAGAGTGGTTAGAGCGGAACGTCCAGCTTACTATCAGCTAACCGAAGCCAACTTCGACTGAGCAGGATGCTATGTGGGGTAAGATAGGTGACTAATGCCTGACGCTCACACTAGACCTGGCCAGCTTCCATATCTCTACTCTCTCCTCCATGGAAGTTCTGTTTGTTCTCTCCTTTCTCATTTATGTATTCACTTACTGTAAAATACGAAGGACCACAGGTTCGTATACACGCTCCAATTGTAATAGCTAAAGCTATCGACAGTTAAAAACTCATCACTTCTCCAGTCACCTACTACCGCCCGGTACATAGCATTCGGCTAGGGTTAGTCAGCTACTTATCACCGGCGTAAGAGTAGACGAACCCGCTGGAGACGGGGCTAGCTAGTCCATAGTCCCCTGGGACTGAAGCCTCTCGACGGCCAGCACCTTCTGGCTGATTTATCGCTGTTGAGTGGCCTTGGGCAGCTTGCTGCAAAGTCTTATCCTGATGCCCAGAATTACCGTTGTCCTTGTCCTCTTTGAGTAGTGAACTGATCCTAACACCAACACTGAAGGAATATTGCTTACTGGATTCGATATGGAAGACGCAAAGTTAGATAAAGTGTTAGCTGCAAGTGGCTACGGTGTTGTCACCGCTGACCTACCTCGGTCAGTCCCGGCTCCACTGAGGTCAGGTGCACGCTTGACCTTATAAAAGAGCCATGCTCATCCGCCCTCACGCGTGTTTAGTTTGAAAGGTAGAGCGTTGTTATTCTGCGGCTCCCATTGTGCTTGACAGATTCCCTCAGGGCCGCGTGTTCTGCAGGGCAACGCCCAAGTAAATGCTCTCATCCACATCACCATTTTTCTTATACATCCAACATAAAGCAGAGATGTTAGCTTCTATGATGGCGGCCAATTGCCAGCACTGGTCGCTCATCTGTCTCAATATGTTGGATGTATAAAGTTGTGGGGATTATTTCTTAGGCGTTACCCTGCAGGACACGCGGCCTTGAGGTGATCTGTCAAGCACAGTGAGTGCAGATTACCAACGCTCTACCTTCTAAACTACATGCCCTTGAGGGCGGATGAGCATGGTCTTATATAAGGTCAAGCGTGCACCTGACCTCAGTGGAGCCAGGGCTGACCGAGGTACGGTCAGAGGTGACCACGGTGTGCTCACTTGCGGCTACCACAATATCGCTTTCGAGCTGCAGCGAAAAACATTCATCTACCCTGACATATGAGCGACTACCTCTTGAAGCCGCTGACCTTCTCCTCAAGCTCAGAAATTCTGGCATTTCTATGGACAATCTGCTCTTCGAAGCCTTTGATCTTATTTTTGAAGTTGGCGATTTCGACCTCGTTGTCCTTGCGAATAGAGTGAACTTGACTCGGAAGGATGGCAGTTGTACGATGCTCGAGTAACTTGTTGCACAGAAAGGGCAGAGAGCAGTTTCTGCAATGGCGGAAATTTCAAATTATCAACATCGTGAGCGAAGAAGCAGGGCAACGAAACTTGAGCCCTGTTGGGATGAAATGGAGTTTGGGAGTCGACAGGGCTGGGCTTGTGGCTTTGGACAGGACTTAAATTGAATTGAATCTTTGACGGCGGTGGGTAAGAGGTGACTATGGATTGCTTAGACTACACTATATACACACGGGAAAAAATCGAAAAAACTGGTGTGTTGTTGTGAGAGGATACTATGAGGGAGAACAGGGATGGGGTTAGGTGTGGAGGATGCTAGGAATGTGAATACCCTAACTAATAATTCCGGATCTGATTATGAGCCGTAATGCTCGAGTTGTACACCCCTATTTTTAAAAAGTTGGTGTGAGTGCCAAAAGGCTCTGGGTCCAAACGCCCTGCCATAGGGCTATTGAAGGACGAAAGGTGACATCTCAGGAAATGGTCTCTGTAGGCCATCGAACCACAAGGGCAAGCTTTGATTGCACTTAGATGGCGGCTGAACTTGGGCTAGGATGACAGCACTCATTGTGATGCTTGCGGAATCCATGACCAGCCACATTGCGGCATGTCCAACCCCACATCAAATCGAGACTGAGAAGGATCCGCACCAGCACGAACTTACCCTCTCACATCGAAGAAACAAGAAAATATGTTTAGTCGTTCACTTATGGTGAGACAGTGCAAGGCTGTGAGCCGTATCTGCAGCACGGCATTAGATGAAAGGGGAACCGGAAGAGGCCAAAAGAGGGCTGAAAGCGCTCGCAGCCTCGCCGACTTGCACTTCGCTTTTCTTTTTCTTCTTTCCATATGATTTTCATTCCATTATCACTCAAATCTCGAGCCTTTGGTCGTTTAGAACTCATCTGACCCTTTCGTTACACATCATCATCCAGTCTCTCGATAAATGTGCGAGGGCCAGCGAGTGCCGAGGACCGACCATCTAATCCATCATCAGTGGTTCTCTTCTCAGGTATTTATTACTTGCCATAATTCCTCCCTGAAAACCCCAAATGTTCCACAATCCTTCCGATTGATATAGACACCACGTAAACTGACTCCCAACTGGCACCTTAAGGTTCAAGCACTACGGGTCTAGCATCAACTCAACATGGCGTCAACATGGCGGAAAACTAAGACAATTTCCTAAGGACACTTTCCATACTATCGCACAATAGTGGGCATGTTGATGACATATCACATCTTTTTCATCACCAAGACCGAGAAAGGAAGCCCACGCAGGCGAGGAGCAGCATAATTGGAAACGAAGCTCGTCAACGGCAACACCGTCTTTTGTGTCAAGCCAACGCATACGCGAAACTCATGGCATCGCAGCGTGTGGTCTATGGAATTGGATTTTGGCGTTAAAAGGCCGGAGCGGTTGAGAAAAGTGCTACGGTATCTCAAAAAAGCAGTGGCCATGGGGGTCGCTCAGTGGTTGAGATGCGGCTGTAGGCGCTGCCCTCTGAGTGTAGAATGATTCCTGGCCAGTGTTGAATAGAGGACTAGGATGAAGACTGAAATAACGTAGGTTAACAATTTTTGCCTATTCCCAGTCCAATGCAAGTGAATCTAAGTGAACGTAGTTGATGTTATTCCTGCCTATATCTGGTCTAATCCACCCACACCACCGCACTCAGGCCATCTTCATTATTCGGACGCCCCCTCTGCCCAACTTGCACGCTGGCCAACAGATCACCAAGCTTCCCCGTCTCCGGATCGCGCGCAATGATGGCCACATTCGACGACGTCTGCCCACCAACCGCAACCAGCGTCCCATCGGCATTAACCTGGAAGGTCCTCGGATAAAACGAATACGAGTTAGCCAACTCCACAAACTCCAGCTCACCAGTCTCCAGATCAATCCTGTACACCGCAATGGAGTCTTGCTCCGGGCCAAACGACTCATCCGCCCTGTTCGACGCATACAAAAAGTTGCCCACAGCATGCAACTCTGCCGCCTTAGTCAACGGCCCGCCCTGCTTGCCAGGCGGATACGTCGACAAGGTTTGCGTTTTCGTCAGCCTAAGGCACGAAATCCCGTCAATATCCCACGCAGACACGGTATTCGACAACTCGTTCAGCGAGAAAAGCTTGCGCTTGCCGCTGGCTGACTCCCAGAACTTGACGTGACGTGGTCCGTCGCCGGGGTCGGCCTTTGCCTCGGAGCACAGGGACAGTCGGCCGTCCGGCTCGGCCTTGAAGATGCGAATCAGGTCAGCGCCGAGGTCGGGGACTAGCACGAACTTCCCGGAAGGATCAACATGCACTTCGTGCGGGTGAGGCGCATCTTGACGGGGGTGGGGGCCGCGGCTGGAGATGAACTTTTCTTGTTGCTGGACTCGAGCACCGCTGACTGGGAGCTTGTAGGTGGTTATGGTCGAGGGAGAGCTGCAAAGTTAGCAAGAATCTCGCCACAGGCAACAGAGTACTCACTATTCCGCCGTTGCAACAAATGCACGCCCGTCAGGGCCCCCGTACAGCGTGCCATGAACAGACTGCCCGGCCGTGCGGGCCTGCCCGGTCAATGAAAGCTTTCCATAGCTGTCGACCGAAAACTCTGCAAGAATGCCGCTGCCGAACCAGGACTCATCGAAACAGTACAAATGCCTTGTATCCGACCGAAAGTCGAGCCATGCAGGCATGCGCCCGCAGCCAGTAGCTTCTGAAGTTACCGACAGCGTGTCAGTATTATTATCAAACGACAGACTAAAAAGGGTGCCTGAAAAGTGCGATGCAACAAGGTTAGCCCCCAGCGCGCGCGGCGCCAGGGCAGCGAGAGCAAGCACCCGGAAAGACATGGTGATCATTGGTGAAGCTGTCAACAACTCCCATCTTCTTTTGCGCTTTTATATGGGGGAGACTGTCTCCGTTTTCGGAATCTCTGACGCCGAGTTCGCCAGATTGGAGCGCTTAATGTTTCGGCGCGACGATCCCCTTCGCATGGAAATAGCCGGCCCCGTGCCCCGCGGGCCATCTACCGAGCATTGACGCCTGGGGTTGCACTTTCGGAAGTCTGGATCCGCCAATCTTGCGCATAGGGCAACATAGTGGCCACTTTGCTTATTTGGGGTTGATGATGAATGCTGAAGCTTGAAGGCTGGCCCAAAGTCGCATTCGATGTCTGATGTTAGATAGCTATGTCGATTGGGGTCAGTTTCAGCCTCTTTAGCCCATAAAGTGATCGTAATACCTCTTCAAAAATATAGTTGATAGACAGAAAAAGAGACGAACACACGAGGGTAAGAAAGAGATCCGAAAGGAAAAGGAACTGGAGAATAATAAAAGAGAAGGAAAGAATGGAGGAATGGAGAAAGAAAGACAGAAAGAACACTTCGGGCGTGTTAAGTACCTCGCGCATAGTCCTGAGAACGATTCCTTGTCCTCAAAATCAACATGCCGAAAAGCCCCTAACGGTTGCCGGGCAACCTATTCAGCTTCAGGGTTCGCCGAGATCCCTCTGTTCCGTGACTTCTGTGACATAAGTGCTCCTCCAGGGCCAGTCTCTTTGAGCTCACGGACCACGAGTACGCGCGAGCGGTCCGAGATGGTGGAGATAACAGTTCTCCGCTGACAGCTATTACCGAGCTTGCTTCTTACATCAAGCGAAGCTCTGCTAGCTGTCAACCTTCCGCAAGCTCTTGCTATAGACCCCAAGAATGCCCAACAACCTTTCAAGCTGACGCAAGTTCTTCCAAGTTACTAAGCTCCCTCAGATGCTGTCGCCTTCGGAGTGACTTCCCTCACCACTTCCCTCGACGCAAGGCCCGGCGTTGGCGTCATACGTCCGTGCTGGACCTCGTCGACGTCATGGCGCTCAGACTTGCCTGCGCTCATCAGCGAGGCCCGTGTCCAGAACCGTCAAAAGCCGAGGAAGCGTACTTAAACATGCCGGCGATGGGTGTTCGCCCGATTTTGACCAGTCTTCCATCCAAGTTTTTGCAACTCTTTTTGACTTTGTCAGACAGAAATCACTCGGCGATAGTAATAGTGATACCCAAGCAAGCGTGAACTCGTCCTACGAAAATCATCATTCACCATGGACGCCGGCAGCGACTTCTGGACGGGCTCAATCGTGCGCGGCCTGCTGGGGCTGCACAACTTCCTCATCTTTGCGTCGTCGGCCATCTTGGTGGGCTTGTTGTCGTATCTACTGCACCACTCCGGCTACCGGGGACGGCACCTGATATTTGAGGAGGTTATTGTGCGTCTCCCTGCTCCCACTCTTTTTCTGTGTTCCTTTGGACTTACAGCTGGCAGGCCGTTATCACACTCTTCTTCTACCTGATCGCCATCTTCCTGCCCATTTTCAAGTCGTATCGCGGCTACATGCTGCCGCTCAACTTTGTGCTGACGTACCTGTGGATTACCTGTCTCATCTTCTCATCGCAGGACTACAGTGGCAATGGCTGCTTGTTCCACACGCCGCCGCTGTTTGGCCGCTGCGGGCTGAAGCACGCGATTCAGGCCTTCTGGATCATTGGATTGTGCGTCCTCCCAGCCCTGTTGAGTTTACTCGAGTGTTAACGCTAGATAACAGCGTCTACCTGTTCTTCAACACCATCCTGGAGGCCATGATGTGGGCCAACGCGAAGCTGCGCGAGGGTCGACGCGCGGGGGATGCCGAGAAGGGCGCCACGACCATGGCCGGCACGACGGCGGGCGGCACCAATAGTGGCGCTGCCGCTACGGCGTAAGCTCAGGGGAATCGAGTCGGTGATACCCGGGGATGGAAAGGGGATAGCAGTCAGATGACAGCCGTCGTGCTAATCATGTAAAAATACTGCAATGTTTCACTCCTTCGTATTTTAACCCAGGTCGCCTGTCCACAAATCCACTTGAAAATGACCAGATTATCCCTGCCAAAGCTGCGCTTCGCGTAAAATGACGGCTGTGACCGTTTAGATTACCGCCCCCGTTACCCCACGCGCGCGAGCCGGACCATCCCCTCGTGCTATCGCCCGGTGCCAAGACGCCGGCGCCCAAGTGGCCGGCGCCGACCCGTGCGGACGGCTACCCGATTGGGCGCGGCATACAGATTGGGAAGGTTGGCGTTCAGCGGCCCGGGGGTTTGGAATGTGGGCGCGGGTAAATGTTGTGGGCACATTTGTGTGTTTCGGGTTGCATTCGTCAGGCACAAATCTGCAGGACTCCAGGGACCAGTGGGCCGGTGGGCTGATTTGCTGCAACGCTAGAAAACGCGGGACACGCTAGAAAGCTGCTGCCGACGCTAGAATCTCAGGGGCAAGGATGATGCCTCGGAGGGGGGGGGCCATGGGGCGCAACGTGTGGTGATCGTCAGTGATCAGCAGTGTTGATCGATGCAACACGTGCGAGATGCGGCTTTACAATTCGATGCTGTCAACATGGAATTTCAACTTCAAATCTTGAGTTTGAATACCATCACCAACATATGCAAAACTGAAACATCACCATCTCTGCCGACGCGCACCCTGCGGGCTGCGTAAAAAAAAACCTCTCTGGCTCGGCTCCACCGACAGGGACCGGGCCTCAGCTCGGACGCGCTATCATCAATGAAGGATTAAGTATCATCAAAGGGCTCCCCCTCGACCGGGAGCCCGGGGCTAGTGGGCTTGTTTTCGCGGGATAAAATCTGAACGAGGGCGCTGGCTCACTTTCGTGGCGAGAAGAGAGGACGGTCAGACAGACCTCACCACTGTACCCCAATCATGTCTTTCCAACGGCTGCTGCCGCTCGGCGTTCTGGCCGCCACGGCCTCTGCCACGGCCCTGCCTCAGTTCCCCAAGCCCTACCCCAAGATCGCCCGTGATGTCACGCCTTACACTCCGCTGGGTTGCTTCGTCGACAGCGGCGAGCGCATCTTCCCACACCGCGTCATCAGCAGTCCCGACATGACGGCCGCCAAGTGCGCTGAGAACTGCGAAGGATACGATTACTTCGGCACGCAGTGGTCGTCCGAGTGCTACTGCGGTAGCGTTGCTCCAACCGTACCAGCCGACCCGTCCGAGTGCAACATGCCGTGCTCCGGCGACCCTAACGAGATTTGCGGCGCCGGCATGCGCCTGACCGTCTACCAGTTCGACAAGGCCCCCGTCAGCTACCCGGACGTGAATGGCTATGAGTATCAGGGCTGCTACACCGACAACATGTCGCTGCGTGTGCTCGGTGGTAATACCTTCGGTGGCGCCAACATGACCCTCGAGTCCTGCGCTGCCTTTTGCAGTGGCTACGGCTACTCCATCTTTGGCACCGAGAACGGCAACGAGTGCTTCTGCGGTGCCTTCCTGGACGAAGACAGCGTCAAGGTCTCTGAGGCCGAGTGCCCGATGACCTGTAAGGGCAACGAGAATCAGAAGTGCGGCGGTCCCAGCCGTCTGAGCGTGTACAAACTGCCAAATAGTAACCCTCCGTTCGTCCCTGCGGTGGTGGACGAGTTCCGCTATGAGTCTTGCTGGGTCGACGACGTCAACGACCGCGCCCTTACTTCTGTCGACTGGCGTGACGACACCATGACCATTGACAAATGCGCCGAGCACTGCAAGGACTACCTGTACTTTGGCCTGGAGTATGGCCGCGAGTGCTACTGTGCCAACGAAATTAGCAGCGGCCAAGCTGTCCCTGAAAAGGAGTGCGCCATGCTGTGCCCCGGCGATGCCACGCTCTTCTGTGGTGGTGGCAGCCGTTTGACTTTGTACAAGCGCGAGGACTGCGATGAGCCCGAGCCGTCGACCACTGGCGCTCCGGAGCCCACAGACACTGCCGTTCCGACCGAGACTGCTGAGCCGACCGCTCCCGTCACCACCACTGCCACTGCCACTGCCACTGCCGAGCCCACGGCCACACCCATCCTCGACGGCACCTTTGAGAGCGGCCTCGGCTCCTTTACCGTTGTCGACAGCGAGCTGAACCTCGACTACGAGATCACCGACACCCTGACCCACGCCGGCCAGGGAGCGCTGCTGGTGAAGAACAAGGACGAGAACATCGGCGTGCTCATCTTGGAGACAACTGTGACAGTTGAACCGAGCGCCACATACGCGTTCAGCTTGTACTACTGGCATACTAACCCCGACGCATACACAACGTTGTACCTATCCGCCGGCGGTGACGTCAACAACAGCGATGAAGAGGCCGACCTGCAGCAGAGCCCTGCCAACCAGTGGCTGAGCCAGTCCGTCACCTTCACTACGGAGGCCGATCAGACGAGCATCAAGCTCGAGATTATTGTTGGCGCTGTTGGCTTTTCGGGCAACGGCTCGCCCGAGTATAGCGATGATCTGTACATTGACGACGTTACTCTTGTTCGCATCTAAGCTTTTTGTTGGGACAGTTCATACAGACGTAGACTTCGAGGGCCAGACAAGGCGTCGTGGCACGACACCTTGTTTATGATTGTATTCGTTAATGTTAGTAATTGAGCCATTAAATCAAATTTTTTCTTTTTGCGTTGTCAAACTTGCGTTGATGCTTGCGTCGACTGGTATGCAAGCCCAACTGGTTTGGACCCAATTGAAACCCGTCAGATCCGATCGCGTGGTTCTGTGGCGCTTGGCTCGCACTCGCACTCGCCTGCCCCGGTCTTGGCATTACGACAGCACACCTCCCTTGAGGAGCAGCTACGAATCATGGAGAGGCGGTAGGGCGAATCGAGGAGGGTAGGTGTAAGGTAAATGCGTTTTTTCCGTCTCAAATGCCGAAGAAGTCGTGCTGGGTGCTCGCTCTCGCATCTCGCATCGCATGCCGCAGAGGGATAGGGCGGAGGCTGTGTCAAACATAAAAAACCAGACCCTGCTGCAGTCAGGACAACGACAACGATGAGCTAGTACAACGGCAGCAACAGGCTGAAGATCAAGTTTGAACTTCACTCTCACTATGGACCGAGTAAAGCCCATCTTCCCTCCCAGCTCGCAGTGGCCGGGCGGGCGACCAAAACTCCAGACCGTGAGTCCCTGTCAGAGCTCGTAGTCCAAACGCCCGCTGACAAATCCCCAGTTCATCAAACACATCTTCACCCTCCCAACCCTCCTTGCCCTCGGAGCCGGCGCGCAAGGCCTCCTCTGCCTTGTGCTCCCCCGCCGCTATGCCTTCCTCCCGCTCATCTTCTTCGTTCTGCGCAACGCCATCCGAACAGCCTTCAGCGTCCGTTCCGGCGACTACCACTTCACCAAGCTAGGCGTCATCCCCGGCCGCACAACCGCCCAACTGCCCAAGCCCGGCGAGTCCGAGTTTAGCGGGGTTCCATCCGACCAAGACATCGTGGTCTTCCATCTCGGCGCACGCTGCAACCATCCTCTCGGGGTCTTATCCCCCGGTGGTAAGGAACTCGGCGAACATTTCGACGCATGCAACCGCGAGTTGATGGAACGTAAAGAGGAGTTCGGCTGTCTGGGCTACTCGCAGTGGCTAGGGACCGAAGACAACGCAAACGGAACCATCTTGGCTATCTACTACTTCCGCGACATCGAGGGGCTGAATCGGTTCGCGCACGACGTGGTGCATCGGCGGGCGTGGGAGTGGTACCATGGCGAGTTTGCGAGGAAGCGAGGCTGGTCGCATATCGGTATATTCCATGAAGCCTTCCAAGTCCCTGCTGGCGCCTGGGAGAATATTTACGTCAACATGCCGCCGACATTGATGGGTGCTGCGGCGACCAAATCTGAAGATGGCTGGGTGAGGACACTGATTGAGGCTAATGGGCTAGTGTGGCGCAGTCAGTATTCGCGCATGGGGAGGAAGTAAATGGGCATATGAAGCATAGCATTTGGAACCCAACTAGACTATCATGACTGGTATCAGAGAGATGGTATCAGGATGGTATCACAACGCCGTATAACCAAAACTTTCATAGCCAACAGAGATGGGTATAGATAGACAGACAAAAGAAACATTAGGTATCATGATATCGTAACAAAGGAAACACCAAAACTTCACCCTTCATAGAGCCTTCCCCGGGAGGTCGTCGTCGAGTTCGCGCGCGACGTGGTGGTAGAGGTCCTTGTGTATCGAGTGCATGTCGATGTTGGCGACGCCGCCGTCACCGTCAAAGATGCGCGCGATCTCTTCGAGTGTCGGGCCCTTAGTCTCGGGATACATGAACCAGACGAATACAAGCTCGCACAGGTCCCAGAGCGTGTAGAAGAGCATAAAGTTCCAGTGGTTCGGTAGGCGCTCCCAGGCCAGTTTGTTGGTTTGACTAGGTAAACAGTCAGTATCATCAGTGTAAGCATATAAGGGGAAGAAGGACGGGAGGGGTGGTAGCAAGGGAAGACCTACTTTCCAATAGCCAGGAAGGCCTGTACGGTAATGTTCATAATCATCATGCCCTTGGCGCGCAAATGGAACGGTAGCACCTCGAGGGCATACGCGACAAGGAGACCAGAGAAGCCAATGTCGTAAAATACGCCAAAGATCCAGATGAAGACGAGCTGAGCGTAGCCTGAGGCAACGTTGGTTTCGCCTGAGTTTTCATAAACGGCTCCGGTGACGGTCCAGCAAGCAAATGACAAAACCATGCCGCACATCGAGATAAGGAACAGCGGACGGCGACCGAATCGATCGACAGACAACGCAGCGGAGATGGTGACAATCAGATCCAAAATAGTCTTGCCGGTCGACATGGCAAGTTTCTGGTTTTGCTTCTTGATACCGGCACCTAGGTAGATGGCATTCATGTAATTCGAGAAGAGCGCGTTGCCGCTGTACTGCGAGATGATGCCGAGGGAAACAATGATGGCCAGACGCCAGCGGTTGCCGCGGGTCCTCAGGAAGTCGCGGTAGCTGGTCGTCCGGTCGAGCTCCTTTTGGATACGAATGGTCTCGCGGATTTCGCGGAACTCGAAGTGCACAGTCGCGTTGTGCGGGTCACCACCGGCATGCCACTTGGTCAGAATGTGCAAGGCCTCGTCGTAGCGCTCCTTGTTGATGAGGTAACGCGGCGACTCGGGCACAGCCCAGATGCCGGCGAGTTGGACGAGCGACGGCAGAATCTGCAGGAGAGTGATAGACCGCCATGACCAGTCGTTCTTGATGTTGCCGGTGCCCCAGGCAATGCACGTCACCAGCAGGGCACCAGCGTTCCACAAGCAGTTATAGATGGCCGTGACTGGACCACGGTGCTGGGGATGGCAGATCTCGGTCAGCAGCAGGGGCGAGGCCATCTGCGCGAGTGAGTTGCCAAAGCCCAGGATGAAGCGGCCGCCCATGTACACTGAAAGAGTCAGTTGGGCTTTTTTTTTAAAAAAAAAGTTCACCAAGTCAGGGAGGAAGAGGGAGGAAGAGGGAAGACATACTGCCATAGCCATTACAGAATGCAGTGAGCAAACCACCTACGACCATGCACAAGCAGCCCCAAACGATGGCAGGCTTGCGGCCGAAGTGATCAGCCACATACGGTGTAATAAAGAATGACACGATGGAGCCGATATTGAACATGTTGACGAGGATGGCCAGCTTGCTGTTGAGCACGGGGTCCGCAATGCTGGGATTTTCTCGCGTCTCGGGGAAGAAGAACCAGTTCCAGCGGTCGATCTGCTGTGATGTATTGACGAGCATGCTGTCGTAGCCGGTTGTGGCCGAGGCCACCATCAACAACGTAGCGAGGCCATAAAGTTTCCTTAGATGCGGCTCTTTTGTCCAGTAAACACGTTGGAAGCGTGGGATCTCGGTGACGGGCTCGAACTCAGCCGAGGCTCCGTCTGAAATGACTCGAGGCATGGCGCTGGAACGCTTCTTCGAAGACCTCCAGGCTTGTATCGTCTTTCCAGGCTACGCTACGCAATCGAGATCTTGAGCGGTCGAGTGTCGAGCTTCGAAGGCTAAGCTTGGGCTCGCTCGTCTCAGTCGGATTTGACAGACCTAGGCACAACAGGCCTGGCATTCGACAAGATAAGAGGGACATCCTAAGTGCAGGGCTAGCCATTATGAGCCCGGCTGACTGTGCCCTGGGGGCGGCTGTCCGTTCACTCGTAGCCAGGGCCCGGGGGACCGAGACTAGAGAGCCTGGACCAACTGGGGAAGCTGGCGGGTGACATCGCAGCTGGAACCAGGAATCCAGTTGAACGAAAGAATCTTGGCAAATATCCCAGAAAACGTTTCCTCCGCATCCCCAGTCTTTTTTGCATGCTCTCAGGTGGGGTCACTCCATCTGATGCTGATCTCTCGGAAGTGGCGCCCGGGGGTTGCGGTCACCAAAAGCGAACAGGGGCCTGCAAGAAGCGTCCAAGACGTCTATGACCTGAGAAGCTAACAGCCTCAGATCGAGACTATCGCCTCGCACAGGCGTTTAGGATCGGTGACTTCGGTGAAATCGATCGTGTTCGCAAACAAGACCAAGGATTCTGGCTAACATCCTCTTGATCCCTCCCAATCCTCAGCAGACCGGAAAAATGCAACTCGCATGGTAGCCAATGGAAAGGGCAGCGGGTCAGTATGTTGGCAGCGCAACCCGGGAGAATGGCTCTGGACGGTCCAGACGGGAGGTAGCGACATTGGCGATGATATTAGGCGACCATGATTCGTTTTCGCTCGAAGTCGTCGACGCATAAAGGCTTGGCACGGGGACGGCGCATTTGGATTCGCTGGGAGTGCTCTGAGCCGTGCAGCAGCAGTCAACGGCGCGCAAGGGGACTGGTCGATTGACATGCCGTTGGTTACATGCGGACGACACGGCCTACCATGCACGCCATGCGGCGCGCAGCACCAGTGGTGGGCTGGTGGCCTTGCCTTTGCTGGAGCCTGGGGGCATGCTAGGACGTTGGAACGGCATGTGTCAGAGAATGCCCAGAAACAGCAATGCCGGGTCCCTACCAGGCCCGGTCGTCCCAAAAAGGCCCAAAAATCGGGAAGAAGGCACGTCAATCCGGAGGATCAGACCCACTGGTTCAACCTTTCGAACACCACAACCCATGACGGCGTAGCTTTCAGGGTGCATCTGTAGCGCACAGACGCCAATTTCCCAAGCTCTGCACCAGCAGGTCGCATCAAGCGTTACAGTGCTCATACTAATATCATGCTGTGTTGCCTTTGTCAGATGATTGACGTGTAGTGGTGTTGACTACTGCCAACTGTCATGTTGATGGCTTCTTTGCTTGTAGTTTTTTTTTTTTTTTTTTTGCTGGAGAGAACAGTGGGGAACTTTGGGGTCCTGCCAAAGTGTGCACCACGTGGAAAATCGGCTCGCAACCCCGGTCGATCTACCAATGAGCCCCGCGCGTGCGATGACGGGCGGGGAAATTCCCCACTGTGCCCATGGGGCGGCCGAAGATTCTGGGGAAAGCTACCTAGTTGCTGCGGCTCGGGCCCTGGACCCCTGCCCTGCCCTGGCCTGTTCCAGAAAAGGGTCATTCGATGGCACCGTCCGAGGCTCGCAATTCCAGCCAACCATCGTTGAGAGTTCGAAAAGGCTGAAGACTCAAACAACATCCGCCCGGGCACCGCGTTTCCGAGGTCAAAACCGGGTTAGCCGGTAGTGGGCGTCCGTGCTGCGCAGATGTCGGCGCGGGACGAGACAGGAGACATGACCGAGAGGGTGCGGGAGATGGATGCGATGCACAGATTCAGAATCCAGAGCGATGGAATTCCATAGCAAAGGCACAGCAGAACCAGCAGATTGGAGACGGACGGCACGGCAAACGGCATCAAGCACGGCAGCGATGGCATCACACAGGACGGGAACAGAGACGGAATGATCGTGCGTGGGAGCACCCCAGACCATCATACTTATGTGTGCTCTCCCCAAAAACAGTTTGTTTCGATAATCAATTTTCCCCAACGGTTGTTCCATTGTTCGCCAGCAGCACGGCAAAGCCCCAGTCTGGCCGCGCCTCGTGATGTTTGGTCAGGTTCGTCTTCATCCAGCACGTATGGAGTGGCCCCGTATCGCCGTCGATGATGCCCCAGCCAGCGCCAGTGCAATCTGCTGTCGACGCACAGGCGTCGATATAGGCGTCTAAACTGCCCACCTTGACGTTGCCAATGTCGACAGCCTCTCCTTCGCCGCTGTAGTCGATTCCGCACACCCGCCTGAATCTCTTTCCTCCGCGGCTATCCGTGTAAAGTGTGCCGTTGACCTGGGGGCACTGGATGGTTGCAGTGGAAGCAGGAGTTACGGAGATCGTAGCCGTGACGGTCGCGGTGCTTGGATTGTTAGTCATGTTAAAAGAGTCAAGGATTCTGGACTTACGGTCTATGAGCTGCAAGAGATGACACTGCGGCCTGGGCCAAATCAAGATCAGTCTGAACTCTGTTCAAATCTCTCTGACTGACCCCGAGACCTGCTCCAAGGCCGATAACGGCGAGAAAGAGGAATCAGAGGCTCCCGAGAATGGTCAAAGCAATGCTGCGTTTAACTCCGATGACGGTCCCCGACGACGTCTTGATGGCATTGCCGGAACTCGGGGCTTGGTATGGATCTTGTAGCTGGTGATACAGCGGGTCTGTTTGCTGAAAGCGCTCCATTCTCGATCTCCATTCCCAGAGGAAGAGATTGTCTGGAGCCCCTCCAGATGAAACCGTGAGGTCTTCCGAAATTTATCTCAACAGACATATTGACGACAGTTTAGCTGCCTGAGAATCTCAAGTCAGCATCGAGACTCATCATGTCCTCTCGAACAAAATGATCATCTGCTGTTCTTGACAAAGCATGCGGTGCGCTGAGTAAGCTCAGCTTGGCATGCTTTAGCTCTTCTGAACTCCAATTGGTCAATCGCAGGCCCAGGCTACACAACGCCCACCTGGCAGCTCCGGGGGGCTGGTCATTTTCAAGAAATTTCACCGCGAGCTGAAAATTACTCAGCAGACGCGGTCTTGGGATCGAGATCGGGCCTTGACGGTTTGGAATCTTGGGCGCAGAGTTTGATGACGGGGCTTTTGGCGAGTCCGTGCTCATTATCGTCGACACTGTCGCTGGCACTGTCAGTCATGATAGGGGTCTTGTGAAGGCTCTCAGAAATCGTTGGTCTCTCTTTCATCCGATTGTTTGTCTTTCAGCGCGATCTTCGTTATCACATCAGGCTTGCTAGCTTTCCTGCCACATCTCCCTAATTATTACCCTTTGCCCTGCGAGACTAGGCCTCAATAATGCCGCTGGTCGACCTCCCCGTCGAAATCATACATGAGATCGTGCGCCAGCTCGATCCTGCGTCGCTTATCACATTCTCGCAGACCTCTAAGCTCTTCCGCGCCATCATCGAGCCGTCGCGCCATGAATTCGAGCGTCGCCTGCTCTACCTCGAGCTGCTGCCCGAGTACGGAGGTATCATTCCAGTCTATTGCTTCCAAAATAACTCCACCGTGTCGCCAGCCTACGACAGTCCGGCCTGGAAGACCAATCGCTACGCCTGCTGTGGTTGCATGCGATTGCTCCCCCACGCTATGTTCGATAACAGCAATATCTCGCGCATGCGTCTGCGCAAGCCTTCACCTGGCAGTGTTGAGTACGAGCGATCTATGGTGACCGACTGGATGCCGGTCCCCCCTGCGGCGCGCTGGAAGGTGTATCAAGAACGCGCGAACAAAGCGCGCAGGGAAGACGAGAAATGGCGACACCTCATCACCGATGCCTACCGCCTCGAGGCCGAGCTAAACGCCGTTCAGACAGGCGACGGCGCTCGATTCGAGCACTCCTCCCACACCCAAGTCGAGATCGCTGAGTCGGAAGCCGAGAAACACCTCTGTGGCAGCCAGCGTCGCCGCCGTCGCTGCATCGAGTGCCTCTTCCAGCGCGGCCATTACAAGCGGCTCAACCCATTCTTCTCCGAATGGCATTTTGACCCCCAACAACCAGGTATCGCGAGCCGACCGGTACGCCTCACCTACATCTGGGAGCGTTGCTACCCAGGACTATTCGACTTCGATCCGCTGCCGGCCAAGGACCGTCCGCGCCTGTTTAGCTGGCCGCTGCCGTACGGTCCCTCGCTCTTCCAGTGGTGCCACTACGTCATTCGTTGTCATGAATGCGGCGTATGGCAGGAGCAGGGCGCGTTTCGGTATTGGTTCACCGACTCATTCATTCAGGAGGCGCAGCGTGACTGGGACACAAATTGGCCCTGGTCATGCGACACGTGTGAGATGAAGAAGATCGGTCCTAAGAAGCTGGCCGAACGCCTGACCCAGGCCGCGCTCATAAACATGAAGGAGGACCTCAACTGGATCTTTCATATGCTCACCTTTGGCTGGGGCATGCTATACCAAGACTTCTACGGCGAGCACAACGAACCGGCCCCCCTGCGGCAGTGGCAGGCAATCGGCAACGAGATCCTCGGAGGGCTATCGTGGACCAAGGCGAGAGACGGGTATCCCTATCAATACTCGATCAGCTGCACGGCGGACGACCTTCCCGACCTGCGCCGGCGCTTCCGCCTGTTCCGGGACTTTCTCTACCGCCCGGACGTGTACCAGCGCGTGCGGCATAGTATCTTGCAGAGCTGGTTCCAGCTGTGGGTCGAAGATTATGATAAGTATGAGAAAGTGTATTACTGGCTGCGCGATAAGATGGAGTGGCTCAAGACCGAGGAGACGCGCATGCTAAGTTATATGCTCGAGCGCCAGCCGTACCGCATTGCAAGTGGGCCGGCTGCCAGCTGGTGACGTATGTATATCTGAGGGATTTCGCTGGTTCCTTGATGAGTCCTGTCCACGGGTACTGTGTGGAACGAAGAATTGACCCCAGTAAGCAGTTACCTTAGTTATGAAGATTGGGTGAACGGAGGTCCAATAATGGCATAAAATGCCCTCCCCCTGGGAGCGAAGTCCACCCCGAGGTTCAGACTTCATCCCCATTCGTACTATTCTTTTTTTTTTTTAGCTGCTAGCTCTAATGACGGTGTTTTACTGTTGATCTACTGTCATCTATTGGCATGGCCGCTCCACCGGATCTGGGAATTCCCCCCTCTCCGCACACGGTCGATGTGTCCATCATCGACACGGGAGCCACGATCCGTGGCGCGCCGGTGCGTTTGTTCCTTACGCCGCCAATTGAAGGCCACGACTACCTCGCGGCTCCGATCTACTCATTCCTGATCCAGCACCGCACCCTCGACCGTACCCTCGTCTTTGACCTCGGCATCCGCAAGGACTGGAAGAACCTGAGTCCACCTTTAATATCGCTCCTAAATGCCCTCGGGTGGACGCTTCGTACCAAGAAAGATGTGCGCGAGATCCTCGACGCAGGCGGCATCGACACAAAGCGCATCGAAGCAGTGATCTGGAGCCATACGCACTTCGACCACACGGGCGATCCGAGCCGGTTCGAGCCCAGCACAGCGCTCATCATTGGCGGCAAGCTGCCCAAAGGCTACCCGGCCGATCCGACGTCACCAATCCTCGAGACAGATTACACCGGGCGCGAACTGATCGAGCTCGATTTCGCGACCGGCAATAACGGTCGCTACAAGCCCTTACAGATCGGCCGCTTCAGAGCACTAGATTATTTCGCCGACGGCTCGTTCTACCTTATCGAGACGCCGGGCCATACGGCAGGGCATATCAGCGCCCTGGCTCGTGTCACCCCCGATCCAGACCCCTCATTCATCTTCCTCGCTGGTGACCTATTTCATCACCCCGGTGAAATCCGTCCCAGCCGGTACCTCCCTATCCCAAGCGACATCCGACCCGACCCATTTGCGCCGGATCCGCACCCCGTTGACTGCCACTACGGCTGTCCGGGAGCAATATTTGATGAGTTGCAAGCTCAGAGGGGGAGAAGCTCCGTCGACACGTTCTATGAACCCGCCCGCATGACAGGGGCTGAGTCTATCCACGAGGACGTGGACGAGCTGCTGCGGACGGTGAATAAACTGCAGGATGCAGATGCGCACAAGAACGTGCTCGTCGCTGCCGCGCATGACGAGTCGCTGGCGGAGGTGGTCGAATTCTTTCCCAAGGGGAAGCTAAACGACTTTGCGCAGAGGGGGAGCGTGAGCAGGTTAAGGTGGCGGTTCCTCAGGGACTTCGCCAAGGCGGTTGGGAAGATGACGCATTTGCTGGGGCCAAGGAGGGAATGGGGGCCTGTGAAAGGTGAGCGAGACGAAGAGGAATAAATAGCTTTGTTGCAGGACAGATGAATTGATATGTTGCTGACCGGCTGGACATGTTGACTGGGTTTATATTTGTGACGGCTCGCTTGAATCAATGTTGGCCAACAACTGTACCCCGGAGTTTGAGCCCCATATTCTTGAAAAGTGCTCGCCGTATTTATTCCAAAGAAGTCCCGAGAATGAGAGCTAGCTAGACCTCCACGCCGCTATCATGAAGTTCCTTCTCTTTGCCCTTCCTATCCTCGCCCAGCCGTTCAATCCTTCGCCCCGGACCGGTACCGCGACTGGAACACCCCCCCGGGACCACGGCGGCTTCCTCCCCAAACGTAACGTCCCAGCGAAAACTACAACAATTCCCCCGTTAACCGCACTCTTGACTCTGTCCGGTCCCCGTCGCCGAGTCCATCTTCACACGCGCAACTTCCGGCCGCTGGGAAAATCTCGAAGGAAGCGGCATATAGCATCTCTCTGCTTCGTCGCAGGGCGGCTACCGACTCGACACGTGGTACGCAGGCAAGAACCGCACCTGCAAACTCAAGTATCTCGACAACAGCGGCAAATGGAGCAGTTGGGCCGATGTAGGAGGGGAGCTTGACTCGGTGCCGGCGAGCTGCAGTCGCAAGAGGGACAATTACCACATCTTTTGCAAGGGAACGGATGGTCAGATTTAGCATCGGTCGTACGACTCGTCGATGGGATAGGGGAGATGGCAGGCTATGGGCGAGAGTATTGCTTATTATCCCTCGGCGTGTTCTTGGGGAAAGGGTCATGCTGCTATATATGTGTCGGCGCCGGAATGGAGAGTGCTGGCACAGGAGATATGGCAATCTTCGCGGGGGATGGTACTCCTGGGAGAGCCCGGAAGGTTACCTTGACGGGCCGCCCCAAGGCAGTTAGCTGGAGAGAGGACCACACAAGCGTCTTCTGCAAAGGCGAAGATGGACAGGCCTGGCATCGCGAGTATAAGGACGACTAGTCGGCCTGGGACGATTGGGAGCCATTAGGGGGCTCACTGGACGCAGAGCCGGCCGCACGTGCGTAGGATGGGCGGATGGACATGTTTGTAAAGGGCACAGACGACGCCTGCTGGCACAAGACGTACAAGGGCGGGAAGTGGAGCAGCTGGATGAATTTGGGAGGAAAGCTTGATGAAGGGAAAGTCGCTGGACGTGGTTGCGTACAAGGGCTGCGTGGAGTTGTATGTCACGGGAGATAATGAGGTGGTGGATCAGCGCATCTCGCAGAATGAGAGCTGGACCGGGTGGGAGCACATGGGTGGCAGCGTAGAGACCAAGCCGAGTGCGGTCTCATGGGATGACGGCAAGATCGATGTGTATGGAGGTGCTGCCGACAGGCGTTGTCGACGATGCTGCTAGCATTGTTAGCATTGTGCTTGATCATGTCGATTCCTTGAGTAGTTGAGTACATATCAAGCCTTGTCGAGTCCGCCTCATATCCGATCCTGCATGTGTACGATCATCAGCGAACTCTGGTGTAGCATCATTTCTGAATTGTGACAGCCCATTACAAAACCCAGCTCTCGATTGGCTCAAGCCGACTCTCCCAACCCAATCACATCGAGCTCTGCTTATGTCGCTTGTGGTACCCTCCCTTTTTCCACTTGGCAACCGAGGGTCACGAGCAGGCAAGATCCGACAGCGAGGCTTCGGCGCATACTGCACTGCTGCAGTCATTCCTCACACCGGCTTACGGAGTGCTGGCGGCAGGCACTGGGTACGGCAGCAGTGGATGAGCCCGGCAGTAGGCGGTCGCCATCTTGAAGCGATCAACAAGTGTATCGCCAAGCATGCGGGCGATGTGGTGACGGCCAAGAATCCCACGCCCAAGCCTTCTTCTTCTGCTGCGCAATCGCTCAATCGGGAGGGCGGCTGGCGAGGCCAATCGGCTGCGGCAGGGCATCGGCTCGATACCCAACGCCAGCGTGCGCGTCCCGATGGTGCAAGTTGCACTTACTATCAGGGAAGCATGGAATCGTGGAAACTGAGAGAAGGAGGAGCCCTTGGTTCTGGGGTGGATGGAAATATCAGCAACGGACGGACTGCCGATTTTCCATCAAGAGACAATTGCATCAATCGATTCTCCATTGATTGATTGACTGACAACGATCGCCAACCTTTCCATCGCTGATCGGCTCGAGCTGACCCGAGCGCAATGACTTATGGGGCGACAGCGTTCAAGAACCCCCACCCTCCCGCGCTGCCTGCTTATCGGCTGATAAGGGTGGAGACAGGCAGATTGACAAAGAAGACAAGGCAAGTGCGAGAAAAGAAGCACACAATGCACGAAAGGAGGACAAAAAAGCTTGGCACGTGCGGGTAGCACAGCATGTACCAGCGAGAGACAGAGACAAGGATGAAGGTGGAAGGAAAGCGAGCAGGCGGGCCCCACCGGACAGAGCTTTGTGCCGCGCCGCGCGTGTGGATTGGCTGAAAGGGCTCCCCCTCTTTGGCCACCAGCGAACCAGCGAACGAGCACCCGCCCAAGCGCCCGACACCAGAGCTCTCTCTCCTCCACCACGGGTACCGACACCGAGCTCACCCACTTCCGAGCTTTCTGAGTTCACGCAGCTCCCATCTGAGCTTAGCATAGCAGCATTCGCATCCCCCGCCCAGCGCGGATCGCCATCTGCCAGCACTGAGCAACTAAGCAGCATCGCCGACACCAACCATACCAGCGTCATTTCTCCCAGACGATGCCAGACCATGCCGAGGCCGTCGCACTCGTCTGCGCACCCTGACCAGCCCACGGCCACGACGACGTCGACGCCGTCGCCGCTGCACCGCCTGCCCGTCAATCCGCGCAGGAAGAAGGTTGCGCCCGACGAGCGCAAGCGCGTGGCCACAGCGTAGGCCTAGGACCCTTCAGTGATTTTATTTTGATTGTCTGCTCGGAGTGAAAGCTGACTTTTTCTTCCAGCTGCAACAGCTGCAACGTGCGCCGCATCAAGTGCAGCGGCGAGAAGCCCTGCCGCCAGTGTGCCACGAGCCAGCGCGAGTGCCTGTACCCGGAACCGGTCGAGCGCGTCACCGTGCCCAAGGCCGAGCTGGAGTCACTGCGTCGTCGCGTCGCCGAACTCGAGAGCCAGCTGGCCTCCCGGGATGCCGTGCCGACCTTTGCCTCCTCCGACGAGCCTTGCCCCCGCCTGCCCGGCGGTATTGACGGCCGCATGCTGGCCGACCCGGCCGGCACGACCCGCTATCTGGGAGAGACGTCGGGAGCAACCTTCCTTGACACGCTCAAGGAGCTGATCAACACGGCCACGCCCTTAGCTCTCGTGCTGGATGGCCGATCGGGCGAGACGCCGGCTGGGGCAGCATTCTTGGGGTCCGTCGGACAGTACCAGACGCACGACTCGCGCCCGCTGAGGCTGCCTGACGTCAATCCGTACTCGCTACCGCCTGAGGCCGACATCACAGCCACGCTGACCGAACTGTGCTACTTTATCCGGGATGGTCACGGCGCCTTCGCCAGCGGCGGCACCCTGTTCTGGCCATTTGAGGACCCCAAGAACACGGTCGAGACGGCGGCTGTAGCTGGGAACGGGTCGACCGACCGGCGGGCGGCCCTAGCGCTCTGTCACATGGCGCTGGCCTTTGGTCGGTTGCTGCGTCTGCGCGAACCGGGCAGCGTCGCTGACGGGCAACTGGGAGAGGACTCGTTTGCGCGGGCGCGCCTGCTGCTGGGCAACCTGCTGGACCGCACGACGTACACGACCAACGACATTGCCGTATTGGCGCTCATGGCGCTATACCTGATCGAGAATAATCGGCGTGACGCTGCCTATGTGGCCGTCAGCAATGCCATGACCATCAGCGTCATGAACGGCCTGCATCGCGGATCAGGTACCCTGAGCGAGATCGATGTGCGCACTTTCTGGACTGTTTATGTGCTCGACAGGTGAGTTTCTGTCTACTGGTTGGTGAGCTTTGCTGAGAGTGTAGGTGGTTGGGTTGCGTTATGGGCCGACCGCCCACGATCCCGGACGACGCCATTACATTGCCGCTGCCGCGCGAGTGCCCGTAAGTTCCCCGAGTCGGATGTCTGGAGGCATTGAGCGAAGCTGATAATCACAGTGGGCTGCCCTCGCCGGCTGGACTGCGCGCGCATATCGAGCTGTGCAAGATATCCGACTACATCGTGTACAGCAGCTACCGCGCCGGCGGATCGGCCAACAAGGCCACGGCCCACGTCGACAAGGCGCTCGAACTGCTGCGCAAGTGGCACGCCGCCCTGCCGCCGGCGTTGTGCCTGCCTGACCCACTGACGCTGTTCCCGCCAGATCCGTTCACGCAGGCCGCCTTCACTGGCGAGCTGTTGAGCGGCGCGGAGAATTTTGGCCAGGACCGCGCCGCCTGGGCCCTGCACATGAATTACAACCAGGTGTGTTCCACATGTCTCTTTGTGTCCCAGGCTGGATCTCTGACTAACTCCTCAGCTCGTCATCCTCTCCGTCCGCCCCGCAATGCTCATGGCCGTGTGGAAAGCCATCGCCAGCATCGTCTTCAACATCAACCAACCCTTCGACATCGAGAATCATCCACAGATCGAGCCGATCCGGGCCTGCAGCGACGCCGCCCGCCGCAACCTGCGCCTAGGCCGCTTAATGCGCCTGCGCAGCCCGCGCCAAAAGCTCCTCCTGCAAGACCTGCACAACATCTTCAACGCGGCCGTCATCCTGACCATGCACCAGATCGTCTTCGTCAACCTGCGTACGCAGGATCTCGACGACATCAACTGGGCCGCCGACGTGTTTGAGTCGGAGGCGCAGACGGGCAGCGAGTACGCGCGCGACTGTGAGCAGGTACTCAGGGACTTGAAGTACCTGTGCAACCAGCTGCGCAATCCGATTCATGACCCCAACATGAAGCAGGTGCTGCTGTCGCAGGAGGGCGTGCTGCGCGATTTCCTGCCGCCGCCTGCGAATGGCGAGACGTCAGCAGCGACGACGGTGGCGAACGGTGGGCAGCAGATCGCCGCAACACCCCCTCAAGCTCCCCCATCTGCAAAACAGGGCGACACGCTGTACCAGCGCGTGCGCGCCATCTACCAGACGCTGGCTTGCTGGTGGAAAGCCGACTATATGCAGTTTTACAATACGTTTCTTTCGTAGTTAGTTAGATACCAGGCACCTGTGCTGCAGCAGACTATTTCGCTTTTAGGAGTTATTTTTTTGTTCTGCTTGCTTGCTTGCTTTCAGGGGAGCTTCCTCTCTCTGTCATCAGCATGAATGATGATGACTCGGATGATGAGAACATGATGATGATGCTGATGCTGTTGTCACAAGTCCCCAAAGAATCGCGTTTCCTCCTCCAACAGCCTGTCTGCGTGCTGTGCGATGTCGTGCACCGTCCATTCGCCACGCTCCGTGATGTAAACATCGACAAGGTCGGCTGGCGCCCATTCGAAAAAGACGTTGTGGATTCTGAAGTCTAGGTTGGCTCCAGAACAAACTCTCGCGCTGTTGTACTCGTGTCGCCATGCCCGTCGAAGCTGCTCGGGGTCGTTGTTCTCGACGACGTGCTCTTCGGGCTTGCCTGGCGCCACCTTGTCGGATTCGCCCAGCATGACAGTCTTGACGCCAGGGGAGATGTGCTTCGCGCTTAGGAGGGTTGGCAGCGTGCCAGTCTTGTTGCTGACTGCCCCTGACGAAGCGATGCGATCAGCCCCGATGACTACGACATCAGCTCCTCGGGCTGCCAGCGCCGCGCTTGCATCTGTGTAGAGCGTGATGCTGTGATCACCCGTTTTCAATTCCTGCGAGAGCGAACCAGCCAGCGAGACACCTTCAAACAGTGGCCGCGACTCGAGGATGCGCAGGTCGAGCGTCAGTCCAGACTGGGCTGCTTTCAGAAGGCCAGTGCGGATGGTCGAGCTCTCAGACAAAGTCAAAATGGACACCTTCTTCTCGGGGAACGTTCTTTCAAGAAACCCCGCAAACGCCGTAGCGACCTTCGCAGCCGACTCCTTGCGTGCCTCGAGCTGAGCGTCCAGAGCCTTCAAGGCAGCCTGCCTGCTCTCCTTCAGGGCCGACTCTACAGCAGCCAAACCAGTCAACAGAACACTCGTAATGGCAGCGCTCATGCTCTCCCGTCCATTCTTGCACAAATGCCACGCGGCCATTCTCAGCTTCGACCAGACGTCATCACTCTCCTCCAGCGCCTGCAACACCCCCTTCAAAGTCAGGAGCGCTGCATCTGCAAGCTGCCTCGCCCCGCTCTCGTAATCGTTTGCCAATTTTTCCAGCCCCTCTGCAAGAATCTTGCCCGCGACTGGGCCCAGATCATACTCAAACCACACTCTCCTTAAGCTATCCGTCAACCGAGGCACACCATTCAACGCCCTGCTCTCTAGATTGCGGATCGCCTCGTCTGGATCGTGCCAGCCCCAACTTTCGTGCTCCCAGTCGATGCAGATGCGTTGCTCGTCAGCTGCGGGGGAGTTCAAGCGGAATAGGAATGGATAAACGGTCCATTCGCGACGGAGGTCGTCGTCACGGAAGGTGAATGGTTTGCCCCGGCGGTGGAGGGAGAGAGCAGGAGAGGCAAGGGTCGTTTCCTCTCGGAGCTCGCGCCAGGCTGCTGAGAGTGGGGAGGGGTCGGAAGGGTCGATGGAGCCTGAGATTGCCGCTAAGTGGTGGCTACGGCGCAGGGCTCAGCGCTTATTCTGGTGAAGGGTGTTGTGCAGAGCTACTGGTGAAGCCGACAGGAGTGTGGGTAACGGGTGATGATGATGATGAGATGACCTACCGATAAGTCGAAACCTTGTCACTGCGCTTGAAGAGCGCGATAAGGGGGTGTCGACTCTCGTCGTACTTGAGAATGAAAGACGAGACGACAGAGCGCTTCTTCCAAACGCCTTCTGTGCTCATTTTGCGGAGAGGGACGAGATTTCGTAGACGATGCATGAGGAATCGAGGATGATAGGTGAGATGAGGAAAGTGGTCGGATCGGCACTCGGCAAGTGCGACTGGAGCGTCTTGGGCTTGGCATTGACGGCTTGACAGCTGTCAACAGCTGGCTGAGTTTCCCCGGCGACTGTTCCTCTCCTTTTTCTTTCTTTTACGATATCAACTTTGCCGTTGGTGACGAAAAAAAAATGCTAAAAATAAAGAAGTTCCGTTTAGTTAACGAATATAAGCTCGTCTTAGCATGGATCAAGCAATCTAGTGCTTCCGTTACACTGCGTTGCTGCAATGTTGGTGGTCGGAGTCCGGACAATATTCAGGGGCTGACTTGACCGGTTGCACCTTCAAAATCACTCCTTCCCCTGAGGTTCAAACTCCATCCAACGGTTCTCGAGAGTTCTTCTCTGCAACGTGAACCAAAGGCTGAAATGCGTCAGAAAGCTTTCTTCTCCCTTTTAGGGCCAGCTTTGGCCCAAGGCCCTCGCCTCAACATCACAGCCCTCACGTCCCGCGACGGCTACTCCGTCCTCGAGTGTTGGCAGCTCTCCTCCATTCCCATCGATGCCATGTCCGCGGCTAATTACGCCATCGGCAACACTACTGAGGCAGTCTGGTCGCGCATCGAACCCCGGACAACCGTCGGCGAGGCGTGGGCACCTCACGTTCAGTAAGCCTCAGTGTTTTCATTTGGCCAGAGGACAGCGCTGACCAACAGGTTGTCAATAATCTTGAACGGGCTGATTCAGATTACCTCGCCTGCGCCGTGTTCGCCACAGGGGAGGGTTTGTGGGGTGTTGGATGGGGATCAGGGACGGCCGGAGACGAAGGTCGCGTATGTCATGCCGGGGACTGTGAAGAGTTCCGTGCTTATTGCTGGGGATCTGAGGTCAATGAGCACTGTGGCAGGGCACTTCACCGAATTTCCGAGTAATGAACCTACGATCTTGGTGCAGATACCGTTTGTGGGGGATCAGGTGCCGGAACATACAGTTTTGTATGACGGGCCGTGTATTTGAGTGCATGTTATGTTTCGGGGTAAGCTCTCAGGAGGTGAATGGACGGCCCTTGAAATCGCACTAGTATGACCGGCCATTTATTTTCCGTATTGAACAGATCAACGCCACTATTACTTTGCTACATGATTGCCCCTCAAACTGGTTGACCCTAGCAACCTGACGAGCTCTCTGCTCACAAAAAATAATAAATTTTCCTGCACCTGTACCCAGCCGGCGCAGCACCAAACGAATGGTCATCCTTGTACCCTTGAAAGCTGCGGTAGCCGTTGCGTCCCTGGCTGTTAACTGTCAGCAATCTTCACTACTAAGACTGGAGTTGTAAGTTTATCAGAAACGTACCCGACAAAAGCGTAATTGTCCTTGCGCTACGCATCCTTCAAAATGTTCCACCTGAATGTGACCCCCCTGCCGAACGTACAGCTCTGGTCACTTCCCTCCCAGATCCAGAAAACCCGGCCTCGACGACTCCTGCCTGACACAGTACTCTGGCCGATATACTCGTTACTGCAGTCTCCGTCGTTGGGGCAGTACTTGGTCTATGTTAGTCCACAGATTATGCATTCACGGGCGGTTATAGCTTACCAGAGAGACCCACTGATGTTGTCATTGCGGTCGCAGTTCACGAGGTGAACGCCCTCGACGGCGCGACAGTCGAGGACGGTACCGTTCGGTGAGATCAGGGAGCCATCAAGTTGGATGTCAGGGGTCGCGGCAGGAGCAGCGAAGGTTTGGCTGGCGAGCAGGCCAGCGAGAGCAGCGAGCCTGGTGAGGGTGACCATTTTGTCATTGATGGAAAAGAATGAAGGGATTTCTGTCTGTAGATTTGTTTGCTCTTAAGGCGTCAATATCCGGAGAATTGAACTTGTGATGATGACAGAGGACTCGAGCTGTATTTATGCGTTGTAACTTTTTCTTAATTCGATTCCAGCCATGATGTCTTGATGCCGTCCATTCTTGGTAATTTCGACTACCTACAACTCTCTAGACTGTTTGACATGGGCTATACGGTAGCACGTTTGTATCCTTGCTGTTCTGGTTACAGGCGGTATGTTTGTCGAGTCGACGTTCGAGATGAGTCAGCTCGTCATAGCTCCTCAATTAGCCCAGGATCTTTGACAGAGAGAAAGGGCTCCAGTGTCGCGCATCAACAATGCCACATAGATGGAGTTTTGATGCTCTGTAATTAATTACACGCAGATTACCAGCAACATTGGCGATGCTCATTGGCACGGGTTCAACACGAAAGCGGCCTGGAAGATGGCTGTAAGCATAGCTCACTGGGAAAGAGATCGGAATTGAGCAAGAGATCAGATCAGATCGGTGTCTGGCCGTGGCTGCATTCACTACAATCGAAATCCTTAATTTGTTGTGAATCAGCTACCTAGATAAGAGAGTCCCACATTGGACCATTACAGATCCTAGCTACGCATGCTACCAAGCGATCATATTAACCGGTTTGAAAGCGGCTGCACTCAGTAAATCACCCTCGTAAACAATATCCACACCCGCGCATCTCATTTCCTCGCTGATACCCAGTTATTCAACTTCACGATAATCCATACTTCCCTCCCTCCTTGTGTACAGGCTTTGTAGTTGTCCCCGCATACTCTCCCACTTCAGGATAACTCGGCTGCGAATACTCGGACGTCGAGTCGACGCTACTGGTGCGAGTGCCCCTTCTTGACTGTGCTTGCGGTCTCTCTGCGGTCTGGTTCCCCGTTGCTTGCGCGGCACGGACTTGCTGCGTGTCTTGGCTGGTCAAGTTCGGGTCCGCAAAGGGGCCTCGCCTCTGCGCGTCGTATGTCTCGGCGGTCGCTTGGGAGCGCCGCCGAGGTATGAGAATGTCTTTGATTGCTTCGAGTATGTCCGACATGTTGAAGTTGTTTGGTAATGGATGGTAGAGTGTGGCTAGAAGGGAAGAGACGTCATGTCTATTGGGAGACAGCGATGACGTCACGTCATATTGCGGGAACCAGGGTGGGGCGCATCCATCACAGATCAGCGATCAGTTGCTGGATCTCATCCCACTCCCCCTGCTGCTCCTTGAGCCAATCCTGCACCCTCTTGAAGGAGGAAAAGTACAGCTTGACGTTGATGAGGTGCATGCCGGGAACGCCTGGAATGTGCATATACCGATTCTTCTTGACGCGATCGAGATAGTGCTCTTTGTCGACCGAGGAAATGTCCAGATGCTGTAGTCGTTTAGGCGGATGGAAGCAATATGGTCGTTCTTGGGCCTGGAAAGGAACCACCAGCCAGGCGCTGTCCAGCCTACGTCGTTGATGAAGCGCTCAAGAGTGCCGTTGTCCAAATGCTTGATGACACCGCGAGTCCAGGGAGAGTAGTACTCGAGTTCTTCTTCCATCCCCTCTCGCAGAGTAAAGAGTTGCGACTCTTGGGTTCCACGCATGACTTCTTCGAGGAATTTGGCAAACTGCCAGAAGGAGATGGCGGCCAAGTGCTCGTGGTTGTAGCGAATAGTCAAGAGGGCGGTTTCAAGCACAACAAAGTGAGCCCGGATCAACAGTGCCGGCCGGCACTCTTTCTTCTGTTCAGCCCAAAGGAGTCGGAGGAGGGCGAGAGTGTCGTCGCTCCACGGATAATGGATGTTAGCAAAGAGGTGGAGGAGGATCATACGGAGGCCCTCGACCGCACGAGTCGGCAGCTTTTCGGGATGGCCGACCTGGAGCAATAACTCCTGCTTTTTGGGCAGTTCCCAGGACTCGAGGCCGGGGCGTTCGAGGGCATCCCATATGACCTGCCATTCAGCCGTCCACTCCATATCGTAGCCGGTTACACTGGTGAGGAAACTGAATAGCGAGTCCTGCAGATGAGCCATTTCGTCCCGCAGATGCTGGATCTGGTCGTCCTTGTCGTCATCTTTTTCAAACAGGAAGCGAATGTCCTCCTCCATATTGACGGAGAGTGTCAGCGACTTGCGATCGTAGAATGCGCTGCATGACTGTTAGCAGAGGCAATCCAAAAGCTACCAGATACTGTGTTGTTGCGTACCTTTTTCCTGGTGTGGCTCTGGTGGTGGTCGAAATTTCTAAGGCGGTGGAGGGTTAAAGCGCGAAGTGAAAAGTGCAAGGGGGACACGTTATTCCTGGAATGCCACAGGCAGCGACCGACTTTTGCAAGTTTTGTGAATGCACCGCGTAAAATTCCAGACCTTTGTCCAGAGCCCAGCCAGGCCATTTAACCATGATCTCTTTTGAAGCGCTGAGTGAAGGTCCCCAACTCACTAAGGTAGCTACCGTCCCATTCAATCGTCGTCAAACAGGTACTCGTCCCAGCGGCCCTCGTGGTAGGCATACCACAGGTCTTCCATGTTGTAGCCGTGCCCTTCGCCCAGCATCTGCAGGAACGCCTGGAAAGTCGGTGGTCGTCTGGCCTCTCGTTCGGGGTCAGATTCGCCCGCTTCGTCAGAAAAGTAGTACTCTGACGCCTCGTCCTCCTCTTCGAGCTCAGGCTCGTCCGAATCTTCTTCTGTAATGCCATGAGCTGCTTCCTCGCCGCCCTCCTCGAACTCAACTTCCTGGGACCCTTCCTCTTCCTCGGGTTCCGGTTCATCCTCGTCCTGGTATGACGGCAGGAGGTCGAATGTGCGGAACCGGATGCCAGCACGGGCACATTGTTGACGTGCCGTCTCGACATCACGCTTGAAACGTCGATGAAAGCGTCCCTTGGCAGGCCATGAGTGGATGGCCAACGAGATGCTCCTCAGGGAGTGCACTTTGCTGGCGCAGAGACACTGCACGCCGTGCAGGACCATGTCGAGATTGGCCTGATACGTTTGTTTCCAATCGCTTGCTGTACCCCATTCACACACCAGAGTAAAGTCACGTACTGACGCTGGAATGAGTTGACACAGGCGTTCGCCGTCGTCCATCTCGAGAATACCGAGCGTTCCAAACACTCCACGATAGTCTAGAGTCAAGTTACGCAGCCGTGTCAAGCGGGGAATACAATGCAAGCGGTGGTTTTCGGGTTTCCTTGGACGCTCGCGTCCGCGCGTAAGGTAGTGTCCTGTCGACAGGGCGACAAGCTCGAGCGTCTCAAGCGTCCCTGCCAGCCCAGCAAGCGCATCGCTCAGCGTCTTGCCCCCGGGGAGCAGGTCGCGGTCCTCATCGGTTGAGCTGGACTCGAAGTGAACAACCAAGGTGCGCAGGTTGACACAAGCCAGACACAGCTCAACCAACCGCGGCTCGTGGATGTGGCTACCATACAGCCGAAGGTGTTGGATATGCGGCAGCGGGGGGATCGGAGTGGGCTCGAGGAAAACATTGTCGGCCGACGCGCAGCACAGCTCAAGCGTCTTGACCTGGGTTAGTTTCGGCAACAGGTAGACGACAGCATAGTCGGCCAAGAAGCGGGAAAGCGTCGTCGAACGATTGCCATTCTCACGGTGGCAGTAGATGCGCATGCTTGTCAGGTTCTTCATATCGAGCCAGACCATTGTGGAAAGAGCAAGCGTAGCTGTGTGCCAGCTGTTGAGGCCATACGGTGGAGGGGACTCCCATTGTCGCACCTGATCGATAGCAGCCCGGAAGCTCGGCATCATTAAGTCGTTTGGCCCCTCATTGCGAAGACCATGGTCCGGGGGAGCGAGCAAAAAGTCGCGAACATTTGGGGCGTTCATTAAGACCATGCGCAAGAGATCGATAACCACGGTGTCAACAAGGTTCATCTTATTTTGGAATGGACCTGCACCGCACGTTAGTGCGTCCCCTGAAGCAGCCGGCCAGTACGTACGTTGGAACTGGAGCTGCCATTGCCGAAGAGCGTCTTGAATGGTGAGCTGGCTAGAGATGTTGAGGAAGCATGTAATGCTGCGGATCCATGGTCGAACATCTGGCCGATAATGCAGGATCACGAAGAGTCTGACAAGGGCCCTAGGGGTGGCAATGATGAGGGTGTTCCAGAGCATCGGCTTGGCAACGGCTGCCATGCGCCGAGACGTCCGTAAAACTGCGAACAGGTGAGCGCGGGCCTGTTGCCATTCGGCATACTGCGTGGCGGCATCGTGAAAGACCCAGGTGCCGGACAGCTGTAGGGCAAAGCGGGTGGTTGAGGGGGCTGTCGGGGCCAGGACCTCAATGATGTGCTGCAGAAGCTCGATCGGCAGGCTCTCCAGCGACAGCCGGTGGCTGGAGGACGGACCGGGGACTGCCGGACCGGCGCCGGCAGACGAGCTGGGGGGCAAGGACGAGGTCGCGAGGCTCATCGGGGGCGGGAGCGGGCCGACTGCCAATGCGCAAGACTTGGCCCGGATGTCGTGCATGCAGCACTGCCACTACAAGCTACGACCAGAACCAGACTACCACAGCTGGCCAACGCCGTGCGCGGGAGCTGGGCAAGTTGTAATGCCGGACGGAGCGGCGTCAAGCCGCAGCAGCGGCGGCCGCAAAAAAGTTGGTAAGCGGCGATGGAGGGCAAAGGGCGCGGGTGGGACGGCCAATCGGCATACTTCTTACGCTGCTCAGAAGGGCCTGAAGCAGGGCACAAGGCACCGGCAACTTCCGATCTCGGCGGGCGGGTTGCCTGTCCCAAGCTCTACGACCAGACCTCGTTGCCATCGTCGACCGTTTCGGGAAGCTCGACAATCGGAAGCGCGCCAGTTTTCATCTCCTTGACACGTCCTGACATGCCCTAGCTCCGCCGACCGTCCGAGGCCACATTGCAGGGCCTGCCTGGAAGAGCAGGCGAGCTAGCTGACACGGGCCCGACGGCGGGGTTCGCTGGGGCTCTCTGGGATCTGGGGTTGAGCTGCCGCCCTCCGGACGATCAGCAGCCGCACGCTCGCCTGCCGTGCGGGGTTGTTCTCACTCGCGTCAGCCCGGCTGTTTGCTCACAGGGCGTGCAGCCTATACAGGCGGCCTGCAGCTGCCAACACCCAATTTCCGGCAATTTTTGACATTCATTGGTACGCAGAGCATCGGACAGGAGCAGGCAGAGGCCGTCGCACTATTTTGGCGTCAGCGTTGCACATAGTGGGTCTCGACAGGATTGATCCGGGTCCACAGCCGGGCGGACCAGCGGTTCGCTCCAGAAGCAGCAGGTGATACGGTTCATGGGTCGACGGCTTATGACTGTGAGCGAGTTGACATTTGTTGCCTGAGTCACCGCGAGAAGCTCATCACTTGGATGTCAACTCGGAGCCGAGCACCAGTCGGAGTTGAGCCGCCTGTTCGCCCGGGGGAAGATCCCGCCGTCCGAATCCACCCTTGTCAGCTTGGCGATGGCGGCGAGCACGGTCCACATCACGCTGAGTATCTAACTGCCTGATCGAGCATTCGCGAGACTGTTGTTTTATGGTCATGTTAAGGCAAAGTCTCCTTCCTAAACCACAGTCTGCTCTCGTGCCATCAAGGTGCTCAATACATCGCCTTGTCTCGGTTGCGGCGAAGGTCCTGGCCAGCAGCAGCATCTGAATTTCCTAAACCAGGATGTCGGTCAACGACTCTTGGCATAGAACTCGTCCCACATGTCTTTCTTGGCCCGAATCTGGTCGACAAGTCCTTTCTCGACTGCCTTCCACGGCGCGAAGTCCATCAGTGCGTATTCGACGCTATGCCACCAATGAGCGTATATCTCGCGCCAGCCGCAGGCGGAGCGAGCCCGGCTTTGCGGACGACGTTGCGTCCGTACTCGTCCCTGCGGGGAGTATGTGAAGGGACGCCGCGGCAGTTGCCTCGGCTAAGGACCTCGCCTGGAACGGCTACCAGGCTGTCGATGTATGCTGTTGAAGGGTCCTGAGCAAGTTTGAGTCCGAGTCCGATGCCGAAGGACCGGTTGGAGTCCTTCGTTGCGCCGTACATCACCAGCCAGGGTGGGCCATGGTAGGCCCCGGAGGACATGCTAATGATGAGGGAGAGGTTGGAGGTCTTGGTTGGTTCTGCGCTTGGCTTTTTCCGCACCAGCGGCGGGATGAGGAGAGCTGTGAGTCGGGCCATGAACCAAGCGTTCTGGTTGACAACGGAGTCGACGTCGTCACATGAGTGCGTCCTATGCAGCTGAATTACTTCCTATTTTCCTACCACAGGCAAACCGGAGATCTCTGTAACATAGGTCTTTGCGTTGAAAAGGTAAGTAAGGCCTGACAAGCATGAAAGAATTGGCCGCCAAGGAACCCCAAAGGCAACAAAAGAACCAAAAATCATCCAACTTGAACCAAGCCAGGCCATGGATGAATAATTAATGAAAAAGGATCAAAGCACAAAGGTCCTAACACATCATATACACACGCACCTTCTCTGGAGAGCAAAGTCTGAGGCCATCCTACACGCTACGTCTATGAAACTCACATCAGGATGCAGTCGTTATTCACAGAGCTTTTGACCATAGATATGTTGCTTGCCAGGCAAAATTCGGGTATCCATTTAGCATAGCCTACACTCTCTTGCCATCTCCTTTGACCATTTGTCCAAACTCATACAATCTTTGTCCCGAAGCTCCATCCACACGCAGCAGCCTGGCTTCCTTGCTAGTAACTGGTCAAAGCAAGCATTCTCCAACACTCTGGCCCTCAAGTGTCTCTATGATCACACACAAGCCACATACCCCTGAGCATCCCGCCTTGTAAAAACGCTGTATTGATGCACTTATCTATACACCACTACCGCTGCCTCATTGCATCATAAACATAACCCTAAACACAAACGATCCCATTCTAGGTAGCCAGCTTTCCTTCCCAATCAACGAAAGAAAGAAATACAGCCCAAACGCCATAAACATGCCCCCTCCCCCCAAAGAGTTACCTCCCCCTCCGACTACCCCTTCGACCCCTCTGTTGAGTGGTAGCAGCAGTCCCCCCGAAATTATGCAACCTCTCCCCAATCAAATACGCCTCATCTCTTATCCTCACCTGCCAACTGTGAAACACACCCACGGCACTCCACGCCATCCAGATCCCAAACAAAATCCCCGCCACGAAGGGGAAGCTCAGACGGTAGACGAGGACTTCATATGCTTGATAGAGACGACGATACTCGTCAGGGGTTGCTCCCGCGGGAAGTACAGATGATGCCAACATGCTCACTGCGCCGATAGAGACAAGTATCTTGCCTAGGGCAAGTGGCACCGTAATGGCGACAGCCCACACCACGAAGGACGGGATGACGAATGCCCTAGTGAGGACATTAACATCCGGGTCAAGCCATTTATTGCGAAATACTGCGCGCGCGGCGGTCGCCAGGCGAGAATCTTCTCTGTAGAGGATCAACAAACGCAGGGAGAGTTTGAGGTAGAGCAGGCCGAGGGTCCAGGACTGGAGGAGGCGTATTGTGTGGAGGGGGTTTACCCCTGTGCCCTTATCGGTGGCCGTCGTCGTCGTCGTCGTCGTCGTCGTCGCTGTTGTTGTTGTTGTGGGAGGGAGGCGGGGGAGTATTCCGCCATACATAACTTGATGAAGTGGCATGAGGGCATACAGCTCCATAAGTGATGCAATCAGCAGTGGCAAGACGACGAGGACATAGCTGTACGCGTAGACGATCCTCACCAGCGCCCAAGCAGTGTAGCCAACCCTACGGACGCCGTCTTGTCCAACAAGCGCCTGCATCACACCCGCAACCTTCTCCCTCACCACCCTCCACATTCTGACCGCCCTCACGCCAGCATACCCCCCGCATCCCATGACATACAACCCGACACTAAACGCATACACATCATTCCCCCTGACACCGCCCGGCAGAACAGCCTTGAACATGGCCCTCCCCAGAACAAGCGGCACAATCGTCACGCCAACGCCCGTAACGGCAGCAAACAACCAAATCAGAAAGACAAAGACACAAATCCTCGTCCTGAAATGCGGTGGGAGATAGACAAAAGTGTACTGTGCCTTGTTAGCGTACAAATCATTATCCGGGTGCCGATCCAGCCGGCGGTTATGCTCGTCGACGTCGAGAAAGACATTCCGGCCGCGCGGGACCTTAACCTGGTCAGAGGCGGGGGTGCGGACGAAACGGCCGTCGGGTATGAGGCGGCCAGAGCGGACGAGGGCCTTTTTCTTGCCGTTGAGGTGCCTGGTCTGGTCGTTGTTGGCGGGTTTGGTCGAGGGTTTCGCTTTGCCGCCCTTGAAAACGTCGCGCCAGGATTCGGTGACGAGGGCGTTGTCGTCGTTGACTGTAAGAAACAAGCGCTTCCATGGCGGGGTGGCGACACCGTTTTTGTGGTCAGATTCCAGGACGAGGCGACCCTCCTCATCAATGCGCCGCTCTCCAAACAAGAACCAAGTGAGTCTCAGCGCCCTCGCGCACCTTCTGAACCACCAAGTATACATGGCATGCAGCCCGCGACTCGGCCTAAAGAACCACACGGCCATAGGCACCAAGAAGTTATAAAACATCAAATCAATCGGGAACTCGAGCACAGGCGTATCCGACGCATAGTGGATAGGCAAAACCTGTGGTAACGAGACCCTCAATCCCCAAACCACTCCGCCCAAGCACACCAGCACCAACCCGCCATACACCAGCGCCGAAAACATTATCTTCCGCAGCTGCGTCGTGAGATTCCTCTCCAACACGTCCCTAACGGGATGGAACTCCGGGTCGTCGGGGTCACGAATGAAGTAGAGCACGCCGCGGCGCATGATCTTGCGGCACATGGACACGAAAAGCGCGAAATGGAACATGTACCCCGTGCCGATGAACCAGTGCACGAAGAGTGCCGTGAAGGGGTATTCCGCCGCGAAGGTGATTCTTTCGCTTAGCGAAGCCTTTTCGAAAAGCGGCAAAAGGGCAATGTCGAGCAGGATGCCGCAGTACAGCGGGAAAACGAGCATCTCGATGCCGATGATAAGGATGACCTTGAGCACGCCGCTAGCCTGGCGCAGGCCATCGATGAAGACGGCTTCCCATTCTTGCATGGCGAGGGCCGAGAAGAGAGGCTGTCCGCGGTGCAAGTAGATGGCTGACACAATAAACATGGTCGTGTAGCCGGCCATGATGGCCCAGAAGCGGTCGAAGCCGCCCCAGTAGGCGAGCTCAGGATCGAAGGAGGTCGGAGTCGAAGCCGCAGACAGATTCATGCTCAAAAGCCATGTCGGATGCAGAATCGCATTCGATACAGCCTTAACAGCCGCCCATGTCAGCGCAAGAACCTTGCCACCCAAACCCCCCAAATCCTTCCACCCCCAAGCCGGCGCGCTCTCATCCCTAATCACAAAAGCCAACACCCTCCACGCCATAACCATTACCCCCCACACATATCCCTTAACGGCATTCAGCGCCTCATGACTGACCGCTGAAAAGCTCCTAACCTCCGACGAGCTAAGCATAGCTAGCTCAGCAACCACACATTTCGCAACGCGATTTGACGCTCCAATCAGCACATTCCACGACGAGTTGGCCAGGCCCCGCGTCAACCTCGCCGCCGGCGCGACCAAGAACGGCCTGCTAACCCAGTAGAACGTTTCCGAGACAACCGTGGTGACAATCCCAAACATGACGAGACAGCAGTCCTGCACCAGCTTGACCAGGTTCAGCACCACGGCCAGTAGGCGAGTGGGGTAGGCAAACAGCCAGATCGTGCCGCGGCCGACGTTGTACGGTAAGAATATGCCGGCAAAGATGGTCGCTGAGACAAGGAACGCGCAAAAAATCGCGTTCTGGAACAACCCTGCAATCGGGCCGCGCATGCCCAGGAGTTCCATAACCCCCTCAAAGTCTTCCGCGTCATCAATAACCTCTTGATCAGCCACGGCAGCGGCAACGGCAGCGGCGTTAGCGGCTTGTTGGCGACGCTCTTCCTCGTCGATGGCGGCCTGGGCGGCGTTCTGAGCGTTGTTGGCATTAGCATTGTTATTGTTGTTGTTGTCCTCATTCTCGTCGTCCGCGTTCTGATCGGCCAGGTTACCTAGGAAGAGGTCGACGGGCAAGAGTTCCTCAGGGTCGATGTTATCGGAGGCCAGATACATAAAGTCGGTCACCTTATCCACCAGACCTTGAGGCTCAGGGCGGGGGGCGGGGCCGTATGGCTGTTCCTGTTGCTGTTGCTGGCCTTGTTCCTGATGTGGCTGTTCTTGTTGCAGTAGTTGTTCTTGTTGTTGTTCCTGTCGCTGTTCCTGTCGCTGTTGCTCTCCCCTACGCAGAGCAACGTCCTCCCACTGCTCGACCGGCGTCTCCGGCGCATGGTGCCTGCCGTGGTGCGTAGCATAGCCCTGCATAGCGTCGGCATCCTCATCGAAAGAATGTCGGTAGTCCTCAAAGTTGTTGTCAGCCGGCGCAGGCATCAGCTCAGGATCCGGCGGCAAATCCGTAAACGACCAGGTATTATTCACCAAGGGGTGAACCGGGCCCTCAGAAGGGCGCGTTCTCGCCGGCTTAGCCTGCTCCTCCCCTCTTCTTCCTCCTCCTCCTCCTCCTCCTCCTCCTCATCATCATCATCATTCAAATGCTCGATGAACCTGGCCCTTGCCTTTCCCTTGCGATCCCTCCTTTCATTCTCAACAGGCCCGGCAGTATCATCCTCCGAAGCAGTCGAATCCCAACCATCGGCTTGCGTCTGCGACGGGCCAGCCTGCCTCTCAACCTGAAAAGCAGCCGGTTGAGCCTCCTTTAGCACAGGCTGCTCCCTCTCAAAGGCAGCCAGTTCTTCCGGCGTGAGGCTAGCCCGCGTCGGAACCAGAAAGTCGGCCAGCGTCTGCTCCAGGCCACGATCCCGTGCCAGCCGAAGAATGTCGAGCGGATCGCCGTCTGCTTCCTGGTAGAGCTGGCGATAGATTTGGCCCGGGCGAGGCTCGTGCTCATGTTCGAGGAGGTAGGGATCGTTGAGAGCTCTGGGCTCTTGTCTCTGCGCATCCTCGATGTGATCGATCTGCGCCTCGTCCTCGTCCGTGTCGCTCCAAATATCTTCCTGCTGGGGTGCGGGTTCGGGTTCAGGAATCACCTCGGCTTCAGCCAGCGGGGGATTCGCATCGATGCCGAAGCCGGCGCGCATGTTGATTTCGGGCTGTTGTTGGACAACGTAGTCGCGGACGAGGATGATCAGGATGAAGCAGACGATGACTAGGACGGTGATGAACTGGCCCTCGAGGATAGCGATGACAGTTCGATTGAAAGCCGGGAAGGACGTCAGATTCTTGAGAAAGTCAACCTCGCTCAGCAGCGTTGGCCGATGCGCGCTGGCCATCCTCTCCAACAAAGCCGTCGCATTGCCACTGATGGCGCCAGGTTTCTCGATCAGACCAACCGTGCCGAACAGCAGGCGAAGAATCGTGTTGTACATCGGGTCACTCGACGTCAGGTTGACCGAATAGAGGCTCTTCACAATCTTGGCTGATGCAGGCGGTAGACTCTCAATCACACCCCCAATCGTGGCGGCCGCCATGCCGGCTGCAAAGAGCGGGCTCGCCGCACACACGGGAGCACCCCCAGGTCCAGCCAGCACCACATTGCTAACCACTCCCGCGCCCGACTCGGACAGCGCCAGCCCAGACACAGACACAGGCTTTGCCCCCAACCCCTCATCACTAACCCAAAACAAAAACGACCACACCGACCGCATCATATACGGCAAGCACACCAACCAGACCACCACCACTAGCCCCACGCGCAACCATCCCATCATGCTCCTCGCCAAATACTTGGCCAGATGCGACATGAAGACATGGAACGGCAGCGAACTCGGCATGTTAGGGTCGTATAATTTCGTAAACCGGAACGGCGTTTTGCACAGCTCGCAGTGTTTTTTCTGCGAGTGGCTCAGCCACTCCAGTAAACAGTCCTGGTGCACGTATTTGATGGAGCCGGAGCACTTGCAAGGGTAGAACAGCGGTTCCGAGGGGGAGCCCTCGCCGCGGCAGATGCGGCAGGTATCGGGCTCGTTGTTGTTGGATGCGGTCATGTTGGCAGAGAGGGGACTAGAAAAGGGGGGTTGCAGGGCGCCAGAGGCGATGGGACGGAGGCGGGTGTTGGGGTAGAGGCGAGGGTCGGGGCCCGGGGGGAAGGGCTCGGGGTTTTCGGCCATGGTTAGGGTTAGGACGCCATTCCGCGGTTGACGGGAGGGTGTTGATGGGCAAGTAGAGGATTCCAGTCGAGTCTGGTGATGATCGTCAAAGAGATCGAGTCGGGGTTTGTCGAAGAGGCTCTCGATTTGAATCTCGTCGACCTGGCTGTATTAGGCGTCGATCGTCAACGACGAAGCGTCAAGATATCGTCGTCGTCGATCGGAATGTTCGGAGTTGTGCGTGGATGCGGGTGCGGATGCAAAAAATTGAGGCGAAGCAAGCGAGTCGAGTGGGCAAAGAAAGTGAAAGTCGAATCGAGTCAAGTCGAATCTGCGTTCACTGCTTCCTCTTTCTTGGTGGAGTTGTTGTTGGTCGCTGCCGATGTTCCACATTCCATACTTCCCGCTCTTTTTCTGATATTCTGGTTGGCTAGCGTGGCCAAGAATGAGGACAGCGAGTCAGCCAATGGGAGCAGTCGGTAGATGCATTGTGGGTCCAGATGCACGTGCCTTGTGCCCTCTCGAGGGCAGAGCGGCGGCGTCAGCCAAGCTGCGGCGACGGGCCTCGGCATCTCGATCTTTAATTTGGCTAGGATGGAAGGAATACCTAGAGATGCGAACACAGAGGTTAGATTGAATGACTTGACATCTTCACAGTCTCAAGCATCAAGCCTCAAGCCTCCATTGCGGATAGGTATCAGATCCTGATCTCATCATCATCAGGACCATCGGCATGTTACGTACATGATGCTGCAGGGAGCATCGGGGGCAGTAGGGGCAAACCAGGAGCTGTCCCATCACCAGCAGCCAAGTTGCAAAATGAACAACCTTGCAGATCGACACCAGACAGTTTGACAAAGAATCATAAAAATTGCCCTTTAGTAACATGCACCAAATCAAAAAATTTTCACTCTCAGCAGCTCACTCGCACACCGCCAGACTCACTGCAGCAGAGTTTTGCATGCCATTTGCATTGTGACACTTCGCTGCTTGCGGCGATGACGTCTCTTGCCGCTTGCCCACACATAACCCTGGACTCTGCCAGGGCCAGGACCCTGCGCCCTGCGTGGGGCTGCAGCGCAGGGTGGTTTGGCAAAACCATTGGCTGGCGGGCACAGCGCACGGGTCACTTCTCCCGTCACTGATCTCTGGCTGAAGCAGCGGTTGGGTGGTTTGGGTGGGATTTGTTTGAAGATGATTTGAGACAAAGGCTGCCAGGGGTTACTGTGGTAGACACTGTAGCTTATTTCAACGCGTCTCCCGCGTGCGTTTTTCATTGTCGTCGTTGATTTTGCTAGAAGCTTCCCATAGTCGAACTGTTGCCATTGCGTCTCCGTAGTGTACAATCACAGGCAAAAAGCCAAAAGAAGCCCACAACCACCCCGCCGAAGATAAGCAGACCGATAAGATAAGTAAGCAACAGCTCAGCGTCAGCGTTTGATCCATCAGATCCACAGCAGCCTTTTTCTCTCTCTTTTCCTTCCGACTGGCGCACCATCGCGCCGCTGGCCGCAACGACGACGCCCAACGCATCGCCCAGCCCATCTCTACATATCTGCGGACAGTCGACCTACACTAGCAGCTCGTCTTTCGGGTGCTTGTTTCTCCGACGCACGAGCGACGCCCAGCCCACATTGGCATTGAACCGAGGCTCTCATCAGACGGCGGTACCCACATCATCGCCATCACTATCGACGACATTGAGCCCAGCACATCACCCTTCTCCTCGCTTCCCTTCCCCGCCCGGGAAGCCTGATGGACGACGCCAACGGCTCGCTCAAGCCGCGCCCCGGCTCAGCCGGTGCCGGCGTCAACGGCTCTCTCAGCAAGTCCCCTCTCAACGGCTATGCCGTGCACAAGAGCACGCGGACAAAGCCTAAGGGGCCGGGGTTCTTCGCCCGCAGTTTCAGCATCATCGCTCGGTAAGCCCCTCTTTCCCTCTCTATGCCAGACAATGATTCTGACATTGTAGCCTCCTAACCTGGTACATCCTCCTAACCCTCCTCTTCCGCTGTCCTGCCTCGCCGGCCGACCTCACTGAGACCTCGCCCCCACTTTGCGCGCCCTACTTCCACCTGCGCTCGCTCCTCGCCCCGCATATCGAGCCATATTACACAACGTACGCGGCCCCCCACATCGCCGCCATCCAGCCGTACTACGAGCAGATCGACCGCACGGTGCTCACGCCCGCCTGGACGCTCGCCAAACGCCACGGCGCGCCGAGATTGCAGCAGGCTCAAGCCTTTGGGCAGGAGCAGTGGGATCGGCATGTTGGACCGCAGGTCATGAAAGTGAGGAAGGTCGCGCAAAGAGAGTATGAAGATAGGCTCAAGCCGCATGTGGAGGGCGTTGTTACGAGGGTAGCACCGTATGTTGAGCTTGCGAAGGGGAATGCCCTCGACACATATCACGAGGTGGTTGTGCCTTTGTACCAGACGGTCCAGCCGCATATCGTGCAGGGCTACAAGGTGGCGGCGCAGTTTACGCGAGGCACGGTCGTGCCGGGTTTTGTGTGGGGATGGAATAGGACGTGGGTGTTCTTGGAGGGGACGGTGTGGCCGCATGTGCGGGCGGTGTATGTTGGGAGTGTGGAGCCGCAGTTGGTGAAGATTGGAAAGAGACTTGGAAGGTATAGTTCGGGGAATAACGTTAACGGGAAGAAGTCGGTACCTGCTAGACCTGCGTCCGAGATGAGGTGGGTGGTCCTGGAAGTGTGGCGCTGAGGCTGTGCTGACGGGGAAATAGTTCCTCTGCGAGCAAGACCGTTTCGGCGTTTCTGAAGCCGAGTTCGTCGGTTGCATTGACTAGCTCGACCACGACCATCCCGACGTCCTCGACTAGCGGCGAGACTACGTCGTCCGAGAAACCGCGGCCCTCCCGCGTCCGCAGCATCGAGCACATCCCCCCGCCGGAAGTCGACGAGAAGCTGGAGAGTACTGATCCAGTTCGACGCACCGCTCGCGAAATCGTCGCCGCAGATTTGAAAGATTGGCAAGAGCGCTACACCAAGGCGATTGACGAGGGCGCTGCTGAAATTGAAGAGCGTGTCAAGGAGATCACCAAGCGCATGATTCGGCGCAATGCGCGTGTAATGGGTGTGTCGCTGCTCAAGGATCTCAAGACGACGACGGAAAAGGAGCTCACTGCTCTGCGGCCGGCCATTCTCGAAATCATCCGCGGCGTAAAGGAATCAGGAGCTGCGCCTGATTCAGCGCAAGACCCCGTAATCCAAGTAATCCGCCGCGCCGGCACCGCCATCAAGACCAAAGCTCAAGATGTGCGCGTCTGGCGCGAGAACTACGAGTCCGAAATGCAAGCGGCCATCACCAAGGCCGCCGAAACGCACTTCGCCATCCTCGAGCACATCCGGGACCTGGCCCTCCAGAAAATCGGCATGAAATGGGCCTGGATGGACGGCGTCACCTACAAGGACTGGGCAAAGTACCATTTGCTGAAGACGAGGTTTGACGAGTGGAAGGCGGATCTGGAGAAGATGATTGTTACACATCCTAGTTTGGAGGCTGCGCAAATCGAGGGGGCGGGGGTTGAGGACGAGGCGATGGAGATTGCTGCTGCCGCGGCGAAGGAGTTGGCTAGTGTGAAGGCGGCAGCGTTGTGGAAGTTGGAACGGGGCGATGTGAGTGGGGAGTGGGATGTTGAGGTGTTGGTGAGGAGGGAAGAGGAGGAAGAACGGGCGAGGGCTGAAGCTGAGGCTGCCGCGAGGGCTGCTGAGGAGGCTGCGAAAGCCCAGGAAGCAGAGACGGCTGAGGTTAAGCAGGGTACTTCGGAGGCAGAAAAGCCACTTGATTTGGAGGAGAGGTTGATTGAGTCGGATGAGGCGGTTGCAACAGAGCCTGTCCCCCAAGCTACTACCCCTGAAGTCCAGCCGGAGGCTGAGTCAGCTCCCGAGCCTGAGTCCTCCGAGGCCCCTGAACCGGAACCGGAACCCGAAGTCGCAGAAATGGCCTCCAGCGCCATCTTCGAAACCCCCGTCATAGCTGCCAACACATCCGATGTTAACGAGCCCATCGCCCAGGAGCCATCCGAGCTCCCTGTCGAGGATCAGACCTCCGAGCAGACGTCTTTTGAAGAAGAGCAAGAAACCCAACAAGAGCGAGACGAGTCCGACCACCCCTCCTCCTTCGAGCCCTATGCGACCAAACTAACCCGCGTCCCTTTCGGCGCCGCAGCCCAGCACGTCCCTCCTACTAGGCAGAAGATCATTCTTGATGATGAGTCTTCCGACTCCTCTGATTCGGACTCCGACGATGAAAGAGAACACTCCAAAATGAAGAAGAACAACAATCAACCTGAGGATATTGAGGCACTTCTTTCCTCACTACGCGCCTCCCTAACCAAGTCTTATTCATCAGCACTCTCCCGCGCCAGCGCCCAATACGATCAAGCCATGAGCATGATCTCCTCACTCAAGGCTCAAGACTCCCGTACGAAGGGGTACGAGGCCGATGCAGTGCTGGCGTCAATTACCAAGGCGTATAGCGCCGCCATGGAAGCTGCTAGCGCGAAGATGGAAGAGGTGTTGAAGCTTGTGCCAGAGGACGCGACAAAGCTGGAGGAGGTTGTAAGCAGGGTGGGGGAGATGGCTGGCAAGGTTAGCATATTGCCTATTAAGGAGGAAAAGGAGGAGTTGTGATAGGTACAGAACTGCGGGGAGAAAGAGGTGGAAATAATGATGATGATGAGGAAAAAAAAATAAAATGGCAGGTCCAGTGCTCCGAACCGAAAGCTAAGAAGGAAGAAAGTATGAGAACGACGGTTGGTTCATTGGGTGGGTGAGTGGATGGCGTGGTTTCTTCATAATTTTGAGGGATGGATGGATGGTTATTGTTATCTGATGCGAACGAATGGCTGGCTGACTCATTTTTTATTTTTATTTTTCCTGTTGCTTGTATCATCATCGTCATCAGATATATCGTAGACGTATCATGCATATACCCTATCTTATGGGAAGTATTTTGCGTTGAACTCTTGCGTATGCTCCATGTTCCTGGTTTTATGTGTCTGCTCGGTGTGTAAAGGCGTACAGCATGACATTGGGAACTAACTGTGCGGTGTATGTTGTTATATCAGCTGTCTGGAATTATGTCTGAAAAGGAGAGAGAAAACGACAGTCATGGCCAAGATAACAACTTTAGTCAGTATTGAGATGGTTCCAATCAAGAGAGGTATCCAAAAATGTACATTAGGCCCTACATGTATCCATACCGCCAATCCGATTCATCATGAGCTTCATCAACTGGAATATCAACTACCCTCCCCAAACCAAGTCAACTCCTCCATGGGCCCTGACCAAACTCTCCCTGACCCAAGCCAAGCCCATAACCAGATATCCTCACCCCATTCATCCCCTCAACCAACTCCCCCTCATCTTCATATTCCCCCGGGCCATAACCCCACGATCGTTGCGAGCGCAAACTAGCCCCCCTTTTTCGACTCCAATCCCGGGCCGCCTTCCTCTTTATCATCATATTCCTCCTCCTCCTCCTCCTCCTCCTTCTCCTTCTCCTCCTCTTCGTCAAAATACCCGGTGCTCATCCTCGATCGTTGGCTTGCCCTCCGCGTAACCCACGACCGACCCGACGCTGTCCGCGACAAATTCGTCACTGTAGTGCGTCCGCCGACTGTGCTTACGGAGCGCTGGCTCTCTCGTCTCCCAAGCTCGCCGGCATAACAATACCCCGAGCCGCGGATGCCGGTGCTCAAGACGCTAACGCGCTTGCCTTTAGAAGACCAGATCACCTCCCCCGGTGCCGTTCCATCCTCACGTGAGGGCAGACGGATCTCGCGAGCACAAAGAGTTTCACCAATGTCACGGATAAGAACCTCCATCGGACATATATACGCCACCCTCTTCCTCGCAGAAAACGCTAAGATATGTCCCGCTAGCGCATGCCCTTCCTTTTTATTATCCTCGTCGGGGTATGGCAAGCGGGAAATAACCCACGCCCCACTATCTCCCGGTACACCCATCGGTAGGGGTGACCTTTTGATCGAGTGCCCGGGTCCGGAGCGGAATTTGCCGACTGAAGGGGGAGAGAACGGCACGCCAGCGATTTGGTACGTATGACTGGGCGTTACCCGGCCAAAGATCTTGAGGGAGGTGAGAGTTGGTAAGATGACACCCGTTTGAATACCGGAGGTGCGGGCCATGCATTGGACTTGTAACCCCGGCAACAATAAAGTCGGGACGATAGACGTAGGGGAAATCCATCCCCCCTCACCCTCAGCACCCTCTTCGTCTTCATCGGGAAAGTTGGCTGATGGGATGGTATTCCCGCTCATCATCCTTCGCTCGTCGAACTTGAATAAGGCCCAATCAATTTCATGTACAAAGCCGAGTTCGTCTGTCCGCCGCCGGATACCACTACTCGCGTACATCGTCCCCAGCATGCACGTATCCAAGTGATCCTCATCCTGCGTCTCTGCGCAGGGGTAAAACCCCTCCGGCATGTCATCTAACGCGGGCTGCGTGATGATATACCCGTCACCACAGCCGGGCTCAATACCTGGTATATCTCCCGGCTCACTGAACTGCGATTCTTCGTCGTCTTCGTCTTCGTCGTCAGGTACGTCTTCAGAAGACCCGTCTGACGGGTCGGAGTACGAGCTAGTGATGGCCGATTCGGAGATATCGTCGGATTCCGAGTCAGAGAACTCGCATGCGTAGTAGGCGTCTTCGACGCTGCTGTTATCGCCTTCTGATTCAGTCTGGTAGCGGCAGTGCGTTTCGTACCATGCCGCCAGGTCCTGGACTTCTTCGTGCGCCATGCTGCGAGGTGTATTCTCAGTAGCAGCAGCAGCAGCAGCAGCGGCAGCGGCAGCGCTCCGGACGACTTGTTCGGGATCATCGAGCATATGGTGTACCGTCATGCCATATTGCTTTCCATCGACGACAATCAACCCGCCTAAACTCACAGGCGGCAGGTGTCGATCCCCTATCCAGGCTCCAATACTCGCCCCATTGGTAGGATGCTCCTGATAATCCGGATTTGCCGCCCCAATCTCTTCCGGATTATCCCTCTCATCCTCCTCACCGTCGCCAGAGCCAGACATACTCCTCGTTGGTACAACGTCCTTCCTCGACCTAACAACCTGCCCACGACAAACCTTCAATCCGATCCCCGACTCCCCGTCAAACACCCCGCCCAACTTCTTCCGCAGTATCGCCTTGACCTTGCTCACGGAGGTACACACCACCAGCACGGTAGGGCGCGTCTTCTGCGGGGACTCGCCGATGGACTCGAGGGAGATTTCGACTGACTCGGGGTGCTTGCGGTAGAAGGTGCGGAGGGCGGAGTTGATTTGGGGCATGAGGACTTTGTTCCAGTGGTCGACGACGTCAGGGGGGAGGGTGACGTGCGGGTAGAGGCGGAGTTTGGGTTTGGGCGTGACTGGAGTTGGGTCGGAGACTGAAGGGTTAGCGTCAAGTTGGTTGTAACGGATCGTTGAGGGGAGCTTACTTTTCTGAACCTGGGCCTCGCCCCCCCTCGCAGCCCTCTCCCACATCGCCTCCCTTTCCTTCTCCTTCGCCGCCTTCGACGAGCTCACATCGGCAGCCGGCACACTCTCACTCTCTACTGGCATCCTCTCCTCCCCAAGCTCAGCACCCAACCTCTCCTCCAACGCATTGACTCCATCCAAAATACAGCACGCCTCCAAATACCTGCTCGCCCGCGCCTGCGCCTTCCGCACAATCTCCTCCGTACTTCCCGCAGCCCCCATCAACTCCTGATCCACTGCCCTCCAACACGTCTGCACGGCCTTCATATACAGTGTGCCACACCGGATAGCCAGCTGATCTAACAATGCCTCAGACACAGGCGACTGCGGGTGCGTCACCAGATTCTCCAGCTTCGTCCACAGCCCAACAGAAAGCAACACCATAGCCAGCGAATACAAATCGAAAATCTTGGACCCCGCCTTCTCGGCCAGCGGTGACGCGGCACTATTCCTCGGATCGAGTGGATGCCTATACAGCGAGTATTCCTCCCCGGCCTCCTCCCCGGGGGCATGCGGATCCCAGAATAGATCAAACCCTGACAGCAGCGGACGCCGGATGTCCACCTCCCCCTGGGTAATTCCACTCACTTCGGGGTCCGTCCCGACCGCATTGCAGAATGAGATATTCTCTGTCACCAGAGCGCAGTGCGTCACGCCCCGATCGTGAAGATCAAAGAGTGTATTGGCCAAGTTAGCAGCAAGTCGGAACTTCGCCTCCAGCCGGGGCTCAAAATCCGGTCGGGCAAGGAGATCGGCTAGAGTGCACATGTTATTGAGTGGGTGCTGAGTCAGGTGCTCGAAGGTGACGGCGTGAAAGGTCCTAGGAAACTGGTACACCAGGCCGAAGCGGGAGCTGTCCAGGTCTTCGAAGTACCCGAGCATTCGGGGTAGGCCGGTCCAGGAGCCGGGGGCACGCTGTGGCTCGGCTTGGAGGGCAGCAGAGATCTTTTCGAAGCGATTCATTGGCGGGGGAATGCCGGTTTTGGTGTAGATATCGTCGAAGTAGGCGTACTCGAGCAGCAGCGGGGCATGGGCCTGGGCGCTGGTGCTGCCGATCTTGCGCATCAACTCCGCAAAGGCGTCGCGTTTCATGATGACGATTTCGCGTACACGTTCGCCGTGCTCGACGGGTTCGGTCATGGGCTCCGCCTGGATCAAGCGCAGGGGCGTGAGCGTCTTAGGATCAATAACCTGAGGCGTTTTGATCCTAGTCGACTCGAACGGACGCATTTCTTCCAGCGAAGGCAGCGGTTTTTCGAGCCTAGCCCTCGCTGCCGCCGACGACACCGCAAACGACGACCTCGTCCTCGACAAATCATACAGCGTATCAATGCTCGTTGTCAAATCTCGTATCAAATCCTCAAACTTATTCCTATCCCACACCACCATTCGAATCTTCTCTCCCTTTCTCTGCGTTCCTCCAGAAACCTGCTCATGCCGCTTATTCCACAACTGTTCCGCTTCGGCCAGGATATCCCTTATGGTGGTCATGATACTGCCCACGACCTCGCTCAGCCCAGCCTTGGACAAAGACGAGTCGATGAGCACCTCGGCCGAGGCCGAGGCCGCCTGGTTCGGGTCAGACCATTCCAGACCCCAGGTAACAAGGCGGTCCTTTTGGATGCGCAGCTTGCGGTGCAAGGCCTGAATTTCGGGGTCGGAATCGGCATGGGGGGCGGGTTCTTGGGTGAGGAAGTCGGATTTGCGTTTGGTGTCGTTGTAGAGCCGGCTTAAACGGCGCTGGAAGGGGACCCCGCGGGTGTAGGACTCCATGGTGCTCGGTTGACTTGGGGATAAATGTTTAGAGGGCGTAGCGCATGCTGAAGGAGATGCTAAGAGGGGAGAAGAGAGTTTGCACTACTTCCACCGATCGCTCGGCCACAGTGGCAGCCACGTAATGCACGGTAGGGGCTCAATAACGTCTCTAGCTCGATAAAACCAAGCCGTACTGAGTAATGCAGATTATCCGACGTCATCAACCGGACCAGAGCAACTTAGGTATAGATGCAGCTAGTGTCCAGACACTAAACACCTCCCCTCCAAAACGCCGAATAAAGAGGGAGGTGGAGTGGATAAGCGTTAATGAACAAGAGACCCAACAGCTAACCAGCGCACTCAACACCCCAACAGGCGACTCCAGTGTTGTCAGTCAGCAGTTGGAGTCCAGGATTGCGCAGCCTCATCCACCTGGCACCTGCTGATCCCTCCAGCATCACTGTGCCCGAAACCGAAGAATCTTGCGACACGTCCAATTGGAATCCTCGCCACTACCAGGATGGTCGGAGACAAAAAAATAAGGATGTCGAGGTGGCCCAACAGACGTATGGTCCGCCGCTGCGTCGTTATTTCGGTGCCTGCTGCGAGTCTGAGTAGAGTGCTCACCAACTCTTTGGGGCTAGGAGGTTCCCGAGCAGCACAACAGAAGTGACAGCAACAAGTTCCAGTTTCGGCTCACTCTCTTCCAGGGTACCCTGACAGTCGTACGAAGTCCCTGTGAAACCACGCTCTCACAAAATCTTGACTTCACTCCCTGCTTCCCCCCTCTCTCTATCTCTCGTTCTCTTTCTCTCGTGTCTGCGCGCTGCGCTGCGTCGCAGCGCAGCCATCGGATGGAGTTGAGGGGCAGTGGGACCGCGGCAGGCGGCAGGGAGGTGGGGTGTGCCAGTGGAGACGTGCTGTGGGCGGCCAATCGGGCTGTCGAGAAACCTGCTGCCTGGTGGCCCTGCAGCCAATCGTCGGGCGGCTGCTTGCTCCTTTTGGTGGGTGCCTTCTGTGAGTGACACATCACGTGATGAACAAAGTCTGATAGGCTGCTTGCATCGGAGTGGGTGGGTATAATATTCGGGGCGATCGGGTCCGGACACCCATGGGCGGAGCCGGCCCGTGGTGGCGAGGTTGAGCTGGGACAAGAGTTGGGGACGAAAAGAACAAAAAAAAAAAGAGAGATAGAGAAAGGAACAAGAGAATATGATTCTGGCTTCCATCTACAACACATAAGATAGGTCAAATTACCTAGCGTATTATAATTAATCAATCATCAACCTCAATATAGGTGTCCATGGACCGTTGTCAACTCAGTAACACTCAGCGACCAAGATTCAAGAGAAAATATTACCCATTCTAGAACCATGCAGATCGCTGCATCCTGCGGGTGCCTGACACACCATGCGTGAGGCTCTTCCAGAATCTCGCAAACGACAGATATGGAAATTCAATATGCAGAACAAGCAATATAACATATCCAAACATCAAGGACGATGGACAGTGGACACTGGACAACTCACAATCGCTCCAGAAGGGATGGGCACTAATTTCCCTCAGCTATGCAGTCAAGACGACGCACTGGATGCGCTGCGGTGGTCGCGTCGCGCCTTTTTGACGGCTTCGCCCGCCAGCCTCGCAAGTTCGGCCACGAAGTCATCAATCATGCGCATGTGTACCATCTCGTCACGCGCCAGCCGGCGCTTGCGCATGTCCTGGATCAGCTGCGGGACCCAGTTGAGCAGCTCCAGGTCGCCGTCGACGTGGGCGTGCATCGGATTATAGATGATGTTGCAAAAGATAGTCCAGACCGCCGAGATGGGGTAGATGACGGCCATCCTGAAAAGGTAAAACTTAGCTGGCTACAGAATGCAGACAGAGTGACAGACTATCGTGGAAGACTCACCAGAACACCTCGCCCATCAAATTCTGGACGATGGCCTTGATGAAAAACAACGTCGACCGACTAGCCTCAACTGCCAACGCCATGCTCGAGCCAACGCCCTCCGGCATCTCAAACGGCTTGTCAGTCGACCACGAGCTACACCGCCCAGTGGCCGCGTGGATGGCTGCTATTAGACGATGATACTCCACATACACCATGACCCTCTCCATGTGTCGCAGCTCGCTCATAGACGTAGGCTGGTCGTGCCGCAGCGAGAGCCACGGCCGGAAGGTCGGTGGTACCGCCAAACGCCAGGCCTCAAGCTCGTCGTCCAGCTCGCGGATGTCGCGGATCAGTTCCGCGTCCGATTTGCGGAGCGCGCGGGCCGAGTACAGTAGCTGGTAGGTCTTGGACTTGAGCATGTCCAAGCGCAGGTCGCCAGGGAAGAGGGGCACGGCTGTGTCGTTAAGGAGTGCAGCATCTGCCTCCTGCATGTCTTCCTCGAGGTATTTGGCTTCCACGTAGCCGTGGGGCAGTGTTAAATCGCAGTCGTCGTCGTTGATGGACGGCGGCTGGCCAGTGCGCAGCGAGATCTCCTTGTCGCAGGAGTAGAGCATCCAGAACATCTTGCGCAGCTGATTGTCGTAGCGCCAGTCGAGGCTGGGCGGGCTCTTTGGTAGGGGGACCACGATGGTGTGGCCGCCGAGAGTGAACAGCATGCGGCAGGCAAGTGAATTATAGACGGCTGCCTTTTGCAGCTGCCCAAGCATCAGATGGTACAGGGCCTGGGTTATGAGCTTTCTTGGGTATCCACTGGAGGAGTTCGGTTGCTTTAACTTACTAGAAGGAAGCACGTCTGCAATCCGACCAGCGTCGTCTCTTGCAGCACCTGTGCCAGCAGGCACTGTGCCTTCACAGCGCATTCCTCGCCATCAAGGATTGGCAGAGACGGCGGGTACTTGTGGTGGATGGCCAGAAGGGCCAGAAAGGCAAAAATGCATGCCTTGGCAGTGGCCCACTCCTGTAAACAGGCCGTCTGGGGATTATAGGCCACCTCAATGGTCTGCTGGAAGAGGACAGCGTCGATGACTGGCCAAATGCGCTTGAAGGGCGTGGCAGAATACATGCAAAGAGCCTCTTCGATTGCCTTTCTGTCTGGCAGGTCTAGGTTCGGCTGGGCTGCCGTTCCACACAACATGGATGGGTGGAGATGATGCCGCTGGAGAATCGACTCTGCGGCCTCACAAACAGCCTTGAAAGGCGCCGGATCGCCAGTCCTTGAGGCAATCCACATCCGTCCCTCCCACGACAGGAACGGCATGCCGTTATGCAGGCTGATCTCGCCAAGATGGCGCCCGGCAAAGTGAAGCCTCCCTAAGAGAGGCGCCGGCCTGCCACGGGGAGGGGGAGGAGCAACGACAGCGTTTCTTTTCCTCCGCTTCGTGGAGATGGGCCGGTTCCAAGTGCACTCCATGTTATGGTGATAGCACCAGTCGCAGGCCGGCCCAGGCCTCTCGCGGTCGCATTGTATCTGTCAGCAGATGTCAGCGGAGTCGGGTTTGGAAGAATCAAGAGAGCGAGGATTCGAGCTCTCGGGAATCCGAGCATCGTCGACTCCGAGTAGAATCAGGTCTCGCTCTACTGTACCTTTCGGCGAGCGCAGGCATCACATGCCCGCTTCTTCATCGGGCGCTCCATGTTACCGATACAGGCACTTGCTACACCAATAGAATGCCTCGTTTCATGTGTCGTTGGGCGGCATCATCGCGACAGATCGGGACCAGGTCACCTGTCACCGATGGCCTGCCGCGCCGGTCCGACGTCGTGCCGCACGCTGTCGGTCGAGATATCGTACTCGTAAGGATACGGTACAAGCAGCGCAAGATTTCTGGCAATTAAATTCTAAATAGAGAGATCACAATCTCCTCATAGAGAAGGAATGCACGCTGACTGGTCTTTCCTAGAGTTGTTGCCCGTCGCCTTCGGTATATGCGCTTAGTCAGCGGGGCGTCGTCAATTGCGGGCCAATCAGACTATTCCGCTTATGTAAGCGGAAGGATTCGGTGCAGACGGTCTGCTCCGCCTCCACTACATGAGGTCGTGTTCCCGTTTGACAGCTTCTCTCTGCCTTTCCGCATCCTTCAGGACAAGGAATCACAGGCGCTGGCCGCAACACACGAAAACTACAAGGCCATTGGTATGCTTTCTCAGAGAATTCTCTGCTCTTGGCCAGAATGGCCGAGGTCTATTTATTGCCCGTCCGTCGGGCAGAGTTGACGGCGAGGTGGTCACGGCTGCGCTTGAAGCTGGTTGACTCTTGAGCTCCCTCAACATCAGCCATGTCCTCTCCGGCCTCATCCTTCCACCTCGACACCAGCGAGCTCAAGGCCGATCTGAACATCGCCAGTCTCGGCCTCGAACCCCGCCGATTGGGTGTTAGCTGGAAGGACCTGACCGTGACCGCCGACGCCACCAACGCCACTATTCATAACAACTTCTTCTCACAGTACAACATCTTCCAAAAGCTGCGCGACTCCCGCCGCAAGCCGCCCGTCAAAACCATACTCGACAACTCCCATGGCTGTGTCAAGCCAGGTGAGATGCTCTTGGTGTTAGGCCGCCCCGGCTCAGGCTGCACGACGCTTCTCAGCGTGCTGGCCAACCGCCGCCGGGGCTGCGCCAGCGTCACGGGCGACGTCTGGTACGGGTCTATGTCGGCTGCTGAGGCTGAGCAATACCGCGGGCAGATTGTTATGAACACGGAAGAGGAGCTGTTTTTCCCATCTCTAACAGTTACCCAAACAATTGACTTTGCCACGAGGCTGAAGGTGCCAGCCAACGAAGGGGTCTCGCAGGAGGAGCTGCGTCAGAAGATGCAGGACTTTCTGCTAAAGTCCATGGGAATGAGCCACACGCGTAATACAAAGCTCGGGAACGAGTTTATTCGGGGTGTGTCTGGCGGCGAGAGGAAGCGCGTATCTATCATCGAGTGCCTGTCCACGCGTGGGGCAGTCTTCTGTTGGGATAACAGCACTCGCGGGTTGGATGCGAGCACGTATGTCTAACACCAAGTAGTCTCCTGAGTTTGTTCCCCTGCTAACCCCAACAGAGCCCTCGAATGGGCCAAAGCTATCCGCACCTTAACCGACACGCTCGGCCTGGCCACGATCGCAACGCTCTACCAGGCCGGCAACGCCATTTACCACCTCTTTGACAAAGTCCTTCTCCTCGATGGCGGCAAGCAGATCTTCTACGGCCCCATCAAGGATGCCCGCCCGTTCATGGAAAGCCTAGGCTTCGCCTGCCAGGAGGGCGCCAACGTGGCCGACTTTTTGACGGGCGTGACTGTCCCGACTGAGCGCCGGATCCGGCCAGGTTACGAGCTCACCTTTCCGAGGACTGCTGAAGAGGTCAAGGAGGCGTACGAGAAGTCGTCCATCTATGGGCGCATGCGCAGAGAGTGCGATTATCCTTTTACCGAAGAGGCCAGAGAGAACACAGCGCGCTTCAAGCAGACTGTAGCCGCCGAGAAGCACACCCAGCTCCCTCGCGACAGCCCCCTGACCGTCAGCTTCACCGAACAAGTCAAGGCCTGCGTCATGCGCCAATACCAAATCGTTTGGGGCGACAAGACAAGCTTTCTTGTCAAGCAGCTCTTCACCATCATGCAAGCGCTAGTCATGGGCTCGCTGTTTTACAACGCGCCAGACAACTCAAGCGGACTGTTTGGCAAGAGCGGTGCGCTGTTCTTCTCCTTGCTGTACAACGCCTTGCTGTCCATGACTGAGGTGTCGAATTCGTTCAGTGGCCGATCGATCCTAATCAAGCATCGGTACTTTGCGCTGCACCATCCGGCTGCGTTTTGTGTCGCCCAAATTGCGGCCGATATTCCGCTGGTATTCTTCCAGATCTCGGTCTTTTCCGTGATTATGTACTTCCTGGTTGGTCTTGAGGCCAGCGCGGGCGTCTTCTTTACGTATTGGCTCATCCTGGCCGTAACGACGGTGTGCATGACGGCGCTATTTCGGGCCATCGGCGCGTCCTTTTCGGCATTCGATGGTGCTGCGAAGATGGCTGGTTTGACAATTACTTCGGCCATGATGTACACGGGATATATGGTCCAGAAGCCGCAGATGCATCCGTGGTTTGTGTGGATTTACTGGATTAATCCGCTGGCGTATGCGTTTGACGCGTTGCTGTCGAATGAGTTCCATGGGAAGATAATTCCGTGTGTTGGGAACAACTTGGTCCCCAACGGGCCCGGCTATTCGGACGCAGCGCGTCAGTCGTGCGCTGGCGTCCCAGGAGCAGTTCAGGGGCAGACTTTTCTCACCGGCGACCAGTATCTGGCTGCTTTGACCTACAGCCACACCCACATCTGGCGCAATGTTGGCATCATCGTCGCCTTCTGGGCTCTCTTCGTCATCTGGACTGTCATTTCGACCAGCAGATGGCGCGCCCCGACCGAAGGAGGCTCGACTCTCCTTATCCCCCGGGAATGCTCCAAACCCCTCAAACAGGACGAAGAAGCCCCAGCTGAGAAGAGCCCAATTACCCACTCACGTGCTCAACTCACCAGTCACAACCAACTCCTTCGCACAACCTCCCTCCTCACCTTCCAATCCCTCTCTTACATCCTTAAATCCCCTCACGGTGATGGCGACCTCACTCTCCTGTCCAACATCCAAGGCTGGGTCAAGCCGGGCATGCTCGGCGCCCTAATGGGCGCGTCCGGTGCCGGCAAAACCACGCTTCTTGACGTCCTCGCGCAGCGCAAAACCGACGGCGTCGTCACCGGCTCTATTCTGGTTGATGGTCGGCCATTGCCACTGGCGTTTGCGCGTTCGGCAGGGTACTGCGAACAGTTGGACGTGCATGAGCCGTGGGTAACGGTTAGGGAGGCGCTGGAGTTCTCTGCGCTGACGAGGCAGGGTAGGAATGTGTCGCGGAAGGAGAAGTTAGAGTATGTGGAGAGAGTGATTGAGCTTCTTGAACTTCAGGATCTGGCAGACACTCTGATCGGGACGCCAGGAAACGGGTTGAGTGTCGAGCAGAGGAAGAGAGTCACAATCGGGGTCGAGCTGGTCGCAAAGCCAAGTATCGTGCTGTTTTTGGACGAGCCAACATCCGGCTTGGACGGGCAGGCAGCGTATAACACGGTGCGGTTTCTTCGGAAACTGGCGGATGCGGGACAGGCGGTGCTGGTGACGATTCATCAGCCTTCAGCGCAAGTTTTTGGGCTGTTTGATGCGCTTTTGTTGTTGGCGCCAGGGGGGAGGACAGCGTTCTTTGGGGAGATGGGACCGAATGGGTCCCGGGTGAGGGACTACTTCGCCCGATACGGCGCCCCGTGTCCTGAGGATGCTAATCTGGCAGAGCATATCATTGACGTTGTGTCTGGCCGCCCGCCTTCCCAAGGCAAGGACTGGGCTGAGACCTGGCTCTCCTCCCCCGAGCACGCAGCCGTCACACGCGAACTTGACACTCTCATCGCCACCGCAGCCGCCAAGCCACCCCAACCCCTCCCCGACGATTCCCATGAGTATGCCCTCCCCCTCTGGGAGCAAATCAAGCTCGTCACGTCCCGTACTTCACTTTCGTTGTACCGTAACACCCCCCACCTGAACAACAAACTCATGATGCACCTCGTTTGCGCGCTCTTCAATGGGTTCACTTTCTTCCAGATCGGCGACTCCCTTTCTGACCTCCAGCTCCGCGTCTTTTCGGTGTTTAATTTCGTATTTGTGGCTCCCGGTGTGATCAACCAGATGCAGCCTCTTTTCTTGCAACGCCGTGCGCTATTCGAGGGGAGGGAGCATAAGTCAAGGATGTACTCTACGATAGCGTTTGTGACAGCCGTGATAGTGGCTGAAATCCCGTACCTCATTCTCTGTGGCGTGGTGTACTTCACGGCATGGTACTTTACCGCTGGCTTCCCCATCTCCCCTTCTCGATCTCTCGCGACCCTGCTCACAATGCTTCTGTTTGAACTAGTTTACACTGGGATAGGACAGTTTGAGGCAGCTGCTGCGCCGAACGAACTCTTTGCTGCTCTAACAAACCCTGTCGTATTGGGTTTACTCATTTCATTTTGTGGAGTGCTAGTTCCCTATGCGCAGATGGCTTCTTTTTGGAAACATTGGATGTACTGGATTAACCCGTTTACGTATCTCGTTGGTGCGATGATGGTGTTTGGGCTGTGGAAGCAGGAGGTTATGTGTAAACCCGAAGAGCTGGCGGTTTTGAAGGCACCTGGGAATTTGACGTGTGGGGAGTATTTGGCAGGCTATCTCAAGGGCATGGGAACTGGCGCCAGACTGTTGGATCCAGACGCTGTTGGGGAGTGTCGGGTGTGTGCGGTTAAGAGTGGGAGTGTTTACCTTAAGGGGTTGAATTTGAGGGGTTTGGGGGATGGTTGGAGGAATGTGGGTGTGGCGGGGGTGTTTGTGGTTAGTTCGTGGGTTTTGGTGTATGTGTTTATATGGTTGAGGGTAAGGAGGAGGGGATGAGCTGTCATTTTTTTTCTTTGGGGCTATGTTGCTTGCTTTTGATTGGAATTCTGTAAAGCTGATGCAATGGACTTACTCTACTCCTTAACATACTCTCAGTTTGCCACGCTGCATTCCAGAACGTCACGACTGCTCAGTCCAATGTGTCCTGAGCAGCATCCCGTGTGCAGCTCGAGTTTGTAATTGGTCTCACTCGCGCCCTTGAAGCCATCGTCCAACCTCTTAATGGCTAGCTTACCCTCCCTATTCAAGCTTCAGGATCTGATATTCACCTTGGACTCCTCTTGATGTACTGTAGGTAACCTTTGATAGAGCGGATGCTGTATCCGTCGCCAAGAACACAAGAGGTCAAGACAAGCTCGCCAAGGCCCAACGGCGTCAGGCCAAGCCGACGAACGCTGGCGGTCTTACGCTAGCTCGATCTTCAGACGTGGGGGGCCCCCTGTTCATAGTCTCAGTTCTGCCATTTGAGGCTCAATGATTAATCCCATCCGCAAGTCAGAAGCCACAATCTGAGTCTGATTCAAGGAAATGAAGTCAATTCGAACAAGCAGCCAACAGAAACAACAATAACAACAAGAACTCAGATCAACGCCTTGCTATCACAATTCTACTCCTTTACCGTCGGGGTCAAAACCAATCTCTTCCCCTTAACCTCCTCAGAGTCCCAAACCGCCGGCAACTCTTCCAACCCCACAGTAACCACCTCCTCTGGCCTTTCCATCCGGCTCACACACTCCAATAACCCTCCAATCTCCCTCTTCACTTCGCCCTTCCCCCACGCTCCCATCCCCGACCCCGTGATCCTGATCGGTCTGGCGTTCAACAACTTGCTAGGCAGCATAATCTCTTCCTCACCAGCTAGATCCCCGACGTGAATGTATTGTAGTTCCTTTCCGGCTTCGATTTGCGCGGTGGAGAGGGCACCGATGGCAGCGCGGCCGCCGACAAAGTCGAGGATTATGTCTATTGGGCCGACTTCCTTGGGCAAGACAAATGGATCAGTTAGCAAAACACGTCCATCTAGTCCCGTGACTTGATCCAGAGTCTCTTGCTTGCGCGAAGCTCCGATTATACTTGAAGCGCCGAGATCTTTTGCCACGTGCACAGCAGCCCTCCCGCTAAGGCTGGTGACCCCCATGACCAGGACCCTCGCCCCCTGCACAGAATTGGGCAGAGCCCTGCACTTCAATGCCATCCACGAACTCCCCACCGGATTCGTCCATGCTGCGACTGCTACTGGATCTACCCCCCTCGGCAGCTTCACCGCCGCTTGCTTTTCAACGTTAACCTCCTCAGCCCAGAGTTTGGCTGCAAGAGGGGTAACGTAGTAAGTGTCGCCCGTGTTTTGATCCAAAACGACCCCGTCTAGGGAGGGGTCGTAAGGCAGGGTGGCACCCTTGGAGGAGGGGTGCAGACCTAAAGCGCGGCCGCGGACGACAGGGGGGATGGAGGTGGCGAGGACGTGGGCGCGGATTTGGGATTCGGTCGGGGCAGGCAGGCCGGGAGAAGTAGCATTGAAAACCGGGGGCTGGCCCCAGGCGGTGATGGAGGCGGTCTTCATCTTATGTTGGGATGATTTGTGGAAGTATTTTGAGGTTAGGGTTCGGAAAGACTGGTTGAGTGACAATGGTGTTGTTCGCGTTGGACGAGTTGAGAGAGAGTTGACTCTGATTGTTCTGAGGGACCAATTGACAGGTGAAGGGTGCATGTCGGCAGCTTATATCCTCGCTCTCGCCTTGCCAACACACGACAACTTCCCATAAACTGTTTATTTAGCATTCGAGACTGATGTTGAGAGCTTGCGCGTCATCTCGGCCTCACTTTTCAACATCTAACGCCGCTTATATGCACGTATCAAAGGATCATGGCCGGGAGCAGCAGCAGTGTGGCACGGCCCCTGAGCGGCAGCTCTCCCAATCACTCCCCTCGGTAATCACACCTTGGAGGAGAAGAAATCCGCTGAGTCAGCAGATTAAAGAGCATCCTTCGTAGTTAGATCCATGGTCCGCTTACTGAGCGGATCTTAATGTTAACCAGCAGCAGCAAAAGCAAGCCGCAACATCAGAGACGACATCAAGTGCTAGGAATCAAATTTAACAAAGTATCCAACACTGAACAAACTCCTCTGGCTTAATTGACAAATAATCAATTAGACTGTTCAAACATTTGTTATGCGTGCTCCAACTTCTTCCTGGTCCCTTCGTTACCGTTGGGTGAGGGTCACAGGTTCAAAGACTTGATCTGGACCTTCACACGCTTAGTCAGCGGACCTATTCCCGCTCTGACAGGTTCGGGGGAGGGCAGCGTCACCCATGATGTGGGGAACTTGTGCTCACAAACCGAGACGTCAACCTGTCGGTCCACACAAATCTCGACGAAGGAAGATGCAGTATGCCTATTCTTATGCACTCGGTACTTGGCAAAGTCCGAGTCCTATTGCGAGGCCGAGCCCCATGGAATCGGGAGAGAGAGAATACCGGAAAATCCAACCTCAACAAGCAGGGTACTTGTACCTGGCTGTAATGACTGGACGTCTTGATGGTCAATTGGCACTTCGACAAGTGTGTGTCAAGTCAATCAACCACACCAAGCACCAAAGGCTCAAACTGCCCATGAGTGACGCCCCAACTTCATCTCACCATCATTATCGCTACCAAGTCGTTCAACTTCGATCCCATAGCCACCAAGCAAGGTCGAGACCGAAGCCAGCAATTTAGTTCGTTAGCTAAATGTAGTTATTTTTGTAGGCACGCGTCCAAGTCCATACATAAAGCAAGTCCGTAAGTCATGTCGTGTAGAGCAAGCAACAAAAGATTTCGTTAATAATCCATTCATCACTTTTCCATACCATTTCATTACCCCCTTTCCTTAGGTTCCTTTTGTCGAGTCCCAGTGAAAACAAGAAGAGATTAAACATATTCCTCAGTGAGATCAGCAGTCGAAGCAGGACAACAAGCCATGTGAGGGTAGTACTCGGCGGCATAGCAAAGTGTCGTGTCGTAGCTCGTAACTCCTTAAAATCGGTTCAATGTTCTCGATACCACACGACGGTTAAGGTGGGTCGTCGGCCTTGTATAAGTTGTTCGTGGATCGCTGTCACTGGTCGACACAGACCACAGCAGGTTAAATGTCATTGTACGCCAGAATACTCGGGCTCTCATCCCCAGCAACCAGCCACGTCCACACCGCTGACGGCGTGTAGCTCGTAGTCAGGGAGTACGACCGACCATAGTCGGCACGCTCAAATACAGTCGGGTCCTGGGCCTTCAGGCGCGCCACATTCTCTGGGACGGCGACGGCCAGGAAGTGGTCGCGCTTTTCGCCGCGAGCGAGGGTTCTGTCACACACTTGTTAGCCTCACTTACTCTGTGAAAAAAAGAGGGAGAAGAGAGGACGCACAATGCATTCCCAAAGATCCCATGGCACAAACACGGCTCCTTCTTAAGCAGCCCCTGCTGCCAAATGCATTCCCTGCCCCTCTCCACTGCCGCATCAATCTTATCGTGCAGGTTCGGGAAAAACTCTCTCAGGCTCAAAAGCGACGTCACAAACCCCGGCGCTCCATGGCAGAACTGCACCAGCCCCTTCCCGCCCCCCAGACTCGCCGCCTCCTCGGAACTAGGCCAATTCCCATCCTCCCTTTGCATCTCCAGCAACCGGGACAAGGTATCCTCAAGTCTGGGCGCCAGCTCAGGCGACGTTAGAACCAACTGCGTCACAATCCCGATATCTCCGTGTGCTGCCCCCAAATACCTCTTTCCCCGCCACTTCCAGTTGGGTGCATTCCCCAGCATGGCATTTTCAACCTCCACAATCGCAGGCCCAATCAGATCATCACAGCCGGACACCCACGTACGCACCATACGTAGCAGGTAGAGCGTACCGGCGCGGCCGTAAAGCAGTTCATCAGGATATTCGGAGACCGCATCCATGATTTGCATGACGCTCCTCACGAACGTCTTTACATTTTGTCGATCGGTGTCGGAATCCTCCCCAGCGAACACAGAGCACCTCACAGCCTCATAAGCCAACCTTTCATCCCCAATCCCACACCCATGCGACCCCAGACGGAGGTTATGCCCCCGCGAGGCGGGTGTGGAACCGATGTATGCGCGGGCCCAGTCCTTCACGGTACGTCCGGCGATGGTGAGCTCGGGTTTGCGTGAGGAGACTTGCAGCAGGAGGTAGGCGATGCCGGTTGGGCCGCTCCACAGGCCGTGGAGGAATTCCGAGGGGTAGCGGTTGCGCGGGGGAAAGTTGGAGATTATGTCTTCGAGGGCGTTGGTTAGGTAGGTGAGGGTTGATGTGGGGGAGAGAGTCAGGAGGGGGGAGGTTTGGGGGAGGTAGCGGTGGGGCATGGTGACAGTCTACTGTGGCTTGACTGGATCTTGACGAGGGTCCGTTGGGATGACTCGTCGACGGGTCGATTGACTGGGCTGGACTCGATGAGGTGTCAGGTTTTGTGGGACAATTCGATCGGGCAGCTTGCGACTAGTCGGTCGTCGACCAGATCGGGTTTGTCGCTTTCAAGTTGATTCGCAACGGCCGACTCGGGTTAGTTAGTCCAGGCTAGTGACGCGCTGTCGTCGTTGGCTAGGTTGCATGCGTCCTAATGTAAACGCCGGTGCTGGAGCAAATGGTGAGTGAATGGAAGAAGCAGCGTCGGATTGACGTTTGGTTCAGAACTTCAGGTGTTCAGGTTTGGAATTGTTGTTGGGTGAAGAAACAGTTCGCTGCGAAATTACAAAGGTTAACCTGAAGGTGGGAATTTAGAAATTGGGAAATGAACCGAATCCGCTGGATCTTTCCGCTCCTTCCACTTGCGAGTTCGCTGCCGGGACCGATCGGAATAAGGCCAGCTCTCTGTCGTCATGACATCTGCAGCGGGACAAAAGTGGGGCTGCACGGGCTTGGCGCTGCGGGGCGCCTTGAAAGGGAGCCACTCATGCCCCACCATTTTCGGACAAGTGGGGCCGTGGTCCGACGACCACCCGCTCATGCCGGCCCACTCGGGACCGGTGCCCTCCTACAATCTCACTTCAATACCTTGCTGTCTTGAAAAGGTCTCAGATTTTCCATTTTTCAGATGGCTGCCTGAATTACTTTCTACTGCCCCTTCTTCGCCTTCTCGGCTAGTTCCTGAGCCTTCCGCGCCTTCTCCTGGATCACCTTGCGCAGGTCATCCTTGGTCTCCTGCATCAGCTTCGTTGCTTCGTCTGAGTGCTTTTCCAATGCTGTGGACAAGGCCTTCAGATCCTCGCGCAGCTTGCGCTTTGTATTCTCGTCAACGTCCTCAAACGGGTCGACTTTGTGCCAGAGCGAGGGCTGGCTGCCCACAGCAGCCGAGATGCCCTTCTGTGCTAGACTCCCCCCTGATGACTTCGCTTTTTCCACAGCTTTCCTGACATATTCCTCGACCTTTGAAACATCGGTACCCTCTCCAAGACTTTTCACTTGCTCCCACAACCCCGCCACATTCCCCTCCTTCAACGCATCCACATTCTCCATAATCATATCCCTCACCCGCGGCGCCTTATCGAGATACGGTTGGGCCTGTTTCATCCCCTTTTCCCAAGTCTCATCCCCAATCATCTTCAACTGCTGCATCTTCTCCTCAACCAGCTTGCGGACTTTGTCCGCACTCTCCATTGACACCCCACTCACGGCAATCTCGTTCACCTGCTGCCACGTCTCATCCACAAGCTTTTTCGCGTCCGGCCCGTACAGCGCCGCCTTCTCTGCCATCTGCCTCAATGGCTCGCCGACCCATTCCTTTACCTGTGGATGCCGCTCTACCACATCCTGTGCTACATCCCCCGACAAATTGGCCACTTTTTTCCCTAGCTCCGCCAGCGCATCCCATGCCCGGGCCGCTGTCTCGAAACTAAAACTTCCCTCCCTCGCAATGGACTGAAATTCCCCCCACGTCTCCCTCACCAGTTTATCCACCTCCTCCCCGTGCTTCTCTCTCACCGCATTCAAATCCCTAAAAGCGCTATCCACGTATGCCCTGCCTCCAGGAACCCACGACACATAGGAGTAGCAGATTTGTTTGAGGGTAGAAGCCGCTTCGTCGGTAGACGGGGTTTTGGACTTGATCATGGTGGAGACTTGTTGGTATTTAACGTCGGCGTCGCGCGCTAGGCGGTTAATGCGGCGGGTCATTTTGCCTGAGGGGGTTAGGAGCCAGATGCAGTAGAGTGTTGTTGCTCCGGCGGCACCGCCTAGGAGGGCAATCGTGAAGGGGGAAAGTTGGGACTCGGTGGTTGTTGAGGATGACTGGAACCGGCGGGTAGGCAGGTGCAGAAGCCGTGAGGCTTGAGATGGAATTCTGCGAGTGATGCGTGAGGTGAGCATGGTGAGTGCCCAACTTATTGAACCTGACTTTAAGCTCAATGGGATTGAGTTTTCCAAATAGCAACGTTAAGAGGTAGAATGAAGACAATCACACATAGCTGCACAATTGCAGCGAGCTATTCCCTTGAAGTTGTAGCTACCACAGTTGTGCCCCTGGGTGTACCGACGCCTGCATTACTCCCCGTTACCCATGACGTCATGCCCGGCTAAGTCGATGATGATGTCATGGCCAACCTAGAATCTCCTACCGAGCCTTCGGCTACCTGCGGCTCTATCAATTTGGCAGCTCAATGTGTGAGGTGAGATAAGGCCCGGAGCAGAACTCGGAGGGGAGGAGTTCTGTTGAAATTTGGTAGGGTAACGGGTTTTGTTTCCTTCTGGGGTACAATGAAAAGTCGTCTGGCGCATGGTGCTTTAGGGCTTGACAAGAGTCGAAACAACAAACCGTTAAGCTTCCCCTTTCCAGCCCAAACAACCTTGGGTCACTTCATGTTCGACCCATTATCCTTGGTACCCGTTTCTTTCATACAGCCATCCATTTTTCTTACAGGCCGAAGGATCTTTTGGCTCCTTGGTGGTTTGTGGGTCTCAGGTCTTCATTAGTTCTCCTTAACACATCCCGGCTTTCTCTTCGTCTTCTGTAGGCCAGGCCCTTCTGCATAGGTAACCTATTTGCTGGAGTTGTATCTTCGCTCAAAGACCCTTAAAAGATCTCCGATTTGCCCAATTCGCCCATGATCTTACCCATTAACTTCGCTCACCCTCTTGATCCTCATGAGTCCTCCTCCCATTCTTCATTATCACCTTCTTGCAATAGTTCCCCGCGCACAGGTCCGGCTTTCCCTGGTATCCCCGATCAGGGAGTTGACATGGTCTTCCCTTGCGGACGTCGCGGCAGTAGAGGGTGTGGGAGTATTCTGTGCATGCCGCAGCAGAAGTTGATGAAGATGGGGATGCACATAGTATAGTGATATTCATCGTTAGGGGCCTCTCTTGCTTAGAGGAGATGCTTTTTATTGTCTTTATTTAGCAAGAATGTAGTGTGCGATGTGCATATTGAAATAGGGGCAAATCTAGTGGGTGAACTGGGCATGGAAGACTGAACCTTTGGACTCAGCCCCTGGTGTTAGAATGGGTGTAATGCATCACCAGACCTCCCCACCTGCACTGCAACTACCTAACCTGTGCCATCTGGACACTCCTTCCCAAACCTTTCCCACATAACAACCTCAATCCGATCCGCCCGGAGCCTTCAACCTAGCCTCCAACATCACCTCCCCTCCTCCCTCTCCCCCCCACACCTTCACAAGCTCCAACCCTGCCTCCCTAAACAACTCCCGAAACTCCCCTAACGTCCTCTCCCTCCCTCCCAGAATCATCATCCCCATATCCATCCAGTACAGGTCTGTTGGCCCGTGTACTTCGACTCGATCTGGCATCACCAGGCCGCACACAATGAGCCTTGAGTCAGGGGCCATAGCCAGAGCTTGGTTCCGCAGAATGGTGATGCAGGCCGGAGAGGGAAAGTCGTGGAGGAGGTGGCGGAGAAAGTAGATGTGGGCGTCTTTACAAACAAAGGGTTAGTTCGGATTGGGATGGCCTGAGAACACTATGAAGGGCATAGATATGGCTGATGTTGTATCGTTTGGCAAGGTATTAGAGGGGGTTAACTTACGCTTGACCGGCTGCTCCGTAAAAGCATCATACACCATTGTCTCGACCTCCTCCGGTAGCCTGTCCCTCTCAACAACCTTCACAACCGACTCCAAATCCTGTAACACCCCTCTCATCCCCCCGAAACCCCCACACTCCTCGGCAATCACCCTCAACGCTTGCCCCTTTCCCCCGCCTACATCCACAATAAAAGCCCTCTCCTTAACCCCCTCCTTTCCTATCACATCTTCCTTCACTTTCTTAAAGGGGAATATGCCTCTGAATTGCGTATTCTCAGCCATAACCCTCATAGTCACATCAAACGCCTTCCTCAGCACCGCATCCCCATCCAGTCCCTCATAGAACGATTTCCCTTCCACTCCGTGGGCATATGCCCAGGGTGTTTTGAGTAGGTTGTCGATATCCTCTGGGGAATGCGTCGCAACGTACGAGGGCAGCATGGACCAAGTGCGGGCAAAAGACATGCCCATGGGCGGGTTGGATCCTAAGTTTGAGGGTTGGAACGCTTGAGTCAGGGCGTTTGCACGGAAGGTGAGGGGATCAGGGCCTTGGTTTACTAGGCCTTGAACTGCTAGCAATCGCAGGGGGCGGAGTATGACGGAAACATCGCAATTGGCACGACGAGCAAGCTCAGCAGCCGAAATGAACTTGTCATCGTCGTCCCCGGAGTCCGGAGATACCCCCGGCAAAGCCTGTAACGCCCCCAGCCGGATAAGGATATTCAGCGCTGCCATGGTGGAAGTGTTCTCGATGAAACGAGCGGAGATGTCATAGGGGTATTCGATGGCTGCACGAAGGCGGTTGAGGCGGAGGAGGATTTGGGCGTGTTGGGCGGGGGAGCCGTCAAAGGATTCTAGCGCTGTGACAAGGGATTTTGCTTGTTGTAGGGCCAGCGAGGGGTCAGAAGGCATTTGGACGATGTGTTTTGAAGAAAGCAGAGCTCTTGTTGGTGATGGAGCTAGAGTTGACTTGAAGGGGCCTCAGTTCGAGAGGGAGCTATCTGACGGTTTTCTCAACTTATCTGGTAAAGACTCTAAGTTGATATAAATTACACATTACGATTGATGAAAGTCTTACTGTGATAAACTCTATATTAATACTAGACCTTGTCCGGACCTCAAGCGGGGATATGCAGGGCCTTTGTGCCATGAAACCCAAGACCTGACACCCTGCAGTATGATGCCGGTCTGTAGCAATACCGCGTACACCACCCGGGTTCTCGAACTAAAATTGGCATGCCCAGACGTCGTCAGCTGCATTGGTATTGCAGAGCTCAGGCCATTAATGCCGAAGGGAGGAGAAAGTCACAGAGGGGGTTGCTTGGCATTCATATCCCCCTTCGTCTGCTTTTGTGGGCTATGTATGAGAGCTTGTACGACAGCCTGCTTCGTTTATACCTGCCAGATCTAGCAGCCGAACGATAGACAGATTGGCTAGGTTCACTGAGCAGAAAGCCAAGCATCTTGAGGATAAGCCTTTGTGGATTGTTTTTATTCAGGTCTTCCATTGTGAGTAAACATTCTCCAGCAGTCACACAGCATTAACACGGAGTCAGAGTGGTGTTCGGGACTTAGGCACCTCTCCTGCTACACAACATGTCGCCAAACCCCGACACTGCAACCCTACTCATCACAAAACCTGCTCACTCCCTTCCCTTCAACTTCCCCTCAACCATCGCCACCAGGCTAACACCTGACGGCCACACCTTGACTAACTCCAGCCCCGCTCTATCCAAAGTCTCCCTAAACTCCTCAACGATCCTCTCTTTTCCACTCCTGGCCATCATAAGCAGGTCCAGCCAGTACCCCACATTGAAACCGCCGACCTCAACCCACTCCAGCACGACCAAGTCGCAAATGATGAGCCGCGACTTGGGGCCCATGGCTGAGGCTTGATTCTGGAGTATTTCGATGCACATTTCTCCAGGATAGTTGTGGATAATTTGCCGGAGGAAGCAGATGTATGCATCTTCAACCAGACGTCAGCGTCATCCGTAACAACTCTTCAAGATAGACCGTATTCAGGCTTACTTTTCACGGGCTTCGGCGTAAAAACAACCATACGCCATCACTCTTATCCATCTCTCTCTTTTTCCGTTAAGTGTTGATAACAATCGGCAAACCCTGCAACACTAGCCCTCCCTGAATCACCCACGTCTTTTTGATCTCTCTGAGTATATGCCCGTTTCTGCCACCAACAATGAACTCTTTCGCCTTCTCCCCTTCCACACTCCCAAAAGGAAACATCTCCCCCACCAGCGTCAACTCACGTCCACTCTCTATCTTATTGTCAAACAATGCCCTGATTTGTGGATCTATGCATGTGTTCAACGCCTCGCCAAAAGTCTTCCTCTCGTGGCTGGAAGCATAGACCGCAAGGTTCTTCCTCGAATCCCAGAAATCTTCAGATTGATTGGTTTTGGCCCACTCGTGGAAGACGCACAGAAACTAAGTGAGTACCACTCCCAAACAGACATGTGTCCCGAAGGAGGGGGGGAGCCCCTAGAGCTCAATCTGCTTGAACAACTTCCTGTTTCCTTGTCCTCCAAGTTCACAGATCTGATCGATCACCCCGGCAAAAGCCAGCATTCTCAATGACCTAGTTACCACACTCTCGTCTATCCCTGCCTGCCTCTCCAGTTCTTTAGCCCCAATCTGAGTACCGTCTTCTGGGAGGAGATCGAATACTCCGATGCGGATGAGCGTGCGCAGAGAGGTTGCGGCGGCGAGGGATTCTGTCCAGCGGTCGGTGATGTTGAAGCGGAGAGGGAGTGGAGGAGGTGGATGGTTTGCTGTTTGAAGGGGACACGTTTCGAGGGCTGGAGGATATTAGCCGCAGGGGTGTTGGGCGAGTTTGTTGCATTGATGAGGGGCTCGAGGTTTGTTACGAGAAGATTTGCTTGGGCTAGGGCGATGCGGAGAGTCGGGCATTGTGACTGTACTTGAGCCTCAAAGATTGGGATGGGATTAGAGGTTGATCTGATATTGATGATGGTAGTGAGACGGAGACTTGTCAAATCGATGAGGGGAAAGATGGCCGGCTCGAAGCTAAGGTTGAGGCCGCGAACGACTAACGCCTCGTCGGCAAAGCGCTCACCGAGGGAAGCGTGTGGTGACAACTTGAATGTTGGTTCAACCGCGCCTGCTCTCTCCAAGTGAGTCGTCAGAGCCGGGGCTAATCCAATTGGATGCAACTGAAGCGTCGGATGCACCATGTTCTCAAGTCATATAGCTTAAAGTAGTTGTTCACATGGATCCCAGGCGGGATGGGCTTGCCAGCACTGTGTAGCATAGGGCTCACCCTGATATCAAGGACACAATTAGCCTGTGGAATTGGCTGTCACAAGTCCCTCTCGCATGTTCCCCACTCATCAAGTTTAGCCCGGCCCTTTCTTGCTAGACAAGATGTTGGCATCAATTATTGAAGCCACTTGAAACACAAAGGTTACACCGTTACGCTCACCGCTGATATCACACTCTCTTGCCTTCCGATATAGCTAGTGACCTTCATTCTTCTCGTTGCCAGTTGTCCACATGTTAGGACCTTCCAAACCTCTGCTCCAAGCAAAGGCTGGCAGAAGCGGCGATGACGAGGCTCCAGGTTGGCTGGATAAGGATTGTTAGAGCATGCCGTCGCTATCTTCACTTTCAGCTGGCCAACCATGTCTTAGGAGTTCGCTAGTCGAGGTTTACAATTGATGCTGACGACCTCAAGGTTTGCTACGCGTCCGTCTAGGTTTCTTTAGTATGCTTGAATATCGCCGCAATGTCATCATTCAGGTCTTGTTCTCTTATCTTAGCATATGGATGTTACTGAACTTGACCTCTGAGGTAAGCAAGCTTTCCAATCCAATACCTATCGACGGCCCTCATGAAGGAGTCCATACGGGCTTCCGAGCAGCACATCCTCGTTGTTTGGCCTTGCTCCACATTGTCATTGCCTATGCCTGCAACATGTAGCACACTCGGGGGAGCTTAGACAGAAGGTCAAGTCATACCTGGGGACGGGTATCACCCATTATTCCCAAGGTTACGCCACCCTCTTCAACCTCCCCTCGAGCATAGCCGCCTGACTCGTCTTACTCCTATAGACCCCGACCAATTCCAGCCCAGCGTGGTCAAACACCCTCTGAAAGTCAGCAACCGTCCTTTCCTTCCCACCAACCGACATCATGAGCATATCCAACCAATAAAGCTCCGTCGACCCCCCGACCGGCACCATATCCGGCACTAGCTTCTCGCAGACAATCAGCCTCGAATCAGGGCCCATAGCCGAGACAGTGTTCTTCAAAATCTGCACCGACATGGCGTCGTTGAAGCCGTGCAGGATCATACGGAAGAAGTAAATGTGGGCGTCTGGTCATGGATGGGTTAGTCTTACTGACCAAAGACTCAGAACACGTACTCAAGGGGGTAAGAACTGACTCTTAACAGGCTGCTCCGCAAAAAAGTCATACGCAATCACCTCGATTCCCTCCCCCAAATCCTCCCCCTTCAACGACTCAATCACAATGGGTAAATCTTGCAGGATATACCTCCCCCCCTTAATCTCTCCCGCCTCTTCCCTAATAACCTTCAACACCTGGCCCCTTCCTCCCCCAACATCCACGACAAACGGCCTCTCTGGCTCCAGTTCCACTTGCCCCTTCATCTCCCTAAAAGGAAACATGTCCCTCGTGGGATACATCCCCTCCACATTGGTCATCGTCAGATCAAACAAACTCCTCTGTACCGGATCCAGACAGGTATCCAGCACCTCATAGAACGACTTGCCCTCCTGCCCGATGGTCCAGACAAACGGACTTTTCGTCACATCCCATAAATCCTCCGGCGTATGGGTCTTAACATAGTCCGGAAACATGGCCCATATTCTAGCAAACATAAACCCCGTGCACATCATCGCCCCAAGTTTATCGCTCTTGAAGAAGTCGCTGAGCCCATTCCTCTTATACACATCCCCTTTCATCTCCTCGACCAGACCTTGGGCTACCAGAATCCGCATGCACCGCGTCACAACGGACGCATCGACTCCCGCTTGCTGTGCCAGCTCTGCTGCGGAGATAGGGGTCCCATCGGCGGGCAGCCTGTCGAATACGCCGATGCGGATCAGGAGTTGGAGGGCACCGGCTGCGGCGACGGTTTCCATCCATCGTGAGGCGAGCTCGAGGGGAGTTTCGAGAGCGGCACGGATGCGGTTAGTTTGACGGAGGAGGGCGACGCGTTGGGTGTTGTCGCTAAGGTCGAGAGACTGCAGGGCGGCGAGGAGGGATTGGGTTTCGGCGAGGGCAGCGTCCTTGGACATCTTGAAAACGTACTGTTGGTATTGAAGTTCTTTTTTGGCGGTTGAAATGCCTGGATAACATCATGAAGACATGTAATTATACCCAGCGTTAAGTAAGGGCAACCCCTCATCATCCTCACGCTGCGCCATCACCACGGAATCGTCCTCGCTAATTCCCATTCTGGTAATTATAGTCGCAGTTCGATGTTGTGGTAGCCTGCCAAAGCCCCACATGCAAGCCTACGGACTGCTATGCAGACAAAATGCCTTGCTATGCTTCATCTGCATGTGACGGGTGATGCCGGCTCTGGTGGTGTGCAGTTCGCTTGCCATGCTTGCAGCTTGTTAGCTGCCCCTCCTTACTTGAGCCCCGCCCGAAGGAAAGAATCAAGAAACTTGCTCAGGAATTGTAGCCTTGCTTTCAGGACCAACTATGATATTTGATTTGATACTCTCCTTCAATTGGTAGTCATGAAGCCCCGGCGCGTCAGTCAAAAAGCAGAGGCAATCCGCGGGCATGCTTGCAGAAAGGGAGATTTCCAATGGGCACTCTAGATATCCAACTAGCCCCCTGCTGAAGAGAGCCTGACAAAAACAAGTTGCCCTGCTTGCGCAAGATCCAAAGCTCAACTGCCGGGCATCATTGATCTGTAAAGCTCTGGAGCAGATCTCTGCAGCTCATCCTAGGCTTTGTATAAGGAGTAATAGCACCATCTTGTCACAGAAAGGTTATCGAGACAAAATACAGAGACAGGGAGTCAGCTTTTCAAAGCTGTTCAAGTGAATTTGAAGCCAGATATGGTGTGAAAAGAAAGCCGGCGGTTGCCTGAGTACGGCCGGCCATGATCAGGAAGGTGCTCAGTCCCCGTGTTACATAATCATTGACCGATAAGATAGTGCATCTAAGATAGGTAAAGCCTGGATAAGATAACACTGTGCTCGGGCCGCCCCAACCCGATGTTAGGCTTCCCCGCCTCAACCCGAGAAAGGGATTGCGCTCAGGGGAGATGACGACGCTCAACTTACCAGAAGACATCGATCATATGGAGTTTGTGAGCTGGGATGCGTGATTGATGATCGACCCCGGATAGCTACGTGCGAGTCGATTACCCTTCCATCACGAAACCTACCGTTTGGAGACAATTGACGCACTACAGGTCTCGAGACATCAAGTACATCAACACTGAGGAGCTTACGGCAGACACTTCTCACCTCACCCCGTCCGCCTCAACCTCCCCTCAATCATAGCACAGTATCCAGCCTTCGCCCTCCAAACACCCGCGATCTCCAACCCAGCCTGCTCAAAAATATCCTCAAACTCGGCCAGCCTCCTCTCCTTGCCCCCGAGCATCAGCATACTAAAATTCATCCAGTGCACGTCCATCGGTGCGCCGACCTCGACCTTGTCGGGGACAAGCATCTCACACACGATGAGCCGTGAGTCAGGGCCCATGGCGCGGGCTTGGTTTTTCAGGATGGTGATGCAAACTGGATCGTAGTAGTTGTGGAGAATCATGCGGAGAAAGTAGATGTGTGCGTCTGGACTGCACGTCAGCATCTTCACATGACACACTTGGGGAAAAGTAAGGAACCTACTTTTGACAGGCTGCTCCGTATGAAAATCATATTCCATCACCTCAAACCCCTCAATATCCTCCTTCTCCAAACTGTCAACAACAACCGGCAAATCCTGCAACACCAATCTCCTTCCCCAAGCATCCCCCCCACACATCGCCCGAATCTCCCTCAACACATGCCCCTTCCCACCGCCCACATCAACAACAAACACCCTCTCGGGCTCCCTCATCACCTGTTCTCTCATCCCCTCAAAAGGAAACAACCCTTCCGTCTGATACAAATTTGTCCCTAATCCGTACATGCTCGTATCAAACATTTCCCTAAGCATCGGATCACCATCAAGTACTTCATAGAAGGTCTTGCCTTCTTGGCCGTAGAAGCACACGATGGGGTTCCTTCGAGGGTCAAAGATGTCTTGTGTGGCATGAGTAAGCGAATAGGAGGGGATCACACCCCAGCCGCGGACGAAGTAGAGGCCTACGCTGGCTAGACTGCCATAGCTATCCGCTTGAAAGGCGCTGGTCAGAGCATTACGGCGGTATGTGTCGATGTCAACCTCGTCGACCAAGCCTGCCGTCACCAAAATCCTCATCGCCCTCGTAATAACCGACTCATCCACATTTGACCCACTGGCAAGCTCCCCAGCCGTGATTGGTGTCCCGTCATCGGGGATCTTCTTCCATGCCCCCAGGCGGAGCATGATGTCGAGGGCGGAGGCGGTGCACATGGATTCTTGCCATCGAGCGAAGATGTCGGAGGGGTGTTCGAAGGTTGAGCGGAGGTCGTTGAGGTGTTTGAGGAGGGCTTTGCGTTGGTGGAGAGAGCCGTCGAATGTTTCGAGGAGGGGGATGAGGGCTTTGGCTTGGGCGAGGGCGTCGGAGTGGTTGAAGTCGGTCATTTTCGGAGGTTTCAACTTGATGTGTGTATGGAGAGAAATTCGAACTGGTGTTAAAGCTGAAATTGAAGCTGGAGTGAGGCAGGAACTCAATATGTCAGGTTATGTCGGGCTCCAGTGGCCTCGTGAAAGCTCATATTTGAGGGGCTGCCAACAGCCCCGAGCCAGCTGTGCCATACCTTGGTTTGCATGATGCATGTCTGGAACCTGATGTGGGATGAGGATATTTCGAGATCCTGCAGGGCTGTGATCATGTTTAAGCGAGCTTCTTAAGGCTGCATATCTTGATCTCTGGTTGGCTTACAGCCGCGGATGGCGCTGATTGTAGTTCCGAGCTGCAATGCAACCCTCATAGACAGAAGGGTCTTTAAGTATCGACAGCGGGCTTGACCTTGGGGGCTATTTTACACCTGGGGTTCCGAGAGTCCACACGTCTGGTTTTCTATCAGCGAGGACATGTATCGGAAGGCAGCCTATCGAAAAAGAGCTTATCGCCTACAGAGTCAGTAGCTGCGCCATTGCAAGAAAGGAGTAGCTTGAATCTGGACTCGATAAGTACTGTTTGACGTCAAAGTTGACGCTCTGGTATGTGGGTAGTCAGCCATGATTCTCAGGCTCTCAGCTGACAGCTCCTCTGTGAAGTTACTCGATCCTTCGAAGAGATTACATTGAAACGATATCTTCTCGGCTTGGACAAAACAATATGATTCAAGCAGCGGACAGTCATCAGCCCAGAACTCCAGACCGTCTCCTTTCCTCATTCCAGGGAGAAGCATCTGAGGTCAGCAAACTCACTTTAGTCATCCAGGAACGGTAGATCACACTGTTTCTTTTGCGCAATCTGCCAACTGACTACGAGAAAAAGAGCAGCCATTTTCTATCACTATTTCCAGATCTCGAAGTATATCTCAGAGCGCTCGTAGTTTGTCTCATCATCCTCCTCTTAGTCTGAAGGAACAAGCTGGTTAACCCCTTCATCTTCATCATCAGCTATTTGGGGTAACATTAATGGTGCCAGAAACCCGATCTTCATCGGTAATGCATGTATCTCCGGGATAGCCTCAGCGTCTTGCACCTGCAACGGTATAATATTGTCAGCATCACGGTAACTGGGGACAATCTCATCATTCTTAGCATCCTTATCCCCTCAGCAGATATCGTATTTTTAAGGATAATAACACGTTGGTCATCGTCCACCTTTTCAAGCCCAGAAGCCTGATCGTACACTGCGGAACCTCCTGTATTGGTCAGCTTATTATGTCTTACAAGCTCTTGATTTGGCGTTAGTTCCAAATGGGTGATATTCTTCTAATGATGGGCATAATAGGTTCACGAATCTAGGAGCAAACTTGACGCTCTCACCACCAGTGCGCTCCCCATCGGATGCACTTGGTAAGGCAGGACCCCTAGGTATAGAAGGGGCGATTTCTGCTGTTGTGATACAGAGAGTTACAATCAATCAAATGAGTGGCGTTCATATACGAATGGGCATGGGTTCAAGATATCATTGATGTTCATGGGGAATGGCTTCATGTTTAATCGGCTTAGGAGTTAGATTAGGCTTATGGGATCGTAATCATAAATTTAGATATGTTCAATATGGGGTTTACTTGGGCGGAAACTAAAGGATACATAATAGGACAATAGTACTGAGAGTTTTATAAGTTGAGAGAACAATAACTTAGCTGATGACACGATGCGGGTTTACTGGGCCCTCACACCTTTGTCTTCGTATCATCTTTCGGCAACTGACCCATTGAACAGAGAACGTAAAGCACAACATAGTGATACGAATGTGTTTGTTTAATGGGACGCGCGGTCGTCAACCTAAGTTCCTGATGCACCCTCAAGCAAAACTTTGAGGTTCTCTATGGCAGTCCGCCGCCCACTACTTTCATGGTTTTATTTATCTCTTTGCATTTAGTCTAGTCTTCTTGCACTAAACTTCTTATCAACCTATTTGGCAGAACCTTTACCCATCCCGATCTCCATAAATACTTCGGTAATGACATCTGAGACATTGCTTCACAACATATCTAAATTCTGCTGGATCATTGCTAAGCCAAGGATAACCTCCTCTCTCACTCGTGACGGAGAACACCCATGGCATATATAAGCGATATTTTCAACTTTGATCTGCTCACTACATGATATTCATCAATTTTATACATCCATCTCTTCTTAGTTTCCCCTTCTTCAGGGCCAAGGTCATCCTTATCCTCACAGTACAAGTAATGCATTACTGCCTGAAAATGTCCTGTTGCTGTTTTATCTTTTTCTTTGTAACTGATCACAGTTAGCTCAACATCAGGTATGCTCTCCGGCAGTGCTCTTTCAAGACTGAAGAATGTTACAGAAACTTTCTGAATGGGAGGGGGAAGTCCGATTCTGGTAAGGACAACTATATCCTAGGCAATGATAACATCAAGCATGGAAGATTCTTGCAAAGACCCATCCTCAAGACTTCTATAAACTGTGCTTTATCTAAGATGACTTTCCCCACCATGTTACTTGACAGTGCGCTTGCGGTAGAGTCCCCAGGCTTTGCTCCATCTTATGACACGGATCCTTGACAGAACTCAGAAATAGGACTTTCGGCTCTTCTTGTATGAGTATTTCATCGAACGCGATTGTCTGACGGTTGCTAGAGGGCCGCGATGGTTCAGTTCCACAAAGATCATTGCTTGATTCAAAAGTTGAGAAATTAGCATAGTGAAATTTGGGGTCTTTGTAGGCTCCTGCATAAGGTAAAAGCAATCAGAGACACCAAAAATGACTAATTGTGAATTGGAAGAGAGACAACGAAAAAAAAGAGTGAGGAAAAGGAGCAGTAAATGTATTTTGAAGCTGTTATATCGTCAGTTACTCCTTCGTGCCTTTGTCGCGGTGCAATGACCCAGCAGATGACATCCGGGACAAAGGACGAAGCTGAATGCCAGGTCAACAGTCATGGAAACCTGGCTGACGCAAACTGAATACAACAAGTCAACATGATGTCCAAAATTTGGGATGAACTGCTCGATGATTTCTCCAAAGCAACTGTTTCAGATTTGAAGTGAAGGAATGAAAGGATAGGAGCAGGAATTGGCAGGTCAAGCCCACAAAATGTTTGCATTTCTTAACCACAGATGTGTACCAATGTCACCATTGACCAATCACAGTCAAGACACCAATATAAACATAACGGACCACTTGGGTAGTACTGTAACATACAAGTAGTTATGCAATTTCCCCAGTGCCCAACAGAGCGCTGGAAAGGTCTGAGTTCAGAGATTGGGAGAAATGATGACAGGCAGATCAACACCCGGCTTTCATCTCATTGCTGTCATTTCTGTTGAACAACAAGAACTTCTGGATCCCTCAACTCATTACCATTATCGTCATCATATATCCCAATCATAGAAAAATACCCTCAAGCAAGAGCCGCTCCAACTAAAACCATCAATACCGACACTGCCAAAGTGCCAACCGGCAGCCGACCACCCATTACCGATGTTGCCGCACTATCCGACTGATTCGGCGCTGGGCTGCTGGCAGTCTCACTCGGGCTGGGGCTCACGCTACCGTCGCCGACAAGCGCGGTCAGCTGGGAGTCGCCAGTGAAGCTGCCGCTGACAGAGGTGCCGTTTGTGCAGACCTCGCTATCGATTGAGGCGGCGGCGCCTGAAACGAAGTTGACTGCCGCACACTGTCATGTCCATTAGCAACCTCACTCTAATGCCAAGATGAAACCAACCTACCTGATACAACATCCCATCCGGGGCATTCGCCACGACCCCAACAAAGCCCTTCTTCCCCACCCACTCCTCTGGCGCCGTCACAACAGGCTCACAGAACTTCCCAAACCCGCTCTGCTGCACGACAGGAAATAATTGCGTCCAGTTCGCCTTAGACGCATCCTCGTCCGTTGTCGCCCGAATCAAGAAATTCGCCTGGGGATGGCCCAGTAGCCAGCCTAAGGGGCTGCCATCGACATGGAAGTCGGTGAAGAAGGTGGCTTTGGTGATGTCCGTCGTGCCGCCGCCGCAGGGGGCAGAGGTCTGGAGCTTCTCGTCCATTTCATCGCCTTCAAGGGAGACGGGCGTTGTGAGGGAGAAGTGGGCGTGCGCTGACGAGAGGAAGAGCGCGCTGGCGGTGAGGAGGGCGCGGAGGGACATTTTTAGCGATGGGATAAGATTGAAGGTGTTGGTGAGAGTTGAGAAAGATGGGATGAAGTTGGAAAGTAAAGTGTGGATGGACTTTGTAGCGGCTGAGGTCGATGTTTAAGGAATGGGCCCTGAACCTGAACCCAGGGTCGTTGGTGCGCTGCAATGCCGAAGGACTCGGTCGGTCTGGATGGCTGGCGCCGTAGGAGTGCACGAGCTTACGGTGTGAGGGTTACGTAGTGGGTTGCGAGTGTCGCACACTGATGAACTGTGCTCAATTGACAATGCAAACTGACTACCTTCCTAGGCAAAAACGAGGAAAATTCGACATCCTTATCAACAAATTTCCGATCGAAAAGTGCCTTTCTCTTCAATTTCCTATTGTCGTCGATCCAAAATCGCTGAGCGCTTGACTGCGGGGGCGTGTAATGCTGCGGGCCAAACCCCACCCTCCCACATCGGTGGGCAGGGCGATCCCATGCCAAGCTTCATCGCCAAGATGCATGCGGGCTAGGGGCTGTGTTACACCAGAGTACTGATACACGAGGGTAATAATGGGAGGGGGCCTTTGGACAACTTATAGCTTCTAAAAGATGAAAAGAAGATAGGGACTGCAATTTGATATCAGGACACTTCAGCTGTTCTGTCTATATCAAGTTTGAAATAACCTCACAAAGAGATGAGCTCTTGAAAACCGTAATGTTAGTGTACACCTACCCACGGTACTTCTCTCTTCCCGCATCGGGTCTAGTGCCCGCCCGCGAGCGGATTTGAGCAAGTTGTCGCACGGCATCCCAGCATCCGGCAGCCAACCACATTGTGCGCCAGCTCTGGGGTCTGACAGCCTTCAGCGACGCGTAGGGCAAGCAAGGTTCGTGAACGGCTACAAGCTGTTTTGGCGGTCTCAATCCCGCGAGAGCCGTTCATCGGATTCAGCATGGGATTTTGTCGTGGAAGCGTCACTGTCAGAATTGGGCTCCTTGTAGGCGGGGGATTTGTGGCACGGATTGTTTGAGTTGTGTGCCGTCGTCTTTTGTCGTCACATTTGGGTTTGTGTGTTGCTTGGATGGGTGACCAGATTTCTTTTGGTTTTGACGAGCCTAGGTTGCGGCTGACATTCCCTGTTGTTGAGTTTTCGATTCCTCTCCGCAGGATCGCACTTTCAACTTCTCTCACTAACCGTCAATGAATTAACGTTGTGTCGCGTTATGCTGTGTCGTGCTGGAGATGACGTGGTAGAGTTTACAACTGCGACCAAGACGATACTGAAAGTCAAGTCGACGTTGCAGAATTCGACTTGAAGTTTGAACCGAACAAAGCCGCAGGCCCTATTTTCACTCAAAATCCAAGACCTCAGCGCCGATCGCGACCCAAACAAAATTTCCAAACCGCGATGGACCACAACCACGGCAACAGCCGGTTCCAGCCCGGTAACAAGGACCTCGCCCGCCGATACTGGTACATCATTGCCGGGTTTGTCGGCGGGTTTGCTGTGTGTCGCATCATCAACTTATACAAGGCGCTCGTCCGGTACGTTGCCCTTCCCTCACTACAGAACCATCTACTTACCATAGATATTCATGATCCAGCCTACGACGCAAAGCCACAGCCTCAGTCCAATTTCCGACAAGACCAAGCAACTTATTTTTATCAACCTGGGCCACGGCAACAGCCATCACACGCGAAGCTTCCTACCCCCAACTCTACATCCCCCTCCGTCCGCTGTCATGGCTCACACCTCCCCCCCTAGGGAGGTTCATCACCCTCCTAGTTTACTGGATCATCATTATCACTTTCATGACCGACGGCGCGATCGTGAATGACATTTACCGCCGTGAACGCCTTGGTTTTCGCAACGCCTGGATCACGATCACGCAGCTCCCGTTGGTGTATTTGCTCGCGGGGAAGTGTAATGTTATTGGGTACTTGGTCGGGTCGAGTTATGAGCGGTTAAACTGGTTGCATCGCTGGGTCGCGAGGACGATGTTGGTTGCGGCGACAGTGCATGGGTGGATGTTTTTTGCGGATTGGGCGAGGTATGATTTTGTGAAGGAACAAATCAAGATGATGCCAATGGTGAAGTATGGGTTTGGGGCGTGGGCGGTGTTGGTTTGGAGCTGTCTTGTGGGGATGGCGCCCGTACGAAGGTTGGGGTATGAGGTTTTTGTTTTTCAGCATATCGTCAGCGCGGCGTTGTTCCTCTGGCTGTTGTATGTCCATGTGCCGGCGGCGGCGAGATACAACATCTGGTTTGCCATCGCGGCATGGGGATTTGATCGTGTCTGTCGGTTCACACTACTCATCTGGCAGAACGTGAAGCTTAACCCCGACAGATCGAACTGTGCCGGAGGCCAACGTATTGGTCATCAGGCACAGCTGAGAGCCATCGGCGAGTCAATCACCGTCGTGACGATTAAGGACGTGCATTTTCGCTGGCGGGCGGGGCAGCACCTCTACCTCTGGATCCCTCGGATTGGTCCGCTCGAGGCACATCCATACACAATCGCCTGCGCGCATAAGGTGCCCGAGACCTGTATATGCAATAGTATTCAACTTGTCGTGCGCAAACATGGGGGATTCTCGAAGAGGTTGCATGAGTACGCGGTGAAGTTGCGGGAGAAGGGCAAAGGGAAGGGCACTTTAACGGCTTTCGTCTCCGGACCGTATGGCAACCCACCAAGATGGGATATCTACGAGACTGTGGTGCTCATTTCTGCATCGACGGGGGCGTCGTTTACGTTGCCTATCTTAGAGAGCGTTCTCAAGAGTGGGGAGACTAACTGTGTGAAGAGGGTGGATTTTTTGCTGGTTGCCAGACAGGGCGAGGAGATTGGGTTTTATGTTGGGCGATTGAGGGAGTTGGTTACTCTGGCGAGATGCACGGGAGTTGAACTCAATGTGCAGGTTGCGGTGACGAGGGAAGGGCTGGAGAAGTTAGAGGAGCCGGAGAGTGGGAAGGGACAGGGAGATGGGGAGCCATCGGCTTCGTCGTCGGGTAGTGATCTTGGGCAGCATGGCGATAAGAGGGCGTCTGGGGATGAGGAACGAGTAGGGCAGAGGGAGATGAGGAGGAGGATGAGTGAAGGGGAGACAGAGGAGGTTATCGCGTATTTTTCATCTAGGCCTGATATCGCGGCGTTGATACGGGCTGCGGTCGAGGCGACGGGTGGTGAGACCAGTGTGGTGGCGTGCGGTGGGCCATCGTTGACGTCGAGGGTTAGGAATTGTATTGCATCGTTGTCGGATGAGAGGGCGGTTCATAAGGGGACGGGGGCTCAGGGGATACATTGCTTTGTTGAGGAGTACAATTTTTAATGATCTCGGTTTGTTTTGGTTGTGGTCTTTTCATCAATTGTTCTTGAGCTTGTGATCTGCTCGGTGTGCCCCGCCCCCTCCTTCACCTAGGTGAGATCTGCAGGTTCTGATTGGTTTCATGTTTGGAGTGGAGACAACAGCACCTTGTCGCCCTGAAATTTTTCGGGTCTGGCTGCTGCCCTCTGAGTCAATTGACTGTGAGTGACATACCGACGGAAGCCAGCCGCTAGACCAGCTGGATGGAACTCTGGGCAAATTTGACACCAGTGTAAAGTAAAAACCCTGATGACAGTCTTCCAGGCGCAGGGAAAACTCAGGGTCAGGGCATTCGCTTCTTTAACTTTGGCTCGGTCGAGCCCCGCGACTTGCCGTTGCTTTCATCCCTCACAAGCTCCCGCTTGCTCCCATGCAGCAGCCCGTCAAACCGTTTTTTCTGCGGCTGCGCTTCCCCACTCGCTCCTCACTAACAGCCCCTCCCCCTCCATTTTCAAACCCAGTCCCATTTTTGCAACCACCATCATCACACACGGCCGGCCCGTCCCGCAACGACAACCACATTTACGCCTGTCGTCTTCCCAGCCCAGTCGTCGCCGCATTCACTCATCCAAAACCATGAGCGCTCAGGCCCCCGTCGACTCCCTCGTCAAGCAGGTCGAGGGCCTGTCCCTCGACGCGCTCGCTGACAAGTACCCCAACTGCTACCCGCAGATCAACCCCTTCGATCTGTACCGCGCCCATCTCAGCAATGTGCTGGCTGACATCACGGGTGTCGACCCCAAGATTATTTATCCTGCGCTCGCCTGGACCCAGGGCCTGGATAAGGGCGATCTGACACTGCCGACGCCGGCGCTCAGGATTAAGGGGCAGAAGCCGGATGAGTTGGCTAAGACTTGGGCGGAGAAGGTCAGTCGCTGAAGTAGAGGGACAAAGGTTATTTTTGGGATCTGTCAGACGCACTAACGGTGACGAGTGCAGTTCCCCGACAACGACCCTCTCTTCGAGAAACCCGTTGTCACCAATTACTTCCTGTCCTTTTTCTTCCGCGGGCCAGCTCTTGTCAAGGGCGTGCTCCCCATGATCCAGCACTTCGGCGCCGAGTACGGCAACAACAAGTTCAACGGCCTCAAGGACCCCAAGGATCCCTCCAAGGGCAAGAAGCGCATCGTCGTCGAGTTCTCCTCGCCCAACATCGCCAAGCCCTTCCATGCCGGCCACCTGCGCAGCACCATCATCGGCGGCTTCCTCGCCAACCTGTATGAGGGCGCCGGCTGGGATGTGGTGCGGATAAACTACCTTGGTGACTGGGGCAAGCAGTATGGTCTGCTGGCGCTCGCGTACGAGCGCTACGGTGATGAACAGGCCCTCCAGCAGGACCCGATTAACCACCTGTTCCAGCTGTATGTGCGCATCAATAATGAGTTGTCGGCCGAAAAAGAGGATATTGCCAAGCGCAAGGAGGCTGGTGAGGACGTGACCGCACTAGAGGCCAACAGCCTGGATGAGCAGGCGCGCAGGTACTTCAAGAAGATGACGGAGCGGGATCCCGACGCGCTGGCCATGTGGAAGCGCTTTCGCGATCTGAGCATTGTTCGCTACAAGCAGACGTATGCGCGGTTGAATATCAAGTTCGATGAGTACAGCGGTGAAAGCCAGGTGTCGGAGGAGGCGATGGACAAGATTGTCAAAGAGATGCTGGAGAAGGGGATATGCAAGGAGGATCAGGGTGCATTGCTCGTTGACTTCCCGTCGCTCATCCCCGGCAAGGAGGGTAAGCGGCTGGAGCGGCCGCTTGTGCGCAAGAGGGATGGTACGGCGCTGTATCTGACGCGCGATATCGCCGAGCTGTTGGCGCGTCATGAGAAGTACCAGTTCGACAAGATGATATATGTCATTGCATCGGCGCAGGATCTGCATGTGAAGCAGTTCTTTAAGATTGTGGAGTTGCTGGGGCACAAGGATATTGCGGAGAAGTGCCAGCATGTCAACTTTGGTCTGGTGCTGGGCATGAGCACGCGCAAGGGCACCGTCAAGTTCTTGGATGACATCCTGCGTGATGTCGCCGACAAGATGCACGAGGTGATGAAAAAGAACCAGGAGAAGTACCAGCAAGTGGAAAATCCCGAGGCCACGGCCGATACCCTCGGTATCAGCAGTGTCATGGTGCAAGACATGACGGGCAAGAGGTAGGTCCACTCTCAAGTTTACTTTCAAGAACCATGCTAATTTGCCCAGAATCAACAACTACACCTTCAACATCGACACCATGACCGCCTTCGAAGGCGACACCGGCCCCTACCTGCAATACGCGCACGCCCGCGTCTGTTCGATCCGCCGCAAGGCCGGCCTTACCGACGAGGAGCTGCGCAGCGCCGATTTCTCCCTGCTCACCGAGCAGCACGCGGTTAACATTGTCCGCTTGCTTGCCCAGTGGCCCGATATCGTGCAGACAACGCTACGCACGCTGGAGCCGACGACGGTTTTGGGCTATCTTTTCAAGATGACGCATGAACTGAGCCGGAGTTATGACCATTTGCAGGTTGTGGGAAGCGAGAGGGAGGTGATGAAGGCGCGGATGGCACTGTATGATGCCGCGAGGACGGTGCTCGGGAATGGCATGCGAATGTTGGGTTTGACGCCAGTGGAGAGGTGAGTCGCTGCCTGCATTTTGTTCTTTTCTCTTTTTTTTTTTTTTTTTGAATTCTCTGATAGTCATTGAGTGACCGATGCTAACACAATGATGCAGGATGTAAACTTTGGGTTGAGTTAGCCGGGGCATTTGCATGGCAGTGTAGACAAGAACAGGAATAGACCTCTCATTCTCTGTGTGATTCCCCTGACTACTTAAGGTGCTCTTTGATAGCGATATCTCTCGTTGGACCCAACCCTTGTGTCCATCGCAGTGCGGATGCATTCACATGAGACCATATCCAAACTTTTCCAGTCGACTGGCTAATTTATCTTAATATTGCCCTTTCATTTCTTCTTTCGAGAATTTACGGGAAAATAATGGAGATTTTACGGAAATCTATGTACAGTCCATTCAACATAAATCCCACCAGCGTTAGGGTCGCACTTGAAGACCTGGTTTTGTAGGACCCTATAGCAGCATTACTTCAAGTACTTGTCTAAGTATTCTGATTCAGTTATATAATATACATAAATATTGCCTAGCATGAGTTCTGAATGAGCTTAACTGTACCTTTATTGATTATGTTTTTAGAACCCTCGACTGCACTGTCTGGTCCCGATTTGCCCTCTTGAGGCAGTCACCTGTGCCACGGAAATAATATTCTCTGATTTTACGTGACTCTGGGGGGAAAGCCCGAAAAGTTTCACAGATTCCAGAAAAAATTCATCACTATTTTGCATGCAGGACCTTGAATTGTATGCAGCCACCCGCTGAACAAAGAGTCCCGTCAGAGCACACTTGGCATCTGCCAATAGCAAATGACGTTCGAATTGACGCAACGCGTTCTCGCTTTTCTCCTTCCAACAACCACAGCAACTAATAAAGTTGCAGGTTTTCCTAAAATTGGGCAAATTTGGTCTTTTCGACTTTCTTGGCGTATACAAAATTGTGTCATCGATGATTGATCGTCTTGGGGACTGATTTGAGTGTTTTTGGGCAATTTCTTCGATTTCCTTGAACTTTGGCCTCTCACCTACTGCCGCGCTGACACATGACCGGCTCCTAATAAAATAGTCATCATGAGTGCACGTCTGCACATGCCTACACGTTTTCCGATCTTTTTGCATCAATCCGTCAACATTTTACATCCATGTAATCAGCTTGGGCTTTTCTTGGGATATATAATGGGCGAGGGGGGCTGCTAAGTTTCTTGCTTCTGCCTTCCGCGCTTTATCCTTCCCCTCATCTCACTGTACCACCTTCCTCTCCCCTCACTCTTTACATTGTGATTTTCTGAGTAGCGCTAACATCAAATCTTAGGTATGATGACTTTCATCGATGCCACAACAAAGTTACTCGGCCTCGATTTTCGCGTCTCACCGGCATCACAGAAATCGGTGGCGAGAAATCGATAGTACATAACGCGACTAACTCTCAATGATCTCATCGTCGCTTGTCGCCCCCGAACGGGGACCTCGGCTGTATTATCATACATCCTCAACGTGAGGAGCTCGCTGGCTGAAGATTCTAAACGTTCGGTCTCGAGCGATGCAAGGTGCACGGAAGGAACCCGATCGCACAGTTGACGCTTCCCCCCCTGGTCCGACGGCCTCGCGATGACTTGTGAATCATCCTTCTGTCCTCCCGATCACTCCACTGGCCCAGCGATAAAGGACCCCTAGGCCCGACGAGGCGATTCCACTGATCCTGATCGTTGGATGATTGGACTTCTCTTGTGCCTGCAAACGGATCTGAGTCATGAAACTCGGCGTGATCATTGAGGACCAGCATCTGCACACTTCTCCCAAGGTTGCTGGCGACCTGGGCTCGCAAATCTGCGTAGACCACGTGACCTACCTTCTTTCGCCTCGCTCTAGTGAACAACAGGTTCTTTTTTAATCCTGAACTTCAGTGTGGCCGTCATGAACGCCCGCTCAATGTTAGTTGTCATTGGCGCAAGGCGAACTGATGTCTCGAGGGGCTTATGTCTAGGCTCATAGGTGTGTGGCTCCCTTCCATTACCACCGATCTTAGAGCCCCTGGGTTTCGATGTCGGTTCATATGCCTTGTCATTACAGCCAGCATACCGCCTTGACTGGCCATCAAAGCCTCCCGGATAACTGTATGTATATAACTTGACATGTATCCGTTACGGCAAGCTCGCGGCTGGTCACCTTCATGGAGGTTTGTCCCCGAGGGTCGTTAATAGTGGCATAAAGGTAAGAGGATCCAACTTTCTGCCCTTCCTGGAGTAGTGATCTCAGAGATACGCACTTCCTGTATGCTTTTCCTGCCCCTTGAGAGGAAGGACGATCGTGGCCAAGTGGCCTTCGCTGCTGGCTTGGCATGACTCTAGCCGTCAAAACAATCTTGGCGAGAATATAAAACAATGTACCTCTTACCCCTTGCATCTTCCCCTGATCATGGAGATCCTTTACAGTGTCCTTTGTCGTGAGATTTGATGTGCATAACAAGTCTAAGTGTCTTGATTTCACGTCAGAGTGTTGAAGCTGTCCCCCCCCTTTACTGAATTCAGACTGAGTATGATTTATATGTTCACCTTACACCCCACCATCGAGCATTCTTGGCTCCTTATCTTCTAATCTTTCATGTCACTTCTTACTTCCCAATCTCGCTCTTGATCTGGAGGTAGCTTCGATCAGTCACCAGAGACGGGTGACGTTTGACCCCCTGGGTTCTTTATTTCAGACGTTGTGATGAGAACTGGGGCATGGGCAGCAAGGCGAACTGACTCTTCGCTCAGTTCTGTGCTTCACTATCAGAGCGTTAACGCTCCTTTCCTCACAAGTTCCACCTTTATATGCAAACCATTTGTTCACCTCATATTTGATAAGAGTTACTGGCTCTCTCACTTTTCGTCGAGTGCACAGTCATTACACTGTTCTCGACCCTCCAAAGACATCTATTCATAACTACAGGGCTTGTTGTCATCAATATTCAGGTGAATCGACCTCTCATCCCTCTGTCATTTACTGGAAGATTTTCGGATTTCTTTCACTATTTTCTCCTCTTATGCACAGATCTGAGAACCTGCCGGCTCTCAATCTTATTCGTCTGTGTGATTTTACTCGGCTGTTACGTGTCTCTGTAGTCCCACAGCTCCCTTCATTGGCTATGGGTGATCTAATGTCCCAGGTCCTGCGGCCATCCTCTCAGCCGCAATTATGGAAGGCTGTTTTGAAGATCGTTTGTCGTAAGCATTCTGTTGAACTGACCCTCAAGCTGTTCAACTAAACGTTGATTACACGCTGTCAAAATCCTGAAGCTCCTGTGTTCGGGTGATCTAATCCAGCACAAGCGATCCTTCTGCCCTTTGCCCCTTATCAGACTCATTGGCCCTAACTCTTCGTCTGGCACAGCCATTCAATAGTCATTACGCCGTTCTCGATCGTCAAAGCATATCACCAGTAGCATTCTCAGCGAGCAATGCAGACATAACGGTTCGATTCTTCCATCTTCACCCTTAGCCACCATCAAGTGTCCATAGCGTCCAGCCCATGTGGTCCGTCGTGTCGGAGCTTCCCTTTTCGACCTACTGTGTATTCAGCACACTAGCAGGCTTTAGGGCATCTGTCGCCTTAAGCTTGACTATTGGCACCTGACCTTCGCCGACGATCAACTACGACATTCCAGCCGTCATCACTGAAGCATACTCGATGTTCGAGAGCTTCCAGAAGCTTGCCACTGACGCAATAAAGACCCCTAATCACATCGAATCCGAGTCTCTCCGGCTACTGAATCGTCGTCCAACCAATAGAGCGCCTCAAACACTTGCTCCAGGCAACACAAACTGCTCGTAGCTCAGCTGAACGACCTTTCTCTTTTTTTTCCCTGTTGGAGCCCTGCTAGTCGTCACTCTTTGCCCAAGGAGACTCGAAGGCCGGCCAGCTGCGGCGAGGAGAGAAAATTCTCAGATCTCACTGGGGGAAATCTCACTTGTGACATAGAGTGATGCAAACACCTTTTTTCATCACTCCACACAGCCGGGAGTTGCTCAGACTCATCCTAGACAAGTGATGTTAAATGTTTTCAGGTCTCTCCTTTGCGAACCTTCTTCCTCAGCTACTATAGACGGTTGACCGCAACTCTCGAAGCTCGTAATTGTCTTATATCAACCTCACTCATCGCTTAACGGTCCAGACACGCTCGGACTGGCCCGAGAGGTGCCCCGAGCGACGCTAGCCGTATGAACAGACCTTCATTATGACCCCCGGCCACGGGAGCAAGGTCGTTTGTCTGCGAACAGTACTCGGCTGGCGCACCTCCGGCCACTGAGCAGCCGCGTATCTATCCCGATGTCGCTCGGATCCGGCTCTTGAGCGGCTTGTCCGTCCTCCGTGCGACCCAAGTGCCGCACCATGCCTCGGTACTTCCGGCCAGTTGAGTCACAGCCGAACCACTCATCGTCTGAGAAAAGCCGTCCAATCGGCTGCTGGGGGATCCGGTCACTTGTATGGTCTCCAGACCACGCATTGCCACTCAGACCGCCGGCCGGAAGATGTCGGAGCCTCTCTCAATGCTTTCGAGGACCACATCATCACATCCGATCGCTCAACGTGACACGATCATGCTGAAATCTTCAAAGTCCAGCTTCTAAGTGAGATGCCATTGAAACAGATCAAAACACGCAGCGCCGCTCAGATCCGGGCTATCAAGTGATATCGACATAATCTAATCTTTTCGGAGAACTTTATCGCAATCTCAGTTGTTCTGCCCTCAGAAGTAGTATCATTACTTGTCCCAGCCGAGCTAGCCCCTCTTGATTGTCAAAGAACAGATCATCTGGGCGAATGAATTCTGATATCATACATCTAAACGCGGCGTGTGATCCGGGCGCGGTAAAGATTAAAAAGTCGCAGAGTGAGTGACTGTTTTTCTTCCTCAAGTGTAGGCCCATACCAAGCCTATCTCGCTCCAGATTTTGAAGCAAAGCCAACAAAATTGTCATGGATTTAGTTTTTATGTTTGCCGTTCTAATCATCACTGCCACAGTCCTCGTCTGTTGGGACGTGGTGGTTGGGAAGAAGCCGAAGCGACCCCCTGGGTCGCGCCCTTTGCCGGGACCATGGGGTGAGTATCTTTCTCTTAGAAATTCTCACACGCAGGCTAACCAACCAGGCCTCCCGTTAATTGGACGCGTCCACGACGTCCCGTCTGAAGCCTCGTGGCTCAAGTTCCACGAGTGGGCCAAGAAGTACGGGCCGATTTACCAGACCGAGATTTTCGGCACCGTCCACGTCTGGATCTCCGACGAGAAGATCGCACACCAACTCCTGGCCAAGCGCGCGAGGATCTACTCGGACCGGCCGCTGATCCCTAATCTGCCGAACAACCGCACCTCGGGGGAGTATCTTGCTCTCCTCGGTCGCAACGAGATGTGGCTCCGCCAGCGCAAGCTGTGCAACCACCTTATGCACATCTCGACCTTGGCCGACCTGCACATGTACCCTACCCGCGAGCGGGATCGCTTCCTGTGGCTGTTCTACCGAGATCCGCAGAACTATGTCGAGTGGATCGAGCAATTCACCAGCCGGACTGTTTCGCGCCTGTGTTGGGGCACCGCCCGCCCGGCGCAGGTTTTGCGGCATACGACCTTCGGTCTGTTGCAGACCATCTCACCTTCGGGTGCGCTGCCGAATGTGGTGAGCGTCTTGCGGTTTGTGCCGAGCTCGATTAGCCCGTGGAAGCGGCGCGAGAGGGCTCGTCATTTGCTGGAGAAGAAGCTGTTTAAGGCGAATGTCGAGTATGTGCGAGAGAAGGGAAACGGTCAGCCGTGTTTCTATGAGACGTTTTTGACGTCGAAGACGATGGGGACCGAGAAGCAGCGTGAGCGCCAGGCTGATGACGCTGAGGCAATGCATGTTGTTGGGTTGATGGCTATTGCCGGGGCGTTGACCATCGGCAGCCCGATTCAAAGCTATCTGCTGGCGATGTGCCACTACCCAGAGTGGCAGGCCCGTTTGCAGCTCGAGATTGACACCGTCCTAGAGGGGCGCTGCCCTCAATGGGCCGATCGCCCGCACCTGCCTGTCCTCCGCGCCGTCGTCAAGGAGATTATCCGCTGGCGCCCCCCTGTGCCAACCGGCATCCCCCACCAGCTGGAGGAGGATGACGTCTGGGAGGGCTACCACATCCCGCGCGGCGCCACCATCCACGCCCTCGAGTGGGGCATCACCCGCGACGAGAAGGTCTACCCGGACCCAGAGCAATTCAACCCAGCTCGCTGGCTCGACCCGTCCTACCCGACCTACCGCGACCCCCTGAGCAAGTACCCCAATCTGCAGGGGTACTCACAGTTCGGCTTCGGACGCCGCACGTGCCAGGGGATTCCCATCGTCGAGCAGGACCTGTTTCTGATCATGGGCGGCATGGCGTGGGCGTTTGAGATCCGCAAAAAGCGGGATCTGGCGACGGGTGAGGAGATCGATGTGCACTGGAACGATTATACCCCGTTGCTGATTGCGAAGCCGAAGAAGTTTTTGTTTGAGGCCCTGCCGAGGAGCAGGGAGAAGGTTAGGAAGATGTTCAGGATGTTCCAGCGCGCTAAGGGGTTGAATGATCAAGATGATATGGATCTTAGTGAGTTTGAGGAGGAGCTGGGGATGAAGATTTATTTTGATGAAGAGGTTGAGGGTGGCGGGCCGACCGCACCTGAGAATGTGCGGACAACTAAGAGGGTGCCGCTGGAGATTGTTTACGATGATGATGGTGAGGAGACTGATTCCGAGTCTGTTACTCCTACTCCTACGCCAGAGTCCAGCTCTGCTAGCGACGAGAGCGACGGGTTGAACCCCGACCGGTTGGACTCCGACGTCACGCCCTTCGACTTCACCCTGACCGAGGACTCTGAGCTCGAGCGCCACGAGCAGGAGAAGAGCCTGCGGGAGCGCGTCTTCAAGTCGATACCTATCTCCGACCGCATCAAGTCACCCCGCGAGACGCTCCGCGAGCTTATTCCGGGCTTTGAGCTGCCTCCGGAGCCGCTTGTGCCGAAGGATCTGATGATCTTTACCGTGACGGTCGACTTCTCTCTGAGGATCACCGTTCCAAACGGTGAGAACCAGGACAACTGCGAGTACAACGACAACCTTGAGCAGCAGGAGTCTGACACCGCTGGCCCATCTAGCCAGCCTACTTCTGCTCCTACCGCGGAGGCCTCGACCTCGACGAGCCATCCTACCTTCGAGAAGATGTCCAACGGCGTCGTCGTCACCGTGCGCCCGGTCTCGTCTGACCACCACACGGACGACGAGGGCTTGACTCCTGAGTCGATCATGTATTCTCCTATTTTCGAGGACTGTGAAGAGCCTCAGGAGACTCCCCTGACGGCGTCTATTCAGGAGGAGATTGTGTTAACCGGTCCTAAGGGTCTAAAGGTTGAGAAGATGAGTCCCAACCCGGATTGGCCTGAATCCAAGCTTCCCATGTCTTCGTTTGATGAGATGGTAGAGGGCGTCTCCTATGACGGCAGGGAGGACTTTGATGAGGAAGAGGAAGAGGGACTGCCGTGGCCGGAAAACAAGTTGTTTTCTCAGGGTTACGACACGGATTTCACGGGGGAACTGGGGGAGTTTGAGGCGTGGGAGAAGATGTGGAGCTCGATGAAGTGGAAGGAGTCTCAGTCTAAGGAGAAGGATGATTCTCCTTATCTCCCAAACTCTCCTCGTCATCCTAATGCCGTGTTTGCCAATTCCGACGACGAGACGCTGGATTATGTTCCCGCTGTCCCCTCTATCGGTGGTGCTTCCGTCGAGGATGAGGAGGATGACAATGTCCCTGCTATCCCACACATCTTCCTTGGCAATCCTATCTACAATGACGAGGACACTGAAGACTCTGACTCTTCTTTCAATGCGGAGTTCTTCACCCCGCCCGAGTATCCCTCGTCCGTCGAGTCGGAGGGCGATGAGTCCTATGAGTGGCCCGGCAGGTCCTCTTCGGAGGTGGCCGAATTTGCTCTTTCTGATGACCCCGAGTTCGACCCCTCGCACCTCGAGCCCGGTGAGTTGGTCGTCTCTGGTGACGAGGGCTACGACGGTAGCTCCGAGATGGAGGAGACCGGTCCCGTGTCGGACCCGGACATCGAGAACGAGCACGATCACGACAACGAGACTGACGATGCCGTCAGCCAAGCCTCGACGGGCTCGGTCTGGTTTGAGCCTGATTTTCCTTCCCTCCTGTTCCCAGTCTTCTCGCCCATCGGGTGGACCGATCTCGAGGAGACGGTGGCTAAGCAGGGGATTGAGGAGAGGGAGGAGGAAAATGAGGAGCTTGTGGAGCGGACTGCGGAGGCGGAGGTGGCCCAGGAGGAGGAGCATGGCCGGCTGTCGTGGTGGAGGAGGCCATTGCCTGGTTTTGTCAACCGGTTTGTGCCGCGTTGTGTTGACCGGTTCGTCCCGGACGTGCCGGGTTACTATGAGTGGTTGATAGACGAACCTATCGATCGGTTGTTGCAGGAGCGTATCGAGAGTTTGGAGCAGGAGGTGTTGGAGCTGCCGAAGCGGTTTATGCCGGACGTGATCTGGGAGATTGTCGCCGACCGTCTGCCACAGCCGAATATCCATTCCAGCATCCCAGTCACGCCGTCGCAGGCTAAGCATGAGGCGCTGACGGAGTTGGTAGGGACTCGGCCCGATGTGCCGGCTCGTTTACCCGTGCCAGATCACTTCCTCCCGGAGGGAGTGACACAGTTAGTCATTGATCATCTACCTACCATGCCGTCGATGCTACATCTGCCGGATGTTTTGCTCCCCAGCATGTCAAGCGTGCCGCAGATGCCGTTGGTGTCTAAGGCGGTGACGCAGGTGGTTGATCACCTGCCTAGCATGCCCAACATCCCACGGCCCAATATGCCCTCTATGCTTTCGGTGCCGTTGATGCCGTATATGTCGGTGCCGCATGCGGTCAACCGATTTGTTCCCCGCGTGCCGGAGGCTATGAGCCTCTTCCTGCCAGCTAGGTTGCGCTTTGAACAGGGACAGCAAACTCAGCCTCAGGAGCAAGCTGAGGAACTGGGGCATGGTTATGCGGAGGATATGATTCGGGTTTGAAGGGTCTGATAGATTGAATAAGAGGAGGGGAGAATTTGATCTAATCTTGGTTGAACTAAATGGTTTAGAATTTTTCTGATGGGTAGGGCTAGCTCGTATGGATGGGATGGATTTGGATGGGAATGGCTTTTTTGGTCTGGAAATGGCTAACGCTTCAGTACTGAAGGGTAGCTAGCTTCTGGCTCAATGAACTGCGTTGTTGTTCTTCGTCTCAGGTTCTATGCCGTGAAATGCTCAACTTCCATCGCTACAGTTGTGAAAGGAGATCCTCTTTGCTCTAGACGCACATCTAGTGTTTCTTACGCGCTGGTTTTTATGCTTCTGTGGTCTTTGGGTATTTAGTTTGGTTTCAGTTATGCAGTGTTTGACCTCATAAAATGCATATGGCTTTAACGGATGTACGGATAGCTTAGCCAGGATATCCGTCTCGCATCCATTACATTAATTAGGCATCCAGAGTTTCGTAGATCAAAGATCGAATTTCTCAGCTAAAATTATGCCTCAAAAACAGGAAACCAATGCTCCGGGAAAACCCACCAGTCACTTCTCAGTTTACCAAATCCTCCTAGCAACCATCTCATACCTCCTAATCCCCGCCAAATCCACCCCTCTCTCCCTCTCTTTCTCCCTCTTCTCCTCCGCCCTTCGCTCTTTCTCCCGAACCTTCCTCAATCCCTCCCCATCATCCGCAAACAACCACCTCCTCCTCTCATCCCCGACCTCCACGGTCCCATACCCGCCAGTCCGCTTACCATGTGCGTCATAACTCTCCCGCTCCTGTTTCCCGAGCGAGATGTTATGCTCCGCGAGCTTCATCCTCGCGTAGATGTTGCGCGAATAGCGGAGAAGGAGCATACCTAGAAGGAGTTTGCAGAGTAAGAGGATGAGGAAGAGGAGGAGGAAGACGGTTAGAAATGTGAGGGCGGCGATGGCGTCGTCGCTTGTTAGACGGAGGGTGAAGATCCGGGAGAGGAGGGATGTTTCAGACGCAAAAGATTCGGGGGAAGAAGGGTCGAGGTAGGGAGGGGCGCCGTAGACTGCGCGGCCGAGGGCGTTGCGGATGATATTGTCTAGTCGGTCAAGGGCGGCGATCATGGCTGGGGAGGGGGTCGCCGACTCGACACTGAGTGAAGTTTGTGTGGATGGGGGTAACGGAGTCGGGAGATGTGTGGCGAGGAACATGTTGTAGGTCTGGATGGAGGCGCGGATGAAAAGGCAGGAGAGGGGGAGCAGGGGGAGGCCAAGGCGGCGCGTTAGGGAGGGAGTGACGAAGGCCTGTTGTTCCCATCAGTTATCTGTTGATGAAAAAAAATAGGTGGAGGGGGCTTACGTTAGTATAATAGTCCTTACACAGAATATCCAGGATCCGCCCATAAAAGCTCGGCTTGATATTATTAAACTTATTCACATACGCATGCTTGATCCAGTCGACCACCATCTCACTGCCGATGACCACAAAAAACGGAGAGAGCACCTCCCCCGACCAGATCCATGACGGCAGGATGGTAAAGCTAGCTGGCAATATACTCGACGTGTGCAGCGGGAAACTGCTCGGGCCGTCTTCGCTCCCCGCGCCGGGGACGGACAGTCCTCCTACCTCAACCACATTCCGCATGCCGATGATGGTTAACATGACCCACAGTTGAAACCGCTCAACAATATCTGCGCAGGCCAGCTGGAAGGTATTCTCCTTCTCAAACCGCTTGAAAACAGTACTCTTGATCTCGACGAACTGATTCGACAGCAGCAGCGTCAACAGGGCGTTCGAGTATGAATTAACCGCCACGTTGAGCGCAATGACCTGGTAGAAAAGAATCACCGAGTGTAAGATGTTGTACACCAGCGCCAGGATGAACATGCCGAGCGGGAGCATCACCCTCGACCGGCCGGAGTGCGGGTTTCGGGAGAGGGTCTCGGTGCTGAGGAGGCATTCGAGGACGTCCTGGCCGAGAGCGGAGAGCAGGCGGTCGCTGACCTCGAGGAGGTTGTAGATAGCGTAGAGCTTAATGGCGGACTGGGCGCGGATGAAGTGGTACATGCGCGAGGCGTCCAGGTTCATGAGTGCGATGGAGGAGCAGAGGATGATGGCGCCTTGGAGGAGGTCGGCTTTGTGGAAGGTGGTCAGGTTGGAGGGCTTGGAGCGTGTTCGTCGGTGTCGGAAAACGCCTTGAGTCTGGGTAGGTGTTTGAGGGATCCTCTTCTTGGTCTCATTCCCTGCCCCTATACCCGTAGAACTCCCCGTCGACTCCTCTACTTGCTCCCCCTCTCCCTCAACCGCCTTCTTGACCCTTCCCCTTTTCCACATCCGCCCCAAGCCCCCCCAAACAAACCTCACAATAAATTTTCCCTCCGCCATAATCGCATGCAACCACCAGCTCCCCAGCACTCCCAAAGCAATACAAAACCTAATAGGTAGCACCGTAAACGTCCACAGCCACGCATCCAAGCACGCCAGCACCCCAAACCCCATAGCCCTTTCCAAGAACCAGGGCAAAAGCAAGAAGTTTTTGAGTCGCTCAAACTTGACGGCGTACGACTCGTACGGGATATCGACGGTGTGCGAGTGGTGGATGTAGAGTGGGGAGGGTCGTTGACCGGCTAGTTCTAATTGCAGATGTGTGGGTATTGACATTGGGGGAAGGGGTATCGTTGGCGGAATAGGTGACGGTGGCGAAGGATCACTTGGGCGCTTTTCCGGAGGGGGGGCTTCAGGTTTAGGGTTTGCTTGGGCGTTCTCTGTAGCTTTAAGATCCATTGGGGGGGGTCTGTGCCCAGGCTGAAAGGAATTTCGTCTGCTCGAGGGCTGGGCAGGCGGCTGGACGCTTGAGCGGCGGCGGTTTGTGGGGGGTGTCGAAACTGGCCTTGAGCGGCTACCTCTCTCATTCTCTCTTCGTGAATGTTCCCCTGGATTCGTTTCATTAGACACCGGCGCAACAGGCAGCGCCTCCGGCGCGGTCAACTCCTGCATCTTGGACGCCGACAACCTCCTCACTCCGTCTGTTTGACTGCTTTTTGTGTTTGACCTCGGCCGGGTCTTGCCTTCGGCTGCCTGTGTGTTTCCATCATGTTTGGATCTCTCGCCTTCGCTGCTCTCACCCGACATTTCTGGCGTCGGCACGCCCTTAGTCGAGCTCGACGGCGGTTCTTGTGCGCGAGGCTCGGGGACCGGGTCGGGGGGGTCATTGGGAGTTAAGACGGGGGAGGGGAGGTGAGCGTGGGAAGGTCGTGTGCTGGATTTGTCTTTTGATCGCGCTGGATCGTGCTGGCCTTTAGCTCTGCTTTCGCCATCGCGAGCGTCGCTTGGGTTCATGAAACCCTCTGCGATCGCCGGGCTCGCTGCCGACGATGGCGATGGCGATGGCGATGCCTTGCCGGCGTTGGGGTCGGGATCCATGGCGTCGTGTCAGACCATTGTATTGCTGGGATGCAGTTATCGCGGCATTCCTAGAATCTATAAATGGACTCGCGTCAATCGAGAGCATGCGAGTGTTGGGGAAAAGCTGGTAATCAGGTCAAAGAAGTGCAACGTTAACTCTTACCTTCAAGCTCAGCCTTGCAGTAGTGACGTTCGTTGTCTGCAGCCCAGCCTATCATTCTTGGCGCCCTATCCTTGAGGCTAGCGTGGCTGAAGGCCCACCCTCCAGCTTCATCCTTGTGGCTCCACCGGCCGTGATCAAAGAGATTAAAGTCGAGACCTCCCATGCCCCGCCACAAGGATGACAGCACGACTGGGATGGGCTTTGCATTTGTTGTGCAACAGATGGGGACCCAGGTAGATGGAGCCAATCGAATAGATGGAGGGAAATCAGAGAGAGCGAGAGAGAGAGAGTAAATGCAATTGTTACAGCTCGTAATTCCGACGTGCGACATCGATGGCGGTGCGGGTGGGGTTGCTTGCGTGCTGAGGGATGAGGGGTCAGGGTCAGGAACAAGAGGGGTAGCTGCTGCTGTGATCCTGCTGCGTAGAAGACAGCAGAATTTCGAATTGAGCTCTCCATTAACCCATTCTCAACCTCTCTTCCCCAATTGCAACGCTCAGCTCAGATTCGAACACCCTGAGCTCTAAGCAGACACCATGGCCTCTAATCCCCCCGGACGCTGCTGCACCCTTGGAATCAAGCATGAGTACGTCCTCTATCCCCAAGTTATCACCATCATCTTGTAGAGAACAATGGCCACTAATTCTTATCCAGGGGTACGCCCTCCGGCGAGCTGATCAAAGTTGGCGCCTACGACGCCTACCTCGCGAAACCCCCCGCCGACAAAGCCCACACCGGAGCTGGCATCCTCTTTCTGCCGGATGTGATCGGCATCTGGCAGAACAGCAAGCTGATGGCCGACCAGTTTGCGGCCAACGGCTACGTCACACTCATCATCGATACCTTCAACGGCGACCCGTTGCCTCTCGGCCCGCGCCCGGCCGGGTTTAACATTCATGAATGGATTGCGAAGGGCTCCGACGGGAAGAACCCACATACGACTGAGGCGGTTGATCCGATTGTCGTGGAGGGGATTAAGTACTTGAGGGAGGTGCATGGGGTTACGAAGTTGGGGGCTGTTGGGTACTGCTTTGGTGCCAAGGTACGTCTCCTGGTTTCTTCGCACCTTGAGACTAAGCTAACAGCAACAGTACGTCGTCCGCCACTACAAATCCGGCATCCAAGTCGGCTACGTGGCACACCCGTCCTTCGTCGAAGAGGACGAGCTGGCCGCCATCACCGGCCCATTTGCCATCTCTGCCGCCGAGACGGACACCATCTTTCCGGCCGAAAAGCGCCACAAGAGCGAGGAAATCCTCAAGGCGGCTGGCGTGCCTTACCAGATCAACTTGTTCAGTGGTGTCGAGCACGGGTTTGCCGTACGGGGTGATCCGAATGTGAAGATTTCGAGGTTTGCCAGGGAGCAGGCGTTCTTGCAGGCGGTGACGTGGTTCGATAACTGGCTGCTGTGAACTGGCGCAGGAAGATGAAGAAGTGATGAGTTACGATAGATTCTGGTGACTATGAACAAGACTATTTGACAGCCCTTCTCCAGTTCACCAACGTCTCCTCACTTCTCCTTATGCGATATGACCGTCTTCCCGTGTATAGCAAGTCTGCTTGACAGTCCCAAGTCACCATAACTCCAGCCCCTCCTCCTGATGCGGCATGACATTCCTCCCCGCCTTGACCGGATCCAACTTCTCATCATGCTTATGATTCGCCCTACACGACGCACACTTCTCACACAAATATTACCTCGTATTTACTTCCTGTCACGGTCAGCGCCCCCCCCCCTCCCCTCCCTTCTAGTCGTTATTTAGGTCTCCCTTCAGGGAGTATTTACACCCTCCTAACCCAACCCTTCTTATGTTCCGCGGGGAAATTAATCTCTTCTTTCAAACTCTACAACCTCAGTCTACCCTCATAATCCCCCTCTGGCTTTGCCTTCGGATAATGTCTTGACTACACTTACACGTATTTGGGATCGCGAAACCCCCTTACAAATGAACCCCGCCATGCGCCGAGTTCCATCACGTTATGGCCGTAGAAACTGCCTGCGTCGATGATCACGCTTTGGTTGGTTCCCTCAACGAAGCCGACGTTGTTTTCCTATAAATTGCTATGGAGCAAACAAGGTTTGATCGGACTCCCATTGTGTTCAGTCAGGTGTTTTGTGTCCAACAGATTGGGAATTGCTTTTGTCGCAATCTGCTTCATCGCCTGCTCATACCCATCCCAAGCCCCGTTACTCTCTGAATCTGTCTCACACGCCCCGAGAAGAGCTGCGTATAAAGTTAAAAAAAAATAAAAAAATTTCGTACTAGGTAGGTTTCCAGTCGACTACGTGTGCCCTATCCCCGTCTGTTGTCACAACCTCAAACCCGAGCATCCCGTTCGGGGATCTACTCTCCTTAGACAGTCTCGCTAGTTTGAGCCAAATTCTCCCCGATCATGGGGGGTGGGGCGCAGGGAATCATGTCGACCCATTCGGTGAGATAAAAGTATGCCTGCTTCGGGGCCGAACCGGTGAAAGAGGGTGTTATTTAGGAGATGCGGAGGGAGATGTGTTCGCCGGCGGAGCATGAGACGGTAGGATGTGGAGGGGAAGATTTTGAAGAAATAGGATTCTAATGTGAGAGTATTGATGTTTAAGGCGAAGGCACGGACCGTTATGGGCCAGGCAGATTTTGCTGTGGAGAGGATTGAGAGGATGACTCGGTTGGGAAGAGCTGGATAGAAGGGTATCTTGCTCCTAGGCTGTTACCAGAGCAAAAAGGTATATGAGGGAGAACTTGGTTCAGCAGAGTCTACGTAGTCAAAACGGAAACATGGGCATGCTGGATCATGAAGGTAGCCAGGCCATCAGGAATTTTGAAGATCTGAAGAAGCTTGCTTTTTTTTTTCAATGCCTGATCAACTGAAGTCCTGCCCACTATCAACGCAGAAATCTGCTTGATGGTCATATGGAAGATATCCTCCCAGCGAACTATTGGCTGACTTGATGCCACGCACGGCGGTGCTGGGGCTTAAGTGGCGACTCTAGAAGAGATTGGAAGCTCATGAAGGAGCTTATGGGAAGTTATTATGGGATCTAAAAGCTCGTGGGTGTAGAAGCTAGTTGTTAGCAATTTGATGACATGGTTAGACTTAAACTGGAGCATATTCAAATCATCTGACTATCTTCAACAGAGCAGGGGATCTTCGTCTTTCTGCTTGAGGTATGTTTTATCCATCCAAATATTTAAGTTCCTCATCTCGAAGTTAGCACTCTCATTGTAGTGCTAAGAGCGGTTGGTTCTGTTCATTATCTTAATAAGAAAGGGCAGCTTGACCGCTACCGCTCGAGCCGAGAATGACTTTGTAATGGCCCGCGTCACTGCCCATATAGATGTCCGGTTTGGAGAGAATATCCTTGCAGCTTTCTATCACCTACTGTCTACCACAGCTTAGAAAAGAGAAGGCGGGCATTGTTGAGGGCTAAGGCATTTCAATGAAGGAGGTCGAATTGCTGTGTTTGCTTCAGGGACATTCGGGAGCGGGACTCGGCCCCAGTGTCTCAGCGCTCTGTGAGCAGACGTCGTCCAGGTCACAACCAGCCCACAACAAAGCTTTCATTATTTCTAGGTCTGAGATGGAGGACTCGAACTGCAGCCAATACTGTCTTTCCATTGTTTCTACCAAGTTGGCTATTCTTTCTTTTCTAGTGACTGACCGGGCCCGCTATGTGTCACTCCCTGACCACTCAAAAGGGAGCAAGCAACACCTCACCGCCAACCAGAGTCCAACCGAACAAGGAGCTCGGGTGTAATCCGTATCACGGAAGATGATGCCGATGTTGCACCCATTGTTTCTCTGGAGTCGACACTTTGGACTTGAGGCCAGTGTGCCTGGAATACTGGCATTCTTACCAACAGCGACAAAACCTTCTGATCCTATTTTCTTCAGCTTTTAACGGCTGATATCATCTTGAGCTTTGCAGCCTCAAGCTCGGAAGTAGAAACCACCCAGAATTGCTTTCTTACCGTGCAAATCAGCTCTTGTGCAGTTAACTCGACGTTTGTGATCGACGCTACCTAGGGGCATCACAACCAACCACTGCAGCCTCACAAACAGCTGCCAAGATTCTTGGCTGTTATTTTGGGCGCTGCTTCATGATCGACAGCTAGTTCCAACCCTCAACCACCGCCCAGACGCCGATCCTGCCGGGCCTGTGACCAGAATTGAAGGCTTCTAACGATTTATAGTCAAAAACAAGCCACACCTAGATGTGGAGATGGCTTAAGACGGGGTTTGAGCAAACATCATTGAGCAGATATCGATTGCGACGTGGCTTCAGGACGTCCTTTTGACAACTGCCAAATGCATGGGCGCTCCCCAGATACTACTTACCAACGCTGCAAAGGATCTGTTCTTGTCTCCAGCTTTGGCTGGCTGATGTCGTCTATTGTGATCCGCTGCTAGCAGATTCGGAGAATATTCCCCGAGGATAAACCAGGGGACACAACATCTGTTGCGGATTCACAAGCAGCTGCTGTTATTTTTAGACGTTTCAAGATCGACACAAGTTCTCAATCTTCAATCATCCCAGAGCACAGACGTCATTGCCTTCCATGGCTTGATGGCCTGACAGTTTGAGCCTCCTCAAGAATGGCCGGAAAAGGCCATCTGGGTTAGACTTGGGGGGCAAAGCGAGACCGAGACTGTGTGATCTCTTGGCCAAGTCTGTATCGCTTTCGGTGGCCTTTGTTTTTTTTTTTTTTTTTTATTTTTTTTTTTTACGGTTGTTGCAATCCATTAGTAACTAAATCGGAGAGGTCTTGCCGTCGTGTTGGGATGTTATCAAAGCCAGATCAGCGCCGCAGTGTTATGATCCAACTTCCAAGTCAGCCAAATCCTCTGCGGCGTGCGTTTTGAGGAGGCCATCTCCGCACAGAGTTGCTACTTACTGCACCCTTGAAATTCGAAATGTAAGAGCCAAGACGCAGCTGGAGAGCAGCGTAGCTAGCCACAGCTGCCATAACTACCCCTTATACATACCCCAGTGCACGGACCGCAGGTTCCTCGGCAGCTATGTGTTTGGGCGTGCTACCCCACAGTAGGGTGACCTCCGGCTCCGCTAGATCCACTCAGGAGATCGCGCCTTGGCGGAAAATCGTCGCGATCTAGCATGTGGAAAGCAAACACACACAGCTTGTGGAGAGCTCTGACTCGAGCTTTCCTCGTCATCGATATACTACAATTCCCACCTGAAAGTCCTCAAGCTTAGACGCTGCCCAAATATCTTAAAAAAGATTACGGAGAGTCTATCGTCAATTGGCCAGCCCAGCAGACTCCCTGACGTGTGTGCGAGAAGCTTGCCGTCGAAGGAAATTGGTGCAGTTCAGTAATGGAGTATTGGAGGTTCAGGCACACCGATGCGAACGACGTAGCCGTGGCACTGCACGAGTAGGCTGTCGTGAGGAGTTGTCGGTGAAGGGCTTTGCCATTTGTGGGTTGCGGTTTTATTTTCGATGTCAGCAGTTGGCTGTTAAGAGAGTCCCCCTGGCGGCGATGGTCGTCCGATCAGTGAAACGCCAGGCACAAACGCCCGACGGTTTTGCGATCGCGTCATCGTCTGAACTAGGGCTCAAAAGTGTTTGTCTTTCGGGAGCCAACTGCATCATGAACCACATGTAAAACCATGTCTGCATGTCAGTGAGACTCGTGATGATTTCCGGCACTTCATAACGGCCCGCCCCCGGCCCTGCGAGCAGCGGTAGCAACACAGCCCCAGTAATCACAACATCACCAACCACTAGCCAGGCCAGCAAGGCTGCAGTTGCATCAACCAGAACCAGGGATGTCCGTCCCAGGCTCTTTTCGGAAAGCTCGTCGCCGTCTGTGCGCGAAGACCCAGACAGCCAGACTCGGGATAGTGTGTGTCGCTAAACCCACCACTGTCTCCAGCCGGACTCTACGCCGGTGACCTGCAACTGTCGAAATGAATCTGGGGGATTTAAAAAATTGGGGGCACTCCTGGGTCACTTGAAGCGCTCGCATCGAAGTGGCGATAACAGTGGCCGCGTAACCGACAAGGACGAAACATCGAAATAATATCGACGAGAAGAATAACGAACAGGGCAACGACCCGGGTTGAGGGTATTGGTTAGAAGAAGAAGAAGAAGAAAGAAGGCTGAGGAGGAGGAGGCAAAAAATGATTGCTCGGAATTAAGGAAGGAAAGTCGATAAGATGGCGATCGACTTGCTGCGCCGGCAGTCCGGCCCCGACGACGGCCGCGACCACGAGGACCTGGGTCCGATGCTCAACACTGTCTTCTGGACCATGGCCGCGCTGTCGACCATCTTCCTCGCTCTGCGCGTCTACACAAAAGTGTCGCGCCGCCGCAAGATGTGGTGGGACGACTGGCTGCTGATTGCGTCGTGGGTGCGTTCGCTCTTCCGCTGCGAGGGTTCAAGATCGGAATCGACAAAGTATGCTGACTGACTGACCTGCTCTTCAGGTCGCCTTCATGACCTCCGCTGCAACAACCTCCGTCTGCATCGAGCTCGACTACGGCAAGAACGCCTGGGACATGGACCCGAAGAACTTTCCAAAGATGCCCTTTGTCGCCGTCTTCGCCGGTTTCTTCTCCGTGCTGGCCGCCTGCTGGAGCAAGACCTCGTTCGCGCTGACGCTGTATCGCCTGGTCCACGAGACGTGGATCAAGCTGCTCATCTGGTTTCTCATCATCACCCTCAACGCCATTCTCGGCACCGCCATGCTGCTCATGTGGATCAAGTGTCGGCCGATTCAGAAGATCTGGGATGATAAGCTGCCCGGGAGGTGTATCGATCCCGGGAACATTGTAATTGTGTATCAGTGGTCGGCAGGGTATTCTGGGGCGGTGGATGTTGTGTTGGCGTTGTTGCCGTGGTATATCCTGCCGAGGATGAAGATGACCCTCACTAAAAAGGAGCGGTTTTTTGTGGCTATTTGCATGAGCATGGGCGTTGTGTAAGTGCTGCCGGTGTCGTTGTCTTGACCTGGACCTTGCTGACTCCATCCCAGCGCCGGTGCGGCGTCCTTCGTCAAAATGGTCGAGCTGCCCAACCTTAAAGGCGGAGCCAGTACGTCCCGTCCCCCTCCTTGTTAATGTGTCCCCCCCTAACTGTGCACAGAGGAATCCGTCTCCGTAACGCTCTGGGGAAGCACTGAGGGCTCCCTCACCATCATCGCTGCGTCTATTCCCGTCTTGCGCGCGCTCATCCGCAAGGACAAGGGCCGTCGGGCGCCAAAATTTGACACGATTGACGAGCGCCGCCTCAATGAAGTGGGCAATACCTCGCTTGATACATTGCAGACGCCGTGCAAGTATACCAACTCGACAGAGAAGGATTGGCTGCATACGTCGACGGAGTGGGAGGGTTCACAGCCTGAGCAGGCGTGACCAAGCCTGCTTGACACTTGCACTACGATTTTCAAGTGTTATTGTTTTTTTTTTTTTCCCTTTAAGATACCCTCATGCGTGTGTTTTGATTATAGTAGCATGACTTGATGTCGAGTGCACTCGCCTGGTATTTCCATGCATCTGTACATGTACATGTTTCTCTGTCTGGATCTGGTTGAGAATGATGGATGGAATTAAAGCGTCGGGCTGGATTGTGGAGTATCGGCGTCTTTTCTGGAAATGAAACCCGGTTATTTGGGGGGGACAGACTAAGTTTTGTTCATTGGTTGGTTAAAGTCGGATAGTGAGGATACCATGAATGATCTTACCTGAGATTCTTGACATTGGAACGTATGAAGTGATGTTGGATGTTGAGAGTGAAAGAGTGGCGTTGGGTCTGAGATTTGATGGGTGAAACCTTGAAGCTGCAGTGAACTGTTGGATCCTATGAGCCAACAACCTTATGGGATTCCTTCTTCTCACTTTTTCAAAATCGAGCTGACACGAATAGGATGCGGCGTTGAGTCTGAACCGTGCCACATTTCGGCAACTCTATTGAGATTAAGATGAGGGCGGCCCAACCTGTTGGCGTCAATCAGCATAATGCTCACGTCCTCCATCAACCCATCAAATAACGTCCGAATCCCTCAACAACCATCCTTCTCAACCCGTCGTCGCAAACATGAAGCTTAGCCCCAAGACTTCCGATCGTTTTCGCACTCGATTCTCCTCAATTGCCAGCCGGCTGGCCGATCATCTCTCTCCCCTCCGCCCCTACCTCCCCCCAATCAACTTCATAACCCTCCACTACGCCTACTTCATCTTCCTCTCTCTTTTCTTGTCTCTCATCTTTTACGCCGCCCATTCTCCCACCCCCTCCAAAAGCTCCAATGAGGACATTGCCAGGCGTCGAATATCCTACCTCGACGCCCTCTTCCACACTGTCTCCTCCCTAACCGGCACCGGTCTCAACACCGTGCCACTCTGTGACATGTCCGTTGGTCAACAAGTCGTACTCTTTTTGGCCATGTTGGCGGGGCATCCGGTGCTGGTTAGTTTGGGAGCAGTATGGTTTCGGAAGGATGTTTTTGAAAAGAAGTTTAGGGAGATTGTGCAAAGGGAGAGGGAGCGCAAAGAGAAGATGGAAGGAGGAAGATTGGGGAAAGCGCTTGTGAGAAGGGTAACGTTTAATTTGGCGTTGACGTTGACGAGGGAGAGGAGCAGGGATGGGGATGGGGATAGGGGGGGTTTGGCAGGGTTGGGAACGAGGATAAAGGAGAGGAGGGAGGGGGAGAGGATGAGCCCAACCCCAACCCCAAATTCGAGCTCGAATCAGACTAGGGAAAGGGATCGAGATCGAGAAAGAGACCTCGAACCCGGCCTGCCCCCAATCCACGAACAGCAAGACCCAAACCCAAACACCTCCTCCCTCCTCTCCCCCCAGCCCCAATTTCTCTTCCCCAGTCCCCCATCCCATAGCCCCGCCTCCCGCAGCATCCAATTCATTGAACCGCCCCGTCCAGACCGACCCTCCCCTTCCCTCTCCCCATCCCCCGACCCAAATAACAACAACAACAACAACGAATCGGGCAATGATACGCCCGACTTCATAGCCCGCCTCCGCCATTCGCATACCCGCAACGCCTCCTTCGCGAACCTGACACTATCGGAAAGGCAGTACCTCGGCGGGGTAGAATACCGCGCTCTAGAGGTCCTCATTGTGACGGTAACGGCGTACTTCATCCTCTGGCCACTGTTTGGCGCCATTGCCTTGGGGGCGTGGCTTTCCCGTCATGGAGGCCAGGTCTCTGAGCAAGAGACCGGGGAAAAGAGTCCGAGTCCCAATCCGTGGTGGGAGGGTATCTTCTTGAGTGTGTCTGCCTTCGGGAACGGGGGGATGGTACTCGGCCCGGAGATGGGCTCTTTTCTGGACAGAGGGGTAGGGGGGGTGTTTGTTCTGTTGGTCGTCAGCTTGCTGACTCTAGCTGGCAGCCAGGCCTCCCCCGTCTTTCTGAGAGTTATATTCTTGGGGCTGTGGGGGATTTTGAAGAGAGTGGTGGCAGATGAGGGGGGTTATGCTGTGTGGAGGGAGACGTTTGAGTTCATCTTGAGGTATCCTAGACGAGTGTATATTAATATGTTTGCGGCGAGGGATACATGGCGGTTGGCGGGGTGGTTGGCTGCGTTTTTGGCTGTGGATTGGGTGTTGTTTTGGCTGTTGAATATTGGGAATGGGGAGGTGGAGGGGATGCCCAGGGGGAAAAGGGTGTTGGGGGGGTTGGCGCAGAGTATATGTGAGTTTCCCGAGAGGAGGGACTAGGGTTTCGATTTACCTGAGGAGAGATGCTGACTGACTGACTGACCGTGAACAGCCAACCTCTCCGGAGGCTTCGCCATCATCCCTGTTTCCGCCGTTTCCTTCTCTCTGCAAGTGTTCTGGCTGATCAAGATCTATGCCTCGGCCTACCCGACCTCCATCACCGTGCGCGGGTCCAACGTCTATGAAGAACGTTCCCTCGGCATATACATGGGCGATGAGCCCCCTGACTCCGACGACAGCGGTTCCGACAACGAGAAGCGTCCTGCCAAAGCCAAACCCCTACCTGAGTCTGAACCAGAACCAGAAGGCACAACGACGGGCCTCATGATCCCCTCCCTCCCTCGCCCCCCCTTGACTCCAGTGTCGACTACATCCCAAGTCTCCCGCCTCAGTACAGCCTCTCGCCGCGGGCTAACCAAACTCGTTGGCATCACCCGCCAGGGCACAGCCTTCATGGGACGGCAAATCCAGCGGCGCATGACGACAGGTTTCCAAGGCGTCGGTGTATCTGCCTCTGCTGCCCTCCCCATCCCACAGAAATCCACACTGCCGACGTTCAACACCCCAGCCACCTCTACCAGCAGCAAGACGACGACCGCCCCAACACCCGCCCCCAAACCCGATCTCACAACCCATCATGCAAGAAGCCAGTTATCCCACGACATCCCCCTCCTAGCCCTCTCTTTCTTGTTACTCGTCCTCATCGAAACCCCGCACATCTCCTCCTCACCCCTGATCTACTCCCTCTGGAACATCCTCTTCGAGCTCGTCTCTGCCTACGCAAACAACGGGATCACGGTCGGCTTCCCGGGAAGAGACTACTCCTTTTGTGGGGGGTGGAGGAAGCTGAGCAAGCTGCTTTTAGTCGGAGTTATGTTGCGAGGGAGACATAGGGACTTGCCGGTTGCGCTGGATCGGGCGGTTAAGTTGCCGAGGGAGGGGGATTGGGATGGAGAGGAGGAAGAGGATGGAGAGATTAGGAAGATCATAAGTAGAAGTCCGGCGGTGGGAAGGAGTCCTATGTTGGGAAGGTTAAACGGATTGTAAAGGCTGGCTTAGCCAGGAATATTGAGGGGAGGCGGAGAGCGCGCTGAGCTGATCTCAACGAGTGTCGAGGTTGGAGACAAGTCGGCTAGCCATGGGAGCTGCTATCTGGTCCGGCTCTGAGGACTTGAGTGATGACATGGGAAGAAGGTGAAGGCTCGAGGGGGCCTGAGGGTGATGGTTTCATGGGAGAAAAAGGACTAGGGAGGGTTGGCTGGGAACTTGCCTTGAGTGAGCGAGGGATAAGCATCGCGAGAGGTGTTAACCCGGTGTTGCTGTCATCAAGTTTAAACAGGGGAAAGAGTGGAATACTCGACAGGTTGAGTGAGGCGTAAACAAGCCGGAGCAAAGATATCTGCTGGACAAACAAGGGATAATAACTATGTCGAAAGTGCTGAAAAGCCGGTCGACCTCAGCCGTCGGGGACACAGCCGATCAAACATGATGAGCCAAGAGGATGATCGGGATCCTGGATGATCACCTCTGACGGATACCAATCACATAGACGTAATGTAATGTTTTCTCGGCTGATACTAGACAAAAACATCCATCTCAAACCTAAGAAACAACTTCTCGCTGCACTCTGCTGGGGATCTCTTATGCAAGTACACACCACCTCCATCCCATCGCTGGCACGCAGAACCCCGCCAAGACTTCAATATCTGGAAACGAGAGCCACGGTCACATGGACCCGGCTGGCTGGAGCGGCTGTTACGAGTTCACTGCACCGGCGGGCAGCACAGTGCGACCCTTAAATATTTTTTTTTTTTTTATTTTGCTAGGCCAAAACTTTAGCAAGTTATCAGGGATCCGAGCGTTAGAATTTTCACGCTCACACTTTCACACAATACCTGCAATAACTAAAACAGATATACTAGCAAGCTAAGCAACGGCAGAAGTGGCCAAATAAATTGTGTTTGGAGTCTTCGAACTGTTGTTTTGATGTGAGTCGGAAAGATCTGTGGACCACCAACAGCCGAAGCAAACCAGAGGCAAGGTGTAACGCACTATGTCATGGCAGATCTTGCGCGGGGTGGGGGCCGATTTCTAGAAACGCAGCCGCTTGTTCCATGACAAGACCCATCTCACAGAAGCGCGCGAATCACAGGACGGACCCAAGACACAAGGAGAGCAAGAGATAAGGGATGCAGAACATGGGGAAAGAGATGGGAACAGAAGAATTACTGATTACCAGAGGAAAAAGTACAGCTTCCAACTATGTACAGCCGAAGAGAAGCGTCTGTTTACCAGAGGAGCGCTCGCGGGCCCTTGCCTTTCGCCTTAGTGGTCTTGTTGGTCAGCGCCTCGACGACGCCGTCGTAGGCGGGGTGCTTTGTGAAGTTGGCGAACCAGAGCAAAGGCGCACCCTCGCTGGGGAAGTAGTCGGGCACCCAGGAGAAGGGGTCGTAGAAGTCCCAGATAGTGACACCGATGCAGCCCTTGACTTGGACGCAAGCACCGACGACCTAAGTCAGACTGTCAGTAGAGCTCAAAAGGGAGAATGGTCTGTGTGAGGGGAGTGCTGTTGGGGGCTCACATTCTTATAAGCCTCCTTCTGCTGCGCAAGATTCTCAGCCGTCGCCGGCACCGTCAACCGGACATCCAACTCCGTCAGCGCCACCTCCACACCCAAATCCGCGAAACCCTTGATCGCATCAATATGTTGATCCAGCGTTGGATGATTCTCCGCCACCAAATGGGCCTGCAACCCGACACCGTCAATCCGGATCCCCTCCTTCCTGAGCATCTTTACAATCCTCTTCGCCCCCTCCGTCTTCGCGCTAGGCCACTCCAGATTATAATCATTATAATACAACTTCGCATGGGGATCCGCCTTCGCCGCCGTCTTGAACGCAAGCTTGATGTACTCCTCACCCAACACCTGGTAGAAGATCGACTGGCGGTAAGTGCCGTCCTCGTTGAGCGCTTCGTTCACCACGTCCCAGGCGTAGCAACGTCCGCGCCAGTGGCCAGCCACGCGGGTGACGTGGTCGACAATTACCTTGCGGAGTTCGGCCTTCGTCCAGTTGCGCGACTCGACCCAGGGTGCGAGCTGGCTGTGCCAGACGAGGGCATGGCAGCGCAGATAATAGCCAGCTTTCCGAGCCTTGGTGGCCACGATCTCGCCTTCAGTGAAGTTGAAGACGCCTCGGGAGGGTTCGGTGAAGAGCCACTGGTGATGTTAGCCTCAATCCCATACTTGAGCTGAAACTTGATTAGGTCAGGAGTACCTTCTGCCCATTTGTAGGCGTCGTTTGCCCGAACTCGCCCGACTTCCACATGATATAGTCATACTGCGGGTAGGCGTCCTCCTTGCCGGCGCGCTCGCGTTGGCCCGGGGAGTCGGTCGCTGAGCCAAAATACTTCAGCCCAGCTTGCAAGGCCAGCTTGTGAAGGCCCTTCTGCTGGGGCTGCGGCCGGCCGATGGCGCCGGCGAGGGAGCCCGGCAGGGCAGAAAGAAGGAGGAGAGAGGAGAGATGCATTTCGCCTGACCCACTGCAGCAGAGTGTTGACTTGGTTGACGCGCCGAGAACTCGAGGTCCGTGAAGAGCAAGAAGCAAGAGACGGCCTCAGAGGATGAACCATCTATTTATCACCACCACATCCCAGCCGCCATCTAGCCGGTCGTCAGGTCGGATACAACCCTGCCTGTCGAGCATACCACGACGGGATACAACTCCGCTGCTCTCTCTGGAGAGCTGGGTCTCCGAGGTCGATACCCTCTCTCCCATTACCTGATCCATCCCCATCCGGGCCGCGGACCGGGTAGCTGGGCCACTCTGGGTCCAGCCGGGCGGTCGGTTCGACGGTGATTGGCCTTTCATCCTTCACCTCTGATGGGCCATCTTCTGGAATTCAGCCAGAACATGTCGAGTCTGGAGACTCGAGCCGCGGGGAAGATGGGGGTAGTCATGCCAAGCGCGGAATACTTGCCGGATAAAATGCTTAGTCGCAGTGGCAGGCTGGCCGTTGAATTTTGCCGGTAGGAACGGCGATGCTTGGCACCGGTGTTCCCGAGCCGGTGGCCGGGAGGATAATGGTCAGTGCATGTTGTCGGCTGGTTGAGGAGAGATCATCTTTCCGCGAGAATTGTCGTCATCGTCGCCGACGGGCCAATGAACGAAGGAAAATGATGCAATTGAGGAGCATCCAGCCGACTCGCAATACAGATTACCCAATCCCATCCATCGTATGCAGGAACCGTCGCGGATAGATCGCTCTCACATCTGGCTGTTGTTTTGTGCCTGGGCAGAGTGGTGATCATCCCCTGATTGACGTTGCATTGATGACACGGAGGTAAGGTCCAGTTTGGAGTTCACCGTTTTTTATCTCCACTGATCTTTTCTGGCTTGGCAAGCGGGGAATGCGGGGGAGATGGGTACGTGTGATTACGTAAGCTATAGGCTTAGAGGGAGATGGAGTCCATTGAAAACCAACCTCGTGAGATTCTCGGATTCCTCTCCCGAAAATGAGAGAGACAGCCTGGATCGACGATATTCCGCTTCTTGGGTCATTCTTCTCTGCATAAGCCGAAAAAAAAAAACAAGTGGAAATTGAGTTCTTTCGAGGGCTTGAGTCACCTAACAAGCAGGTTGTTGGCCGAGCCTGCACTAGTGGTTGATCGCATCCTCTTAACGGATATTACAGGACTGACCTATCATAAGGCTCCGATAAGGCTCGCCCCGCAAAATATCTACTTCGAGGGTATTTCGTCGCCAGCTTGAGATTAGTTTCTACTTGCAAGATGGTCCAAAAATAGTCGAAAAAATTCACTGTCCTTCATGGAGACAATTTGAAAGTTGTATGCTAAAGTTTTTAGGCCTTAAGTGTCGTGCTCTATGCTGTAGGGTCTGAAGCGAACAGAGTGTCCAAAGGTCAGCAGCTGCTGATGGGCGTTTTTCTACCACCAAATAGATGAGATCTGAGGTTTTTTCCAGGGTTAGAAGCATATGATGGTAAACTATTACAAGGGGAACGCGTTGTTCCGCCGCGCTTTTGAGTTATCAGCAAATGAAATGAGTGAAAATTACGCAGCCAAAATCCAGCCCTCAACCATGCCTTCTCTGGAGCACACATTGAAGCGCTCTCAAACACAGAAACTGTGACGATCCAGACAAGCCTCCTGAAATAGGTTCGAGAGGTGCCAGGCCGCTGGACCTGAGAGCCAGAAGTTCTCACACAGTCAAAATGATCGCTGTGATCACCAGTTAAACAGACAGCTGTTCGTATCGCCGACTGGGAGCTTCTTGGGCCAGATAGCCCTGCCTAAGTCTATCTACATCTTACCACATCTTATACACCCTTGTTGCTTCCTTTGCTTCCTCCTTAATGACACAGATAGTTGAGGGTCAGCATCCTTGGGTGTTGAGGATCAATGCCTCTTGCATTTGAGGAACGCCTCCCCAATGCGTGGGGTCTCTGAGAACAGATATCTGGGTTTGACGGGTCACAACTCCCTTTTACTCCGATTAGTTGTCTGCACGGGGCCCGCTCTTTCAGATAGAGCCCTTGTTGGTCATGACAGAGACCCTGAGTCGACATGATAGAATTCAAGCTTACTCAAGTCTCGCGCCATCACTTAACCGTACCACAGTCTCCATGCAATCAAAGCGATTCTCCGCTGAATCAAATCTTCAACCCATGCTGGGAGGTTCCGAGAAGATGTCACCCAGCCCCCACCTCTGTGAATAGTAATACTCCCTTGTGTCAACTCCTAATACCGCCGCCACGCAAATGTCAGAAGAAGATAAAATATGGCCTAACATGGAGGATATGCTGGATAATGTTGGCGCTATCTAACCTGAGCCCGAGGGTCAAGTAAAGACATGCTCGATATCGCCACTGCTGAAGAGCTTGATATTTTCACGGACAACCCGGAAGTTGAAATCAATAACACTGCTCCTAAGGCTCGGGGTGCTGACAACCTCATGATGAGATGAAAGATGTTCAAGCCGTTAAAAGGGAAGACGTCACCATTACAGATGATGCGGGTTCAATCACCATAGATGTTAAACCCTGGCAGTTGACGATAATGACGAGGGAAAAGACCACTGTTCCCTCGTTCTCTCACTTGTCAAAGCGGTGCAAGAGTATTTTTATATATATTTCATGGTTTGTGTTCAAAAATTGGTCACAATAGACGCGAGTCAGTTTGCCAGCAGGAGAAAACATGCTAAAACGGTGACCCTGCCATGTTGTATGTAAGCCATGTGCAGGTGTCAAGCTCCAGAAATGTCGTCATGATCGTATAACGCTTGACTATTCACGTGGTGGTCTGGCTGCACTTTTCTGTGGCAACTGTGCAGTTTTGACTTAGAGATATAGATACACAAGACCGACTCTAACAGTGTCAGGAGATATCAATGCCAGACCTTCGCAACAAAGGTTACACCGGAGATAACTCCCTACTATGAACTTCAGGCATGAAACGGACAGTACCAGTTGTCTATATCGCAAAAGTATAAATTAATTCCCCGCCTCTTTCACCACAGATCTGGCTGCGTCCTCCATTATCCCCGGCATGCTGCGCTGCATCAGTAGCACATTTTACCAATGGCCTCTCTAACATTTTCCGCTTTCCATGTTCTTGAAACACAACTGACAACATCAAGTGGCTGTAGCACAGCTCTTGTACATCCTTTCTGTCTTGTCATTGACTCAGGATAGAGTTCTATCCGCATCTTTTAAGTAGTGAAATAAAGCTTCCGTTGTATCTAAAACGTACAAATCGGGCCCTGAGAGACATTCCTTTGAATGTGTTGAAGTACTGTGAAAGTTCTAGTTTGCATCCGAATTAATTCACTAGCCAAGTGATTCCCTATATGCATCAAAAACTATTCGTTCATTATTATCTGACTTTCCTCATGCTAGAAGTTGAGAATTGATAGTTACTAATAGCTAATACAAAAAAAATATTATCTCCAAAGAGGTGAGCTTCCCATCGAGCACCATTGACTCCTTTCTCAAACATTAACACCAGACTGCAATCGAAGTATACGGCAAGATCAAAACTCCAGCTCAAAAAGAGCAAGCTAACAAATGAGCACTAACAATGGGTATCCCTAAACTCCTTTCTCGAGGGACATGGAAACAATACTCCGAAAACCACATCCCTCCCATAGCCTTCCCTTAAACATAATCTCATGCCCTTTCAACCATTCCCCTCTTCAAAACCCCTCCCATGGACCCCCGTAAGGCTAAATAGACCTTCTACTCCCTCCACTCTCCCAAGACCATCTCTTAGCACTCCCCCCCTTCCCACATCCTTCTCATCCCCAGACACCGCATCATGCTCATGCTCCCGATGAACATGATCATGGTGAAGCCACTCCATACTAGACCTCCACGCCCCCATAACAGCTACCCTCAGCCCCGAAATGAGTGGGTTGTGCAACCGATCTTCTGCATCACCATCTCCCCAACTCTGCAAGTCCTGAGAATGAGATGCGAGGGAGGGAGACGCAACAGCATCAGCGGCATGTGATGTCTTCTCCCTTATATTCCTACTAGCAGACACCTCCGGTTGATGACGCCAGTGGGACAGCCCAAGCCATGCCCCAAATCGGGGAGCTATCCTACTGGAACTGGAACTGGAAGTAGATGATGTCCGACGAGATGAGCCCGTTCTTCTCCTTCTTGGGGGTGGTTCCTCCACATGGTGATGCACCCTTTCCAGCCGCTCCAGGTCTTGGAGCATCATGTAGAAGTACTCCTCGTCTTCCATTTTTGGATGGGCGGATGTGATCTGAGCACTGGCAGAACTCGATCTTCGTGAATGAGATCTGATTCTAACCCTGAGTTAAGGTGATGATGTGCGTTGAGCTTGAGATTCGGAGGTTGCACTGAATTTGGGGTGGGAGTTAGCATTTTGGTGAGGGATCGCAGGGAAGATTGTAGATGCATGTGAGATGGGATGGGAAACCTCAGTGAGGAATTAGACTTGATGACATACCAAGTGGTATCTGGTTGGTGTTGGTGTGTGCCCTTGCAGTAGTCAAGTGCGGACACCTGCAGTGCCTTTGCAGCTGATATCTCAACTGAAATGTGATCGCGAAAACAAATTATGATGAGTCTGAATCCCGTTGAGGAGTCCCAAACGCCGACGTCCTCCTCGATTCCGCAGCTTGATGTTTCGACAAAAAAAACTCGTCAAATGTTTACAATATCTCGCACGATTGACAACTCAACAAGATCAGACCGATGTTCATCCCCAAGCAGCCCGACTTATACCTTCCATGTTCCATCCCGATCCCCTCCGCACCGTTCTCTCAGTCAGGAGACGCCCGCCAAGCATCGCTGCCAAGCCCTTCACCGTGGCACCACTTTGCCAATATCCGATTGGCTGGGACCCAAAAGTGGGGTGGAGAGAGGGTGATTTTGTCATCACGGCGAGACATGCACGGGCTGACTTCGGCAGCTTTGCGAGGAGAGGAAGTGACGCTGCTTTTGGGTCTAGAGAGAAACAAGTTTGATATTTGGCGTTTGGTTTGAAAGTTGACAGGCTGCTACGGTTGGGCTGGCGGTGATGACAGTTTAAGGATTTGGCAGTGCTCAAGATTAACCGTTCGGGGGTAGGGTTCTGAGAGGGACGCTAAAGTCTTGGCTGATATCATGCTGGTCGCTGGACTAGATCGTGATCGGCGGGATGAGTGTGTCAGCGAAAAGTTTACGGAAAGGGGTCGTTAACGTCGCGCGCAACTGGAGATATATCTTAGATGTGACTTCAGTAAGCTTATCCAAAGATGTATTCAGCCGAATCTGGAGGGTTGAGACCACTTTGACTGTCGAGAAGTGGGAGAGTTTTCGCAGGACAGTTTACCTAGGGACAAGCACGTTTCACCTTACAGTTTGGGAAAAAGGCAGAAGTAATAAACCCATCCAGCAGGACGGAAACCCATTATTACATCACAGCTTTTGATACTAGTAAAATCAACACAAAGTCTATCTACAACCCCGATTCCCGAAGAGAACGAAACACCCCCTTTATAGATAAACCATCCATACTGGTGCCAATGACACCTCAGATGTCATCGGTACCTGTCAGGAAAGCCCGTACTAGAGGAGCATCGCGAACCCAGCCTTCTTTTGCATGTTTAGATGAGAATCCGGAGCAGGTTGGCGAGCAGGTTGCCGACGAGGTTGAGCAGCTGGGTGAGGAGACCGCCGTGGTACTTGAACTTGTCGGCAAGGATAGGGTTGACGGGGCGCAGGATGACAACGAGCTCGTTAACCAGGGCGATGAGGATCTTGACAATGGTTGGGATCAGCTCGCGCAGGATGACACGGAGGTTAACGCCGAGCTTGATAAGGATGCCTAGACGTAGTCAGTATTTTGCTACACTGCGTGCAGCGTGCGTTTTGGGGGGGGAACGTACGGAGGTCGAGCTTCAGCAGAGCAAGGACCTGGACGCGGACATCCTCGAGCAGGACGCGGACGCGAACAAGGAGGTCAAGAATGACATCCAGATCAATCTTAGCGACGATATCGGCCCTGAGCTTGAGACCCTGGAGCGAGACAACAGCGTTCAGGAGGACGCGCAGGTGAGCAACAAGGTCAACGACGACCTTGACGAGGGCATCGATATCGATCTTTGCGGCGGCGAGGATGTTGGCTAGTGTTGTTAGCGTTGCTCTGCTTCTTGAGAACTGAGATACCTACCAATGATCTTCAGATCGGCGCGGATCAGAGTCTCAACCTCGGTGACGGTCTTGACCAGAGTAGCAATGATAACAGTGATATCGGTGACAACGGTGGTGCCGCCGGGGACGGTGACCGTCTGGGTTGGGACCGGTACGTCGATGGTCTGGGTGGTGGCGAGGGTGGTGGCGATGGTAGTGTAAGAAGTCTCGGTCACGCCCGGCAGGGTGATGGTGGTATAGGAGGTGACGGGCGGCAGAGTGATGGTGGTATAAGAGGTTGACCAGGAGGTGACGGCATCGCAGTGGCGACGCTCGACACGGTCAACGGCCCGGGCAGCGGCCAGGCCGACGAAGGCGGCAAGGGCAGTGAAAAACTTCATTTTGATAAATGGGAAAGTTGTCGAGAGAGTGACAGTTGAGTGAGTGTCAAGGGCGCTATTAGGATTACTAGTAATAGTAGAGTTGTATAGTAGAGTTGTATTAGAGAGAGTGACAAGAGAGAGAGAGAGAGAGAGGACAGGAGCTGCTGTGATGCTGATGAGTGCTGCTCTGCTGGTGAGGGAAAAGCAGCGACACGTCGGGGAGAGGCCAGCTTATATGCTCGAGTGGACGAGGTCTTCGAGATGTCCTCTTGACATGTCAACTTACATCACACTCACAACACCGACGTCGAGCAATCTTCGCAGTCCACAAACACTCTCGGCTATCCGCCCCTGCAGGGGTGTCCCGTCCCATCCCGCTATTCACACGAGCATGTCGGTTGTTGGGGAAGAGATGGGCAGCGCAGATCGCAAGCTTGCACCTCGACAGCCATTTACCCAAGATGGTTACGATCACCCATTGCCCAGCGGTGAGGCTGCCTTCCCTGGCTGTGTTTGCATTCGGCTGTTAGAGTCCGTTAGCTCCCCTTGGTCCGTTTGGGCGGCGTGCAGTGTGGCCTGCATTTCCGGCCGGTTGCACGTCATCTTTTTTTTTCTCTTGAGGGCGAGGCCTTTGACATCTTCATCCACTCAGCCCCTGCAGCTGGGTCTATCCGCTCCAGTGGAGGACAAGGCCAGGCAAGGCGGGCTCGTCTTCGGCGTCCCGAACGGCAAGACTCGGAAACTAGTACGAGAGAACAAGAAGTTCAGAATGGAGCCACAGACCCTCCAAATCAAACATGAAACAGCACTAGAAATCAAACACCGGAAACATCAAGCTGTGAAATCTGACAGATTACTGGCTCCCTGGCATCTCGTAGCTCCAGTGCAGGGTTTTGTGCCTGAGGTGGCTAATGCAGCGTGGGCGCTGTAGTTTATGAGTGGTGTGCCACCGATCTGGGGCCGAGTCTTGCCTGGCCGATTATAGCGTTGGGAAACTTTTGCGGAGAGAATAAGCTTGGCTCGACATCTTGTGACAAACTCCAATATCATGATGTCCAAGTAAGTTGAAGTCTTGTAAAGTCAAGTCTTTGTTTCTTCATAGCTGTACTTCGTCTTGTTTCACAGCTGTGAGAACTCTCACAGTGGACTGAAATTGTCCATATTTCCAACCCGGGTCATCCCGACTTACACGGACGCATACCTTCCCCAGTGGACCATAGCCCGACCGATCGATGCCGTGGAGAGATCCAGACCCAGATGTCGTCTGCTGGGTGCCAGTTGCCAACCTCGTGTGAGCAGCGAACTTATGTCCGAGGACTGCATCGATTGACATGTTGCATGGCTCCCATGCTTCTATCCCACCGTCTAGAAGTTTTTTTTTTTTTTTCCTCAACACCCCACTGCTTGTATCCACTACAGTCACACGTGGACTCGGGGAACCGTCTGGCCGTGGTTTGAGGTTGTTGAGCTTGATTCCAGCAAAAAGCTGTTGTTTCTGCTCATTTCAGCTGAACTATCAACGCAGCCTTGTCAACATCTCCAAGCAGACAGCTCATAATGTAACTATTTGGCGGCTTGATGGCGTCTGTAGTTTGATCGGCCCCTTGCAGTTGTCCATTAACTGGGCTAAGCAAAGAAGAAGGCAAGATCGACATCCTGAGAGCAAACGAACGCCAACGCCCCGCCAGCTGGACCAGGACTCCAATCAGCCGCACAAGATGAAACCCCAACGGTGTCTGTGGCACCTACAACCTGATTGGTTCTCCTTAAGGCTCACCGCAGCAGGACGTATGGCTAGCTTCGGAGGTTCACCGAGATGCCCTTATGGGCGGGGAAGTCCATTGGTGTAAGTTGTGCAGATTGGTTGAGCGTATCTAGTCAAACATAACATCGCCAAAAACATCTCAATTTCAGTCCATTCAACCAGTCCAGAACCTCACTGAGGCATGCCCATCGCAATCATCTCAAGGCATCCAATCTATCCGTCGATAGCGGAAGGATAGTAGCATCGCATCCGGGTGACGTGCAGCGACGGCACGGAATGCGGCACAGAGAGAGAATTTTTTTTTCTCCGTCTGTCAACTCCAAGAACAGCAACTTGAAAGTTGAGAGCCATAAAAAAGTGTCAAAAACAAGGAAACTCAACCACATCACCTGCTTCTGTGCCTGGGACCTGCATTAGTGCCATCAGCGCATCGCGGTGTGTATGGAAGCCCCCATCCATGTCGCATGTGAGCTGCGTTTCAGTCTTTTTTTTTCTGATATTTGACACGGGACAACCGCGGATAAGCCGTGTGCGTAGTATTTCGTGTGTTGATACCCTGTAGATGTGGGTGTGTGTGAATGGTCGGTTGGATGACCGTCACCTTCGAGCCTCCAGACACGAGACTTCAGCCCGGGACTCGGTCGATCGGGACGCAAGAACAGCGGTAATTGGCCGGCTAGGACCTCTAGCACACCATTCTTAGTAGGTGGCGGGAAGGGTATGCAAGGGGACGCGGTGAGTGAGAGAGTGAGTCGTTCACACTTTTTTTTTCTTCTTTCCTCGTTTCCTCCCGGGAAAAAAACAAGGCAAACAAACGCACCTCTCACGATCTCTTCCCGTGGCCTATCCTATCGCGGTATAGGTTCGCCGTGCTGGCAAGGGTCTTCCTCGGTAGCAAAAAATGAGCCGCATGTGGTCCACCCACGGTCAAAAACGGCTCCAGGCAGATGGGATGATCGGCGGGTCCGATGGGCAAGGGTGCTTTCGTAACAAGGTCACGAGCGTGTCTGAAGAGCTTCATCCTGGTTGTCGGTGTTACTGAAACCGTCTTAGGAAGTTGAAACGTCGCTCACGACTTAATTCGTCTGCTTCAGAATATCTTTTAACACCGCTCTTAAGTTCTGAAGATAGGAGATGGAAGTAGAAGTCCGCCGATCGTGCTGATCTCCCCTATCTCCGGCATGCGGTGTGTACGGTGTTCATCTCATCTTGTAGTGTATCTCTTGTGCTTCCTATGGTTCAAGTTATCTCCCTTTTTCCAGTTGCTTTCCTTCCCTTCCACACTGTTTCATCCACAAGTACAGTACGTTAGTTGTTCTGGATCTCGGATATAATGTGTAAGATCCCCTCTGCTTCAGTGCGAGTTGTTGCAACCCCTTGCAAAATGGCAGCAACAAGCACGATCAATGGTCACATTGATCGCGACTTGGCGACCTTGGCGACCTGGCCAGCCCAGTCGCCCTACACTGCTGCCCCACACTTCCCGCTGATCTTTGCCTGGGGTGTCAAGTCTTGGCCAGAGTGGGCCAGTAGAAGTGTGGGGATTCCGCCGCAGTGTTGCTTCTTCCCTTGCACACACCCTGGCACCCTGGTGGAAAGTCCGGTTGGCGGTGTTGCAACACCGGCAGTTATCGGAGTTTTGAAGGTGAGGGCATTTTGTTCGTTTTCTTTGCGACGTGACTGGTCAAAACAACGACGCATAAGAGTGTGGGGATAGAGCTATGTTGAGAAAGAAAACTTGTCTCCGCTCTTTTGCTATTTTTTTCTCACTCACTTACCCATCCAAGCTTGAACCCACCCACTCGCCCACAAAACCTACCTCATCTCACCACTTGAATGGACCTTGAGAGAGAACTCGAAACCGATTGAAGGGACGGAATTTTTGAAACAAACTACAATGACAAGTCATCCACGTCCACATCGACAGCCGAACCCAACCAATCACGCGACAGCGGCAATGTTTCTGGATGTCAGTCAGCTTCGAGACCCTTCCAGCTCAAGGACAAAAGGATAAGTTGGAATTGGACAATCCAAAACGAAACAAAAGAAGCGAGATGCCAAATGCCAAGGATTATCCAGTGTTGTGTTACTTGGGGAAACGCTTCGAGAAAACTGAGCAAGTTTTCGGCGGTGAGTCCGAATTCACTTTCAAACCGCGAAAAAAGGAAAAGGGACCAAAAAAAAGTTTTGTACTCAGGCATCACGCCACAATAATATTACAAAAATATCTAAGTAATCTCATTAACCCAAATTGTTCCATTACACCACTTTCACTTCTCTCCAGCATATCTTCAATGCACTTCCTCAATGCCTGTTGAGCATCTCCCTAAGCCTCCTCTTCTCCGCCCGTCTCCTCAACCTCCTCAGCTTCTTCTCCTCCTCGGTCTTCTTGTACCGCACCTTGAACTCCACCGTCTCAGTAACATCATAGTCGCCCTTCTCATCAGGGTTACCAAACACCCTCAGCGCCCGCACAACAAGCTTGTACTTGCCAGCGGGAGCATAGGTGCCGTCCGCCAGGCGACCATCCCACTTCAGCTCGACCGTGCCGCGGGGATTCCACAGCGACGGCAGACCCTCAGGCTGGCCCAGCGAGAGGGTATCGCCGAAGACGAGGGTCGCCTTCTCCTTGACGGAGGTGCAGTTGCTCAGGGGGACAACATCGACGCGGACCAGGGGCGAGCCGAAAGATAGGGTGGCCACAAGCTTGGGCAGCTCGGTGCCGTTCCTGTAGCGGGTATCGTTGGCGAAGCCCTGGGGCGGGAGGAGGAATGTGACGTCATTGCTCAAGATGGGGGTGTTATCCTCATCGGAGCCACGGGACAGGTATGTCTTCCGCTCGTCGAGGACGGTGTGCGCCTTCAGGCTGCCGGAGACACCGACATAGGGCAGGGACAAGTTGGAGCCGTCGGTACCGTTAATGGTCACGTAGCCGGACCAGACGGGGAGACGGTCGACGTCGACACCCTTCGGTGGGGTGGCAGTCACCTTGATGACCTTGCGCTGGCCAGGGGCAAGTGTGAACTCGGCAGGCTCGAAGGCGAGCGAGGCGAAGTCGGCGGTGATCTCGCCGGGGAATTTCATCGGGGTAATGTCAGTAGCCTCGGCGAAGGTGTAAGCGGTCGCAGCACCGACGTTACCGAGCTTATAGGTAACCTCGGACTTGCCAGTATTGGAGACGCTGAAGTGATGGTAGGGAACGAAGTGCTCGGTGTCGTTGAAAGAGAGCGAGGAGACGCTCAGGAGGGTAGTCGCGTGGGCGGCGTCCCAGGCCTGGAGGATACCGGCACCCTGCTGCACGACGGGCGCGAGGAGCGGAGGCTCGGGGGTCTGGCCGCCGGAGCGGAAGAAGTTGGGCTTAGCAGTAGCAGACAGCACGTTCTCCAGGGTCTTGGGGTCCTTGGTACCGCGGACATTCATGAGCAGGGCGTAGATGGCAGCCGCCATGGGGCAGGACATGGAGGTACCGGAGAGGACGGCATAAGCGCCCATGTGGATGGGGTAAGTCGAGAGAATCATACCGCCGGGAGCACCGAACTGGGGCTTTACGTCGACCTCAAAGGTAGGACCCCAGGAGGTGAACTCGCTCATGTAGCCTGGAGTAGCAGTGTTCTCGAAGACAGTAAGGAACTTGCCGGCCTTGGACGGGTCGGTCATGGTGACGACGACCTCCTGGCCAGCCTCCATAGCGCGTACCCATTCCTCGCCCTGCTTGGCAGTGACCATGGCGACGGCCTCGACGCCGTCAACCTTGCCAGAGACCGTGACAGTGCCAGCGACATTGTTGTAGAAGAGCACATACTTGGCACCCTTAGCCACAGCATTGGTGATCTTCTGGACGAACGTGCAAGTACCACGACGGATAAGAACAATGCGGTCAGACAGATCAGGGGTATCATCGGGGTAGGGGTCGCAGCCGTGGGCCGGATCGGAGGTGTTGTAGTTAACAGTCCACAGAGGCAGAGTGACATCGGGCCACTCGCCAGGTTCGCCAGCAGTGAAGCCGAAGGCCGTAGCAGGGCCACCAGCAACAGTGTAGGAAGCATTGCTCAACAGAGCAGGGGTCTCAGTGTTGTCGATGGACGCGATGGCAGTGACCTTCTTGCCGTTGGCAGCAGTAGAAGCGTAGAAGATGCCAGTGGCGCCGTCGTTACCGGCCGAGACCACGCAAGGGACGCCGGCCTCGACGATGCGTGAAACAACAGCAGCCCAGGGGTCCTCACCCCAGCCGGAGGGACCACCAATCGAAGCAGTGATGATGTCGCTACCGGCCTCATAGGCCATGAGGTAAGCAGCAATCAGCACATCGTTGCCGACATCACCGTCGCAGCCAAACACACGGTAAGCGCCGAGGGTAACGCCCTGAGCGGCACCGATGATGCCGTAGGGGTTGTTAGACTGGGCAGCAATGATACCAGCGACGTGGGTGCCGTGGCCATTGCACGAGTCAACCGGATCGGGGTCCGGCACCGGTGTGTTCTTGCCGTTGAAGTCGTCGCCGACAAGGTCGCTGCCGTACGACACCAGGCAGCCGGGGCCGAAGCAGCCACCGAGCGCGGGGTGTCTGTAGTCAATCTGCATGGGGGTCGGCTGTGTCAGCCTGTGATACCCTTAAAACGGGCTTGGTTGCACAGGCCACTTACACCAGTGTCAATGACGGCAATCTTGATGCCCTGACCCGTGATACCAGCGTCGTGGAATTTGTTGACCTGGGTCATCAGGTGGGTCGAGAATGTATCGGTGCCATTGTCGCGCTTCTTGAGCGACTCGGCAATGTTCGCGACGGTGCTGCCCACGGAATGGATAGTGTGGCGGGGCAGTGGGTAACGGCGCACGGGGAAAACGTTCTTGACCTTGGGCAGGTCGGCCAGCTCGGCAGCCAGCTTCTCAGCATTCTTGGTGTCCTTGAACTGGATGGAAGCGCCCTTGAACAGCTTGAAGCGCAGATCCTTGCGCAGGGAAGCCTCGCCGCCGAGCTCTTTGACGAAGGCATTGGTGTCCTGGACGCTGTCAGCTTGTGTTTCATGCCAACTGAATTGCTGGTCGCACACTGACCTGATCGCCCTCATACTCAACGATGTAAGCACCAGGAACGATCTCGGGGGCGGCGGGCGCCGTAGTGCTGCTCGATGCGACGGCCGCACGGGCGATGCCGGCCGCAGCCAGCAGCGAAGTAAGGCGGACCATGATGTATTTATTAAGATAAGTAGGTGTCTTGTTCTCGGCCCCGGAGCGGGTGCCGGGTAAGCAAAACTAAAAGAGTGACGGTGAGAGGGATACTAGGAAATCGTATAAACGAATGGCTGGGACCAGCTGCAGGTCGCGGATCCCGAGTCCCTATATCACGTCCAAGAGCCCGGATGGCCGGTGAGGAGAGACAACGGCAACAACTGCAGCATTGCACCCGTCATATATAATTCCATATGCACCCTATACAGGTGTTGTCGTCGCCAGCAGCCAAGCCGGTACTGGAAGGTGAGGTTGCAACTCCACGGCGCGAGGTGAGCGAGCCCGAGGTTGCGGCCGAATTTACCCAAATTCTTCAGGTGGTCAATTGGGCGACCCCATTGGTAGAGATAGCGCAGCACAGGCACTTGCTCGACAAGGCAGGTCGTGCACGCCTCAGCCGTGGAATGTCACCTTGATGGGGCATGCGATCTCACGCCAAGCGCCGTTGTTTAATTTGCGTCTTCAATGCTGGCTCATCGCACGCTCAATGCGGCCCTCTCTGCCTTGCCCATTCAATCGGACGGCGTCGTCCATGACGTGATCGCCGGATCGCGGATGCCACGGATGTCAGTCGTCGTCGTCGGCCTGGGTCCATCACCGTGGACGTCGTCGTTGTCGTGGCTTGCATCCCTGCGGTGGACTGCTGCACTGCGAGGGATCGGGGATCACAAGCTTTTGCTTGGCATGGAGTGTTGCATTGGGTGGATTTACAGGGCGTGCAACGCAGTTTTCAGGGGCGATAGGGGTGCCTGTCGGTGCGCAAGACTCAGCAACGCAAGGCTCAGCGAAGATAGGTACCTACGGTAGAAGATGGCTTGCTGTGACGAATACCATCAAACTGCACAATCGCGGCACACAGAAGGATTTGCGGAACCAGAAATCGTCGGGCGCTCGGTGATCCAAGAATGGAGTGGGAGGCGGGACTCCCGGCGTTCCTGCATCCAACGCTCCATCCAACACGGCAGCCGTTGTGATGGTGCCCAGGAGTTGGTCCAGCGCTCCAGCGGCGCTCCCCGCATTCGCCCCACCTCGATGTGTCGCAACACGGCGACATTGAGTCTTGATTGGGAAGCCCAGTGCCTCCCCTGCTGCTGTCCCCTATCTTGAGAGCAAGACATGTCTATTGTTGTCGAATGTTCGAATTCCGCCGAAGCAAAAACAACCACTCTGATCGGGCCCAAAGGACCAGCATCACCATCGTGCCGCGTGATACTGCGCGCAAATGATGCAACAACATGTTGTGTTCCGCACAACGGTCGCAACCATAAAATCCATGGAAGGTGTGCTTGTGCCATCGGCAGTGACAAGCCGTCTAGTGTGCAGCATCTAACGATCAATTGGGGGCCAATGCCGATGCCCGAGAGCGCGGATATTTCTGTGCTACCGCGAATAGATTATCAGGCTGCAGTCCGTGATGCCGGCTCCAGGAAGCGGCTGTGCTGTTAAGGAGCGGCTTATAGGCGCTTATTGCGGTTATAGTGGTCTTGTATCGAGCCCATTTGGTCCGGTGCGGGCGGAAGCACAGGCCGAGTCCATCCAGGCAGCACAGAAACAGTGTCCAGTTTGAGCTCACGGCTATGGTTCGCAATGAATCCAGACAGATGGAATATGATGTTTGGTTAAGTCTTCCATGTTTGACTCTGAGCCTAGTGTCTCAGTGTCTCGATGCACAAATCCGCGTGGCTGGCGTTCCACGTCGGCTCCGTCTGCCAGCAAAGGACTTCTGCCGTACCACTTGCGACATGTTCCGAGACTGAATTTTACGAGATGCTGTGTCAGGTCAATTGGCTTGAAATTGGTTGAAGTCTTGTGAACAATATGTTAACGTAAAAAGTGGGAGAGAAGAGAAGCCCGGCTGAGTTTATGGAAAACAAGAAGCCAAATGGAAAACGCGGGGTGGTGGGTCCGGATCGCGAAAAAGAGAGCTTGGCTTCAACTCTGACCAATCAGGACTCTCGGAACTGATCACTTTTTTCACTGCGATCGATTCGAACGACGGCCAGTTCGATCCGGAAATCGATCAGTTCAGGCTTTGCTGCTTTTCTCCGTGACGTACCGCGGCCAGCAATCTTTGATGCGAGCTTTTTCGACCGAGATCTTTCTGTAAGAACCCCTCAGTGGATATGGCATGAGAGACTTTTGGCTAACCCCGATGTTACAATAGCCGCTGTCCATTCTATATGCGTGCAATCAATCCTGCAGCCATGTTCTGCCGAGCCTGTCTGCGCGCAAACGCCGTCTTCATCGACGCTGTGCCCTCCTCGCGGCTGCTCCTGTGGACATCCCAGCGCAGGTCGGTCGCAGCCCTTGTCAGCTCTTCCCGAACAAGCTCTATCCTTCGACAGACCCAGACCTCGACGAAGCTACCAAACCAGCGCATGTTCTCAACCTCCCGCATCCTCTCCTCCTCCCCAGCCCCAGCCGAAGGTGCTTCCTCAGCTGCTACAAGCACAATTCCTGAGAAGCCGACATACCTGACCGAAGGCGAGTCGCAGGTTTGGGACCGGCTGGTGGCCGAGTTTGCGCCGACTGAGTTGATCGTGCGCGATATCTCGGGCGGTTGCGGCTCCATGTACGGCATCGATATTACCTCGGAGAAGTTTAAGGGTTTGACGATCCTCAAACAGCAGCGCCTGGTTAATGCTGCGCTGAAGGATCTGATGAAAGATTGGCATGGAGTACAGTTGAAGACGAAGGCTCCGTAAGAGAGTGAAATTGTACAATTGTGGGTACTGGGCTTGGAGTTTGGCGTTAGGGCTTGACTTGAAAGCATGGTTGGCTTTCTGATCGTGTGTTTCTGGAACCAATATCGCGGAATTATGGACAAAGCGGTTAGATCTGAGTGTCAATTCTGTGTACATAATGCTCTTGGCTTCGGTCGGCCGAGTAGCTTATCTCCATTCAGTTGTTTTCGTGTTTCACAACTTGTCTCAATACTAGCGTTGCTAGAGTCTTTCATTGAAATCATCAAAGATGAACTCGATAATGACACCTGAACGCAGGACTTGAGCTGACAGGTCGAAGTCTTTTCGCATCATGGATGGCCATGAAGGTCAAAAGCCCTACGGCCTACTAAACAGGTTCTCAGGCCTTGCCAAACAGCTGTAGTGGCACTCAACTCTACATCTCTTGAGTTAGCTCTTCAAGTTCTAAAGCGTCGGCCATGATGCACATTTAGCATCTCCCCTTGGTCATAGACCCGTGATGTCTCAGAGCCAGGCGCAACGCCAGACCAGGACCCCCTGATCTTAACACTTGGCTCCGCACAAGCCAAGCATCTGACCAATTAAACGCCGCGATCCCCCCACGCGACGCGGCTCTCCCCCCGTCCGAAGCGGGTCCTCTCACAACACAAAACACCCAACGTCAAACAGCATCTTCATCCCATCTGCCAGTCTGCAGCATCCTTCAGCCAGCTCTGTCAGCTCTCCAACCTGCAGATAAGCCAGATCTCACATCCCATTAACCCAATCATAGCAATGCATAGCCCTTCAACTTCCCCAAACGGGCGATGGTCCCACACCCCTTCCCACCTAACCCTCCTTTGGCTGCTCATATCCCTCCCCCTCGTCGCCTGGGACACAGGCTACGTCCTTCTGCGGCCACACACCTTCCCTGGAGGGAAGTTCCACGCTCCATTATGGATACCGTACGCGCTGTACGGGGAAATAGATCATATGTATGGGGTGAAACAGTGGGAGAGGGGGAATGGGTTTACTGCGGCGCAGAGTGTTATGAACGTTGTTGAGAGTTTGTTGTATATGGGGTATTTGTTTGTTTGGTGGAGTCATGGGAGGATAGAAGGGGGGAGAAGGGTTGTTAAGGGAAGGGAGGGAGCGCTAGCGGTGGTGATGGGGTTCAGCGCAGCAGTGATGACGGTGAGCAAGACGGCATTGTACTGTGAGTTTGATCTGGATGCAGTGAGGATTCCTTGGCAGGAGTAAGATGCTGACATGAGGCAGGGCTGAATGAGTATTATTCTGGGTTCGACAACATTGGACATAATTCGCCGTGGACGCTGTTCTTTTTATGGATTATTCCAAAGTAAGCTCAGATTTTCTTGTCTTGGGAGTCTAAGGCGGGTGGGGTTGCGCTGACACTCTCACAGCGGTGCCTGGATTGTCTTGCCAACGATCACAATTATCTATGGGCTAGGGTCGGAGATCATTAACGGGCTGGCTCAAGCTCCCCCAGATAAGAAGAACCAGTAATCTTTGTCAGTGAGTGGATGAAGACACGACCAAAGATATCTTGTTATATCAACCGAATGCTCAATATATGCTTGCTAGCTGGCACATAAGACTTCCTTGAGTACAACCAATCACAATATTACAGATGTACTAACTACTCATCAACTGCCCTACTCACTACGTGGCCCAAGTCACTTGTTTCCTGATTGAAACAAACTGTTTGTTGCTTCTCCATGTGCGCATCTCCATCTCGCCACTGGTCATTAAGTTCTGCTTCAACCTATGCATACTCCTCCAGTTCACAACAATACAGCCATAATTCCGGGTGTGACATTTTTGCAACTCCAAAAATTATAGCCGTTCTCCAGGCAAGAGAATGGTAAAAGTATGCAACAAGCCTTTAAGAACTTTGTTCAGCTCCCAGCCTGGTCCCCCCTTGCTACCATACACTTTTCGATGTAATTCTGGTCCAGTCTCGCACATGTGATGTCCTATCTTGTCGATGAATGTACGATTACACCACCCTCGCCCTCAGCAGCGTGCACTTCAATGCATATAAAATCTTCGAGATCCATCCTCAAGCGCAGGCACTCCACTGGGGGATACTTGTCTCCTTGGCATCAAAGAAGCACACGATAATAGTTTCTGCGGGGGCTGGATCATGTATTTCCCAAACAATTTATGGTCCTTATGATTGACATTGATTGTCTTAACCATGCTGGTAAGTTTGTTTGCCATGTGTGTCAGGTGGAAGATATCAAGGTCGAATAGGACAAGTTCCTAGCAACTTCACTTGAGGACTTGAAAGCTACATAGCTGGACTTGCTGAGCCACAGCCACTAAAATGTACAAAACCCATGGAGATGAAGCATCAGTTGGACGAGGCGAGGTATGAAGCAGAATAGACTAAGAGAAGGCTTTTGAACTGCAGCGCAATTTCGACAAGATAGAGAAGGCTGAGGGACAAGACCAGAAATTCTGATGTTCTATGCCATTCCAAGTTTACCGTTCAGGCTAGTTGAAGGTAGAAGTCACAGAAACTGTGTTGTTCATGCTGAAGGGGGTGAGACCTGTTCAACGGTAACAAGAGAGGGGTATACAACCTGATAAATAAGACATTTCGTCTTTTGCACAAAACGTCATTGAAATTGTAAAGATAAACAATGACAATAGTTGCGAATTCCTGGAATTCCAAGCATCTGTATCCCGCAGAGTTGCTTGAACAGCCACTCGAACTTCCCCAACTCGTAGATCTCTCTTATTGAAATTTTCTTCAACCTTGGAGCTCAGCTTCCTAGTACTTCCCCTTGTCAAATCTTGGCATAAGTTGATATTCTCGGTGAGTCTCGCATTTCCGATCACCTCGTCCGATCCTATAACTTTCTGTCGTATAGTAAACAGGGTAGTACTTCACAAATCAAATTTCTAACAGCCATTTGACATCACACACCACGTCACCCTACGTGTCAAGTCACATCTGTATCCTTACGTCATAGATCAAGGTACGATTCCAGCTGGCTTTCACAGCCACTCGATGTTCTCCGCATTTTCTCGGTGTTTTCACGGCACAAAGATGACTTTTCCTCGAAATACTAAGGTACATTCCAAACCAACTTCCCTTCCACTGACTTACCGCCAGAAACCATACAGATTCACGACCCTCCCGCAATGCCAGTGTTACAAGATCTATGCCACTGTGCAAACAGTTTTCTCCTAACTTCACCCGCATGCTTAAACCCTCTGCTCCCAACTTGCCTCTCTCTCCAAACAAAGAAAAAAAAAGCCGACCACTCCGTGCTTTCCATCCTCACAAAAATGCAGAACTTCTAAGCCCAGCGTGTCGCATTCACACAGGCCATTAACAGCCAAGTGAAGTTGTTTGCCTGGACGTTTGGGCAGTTGCGGGGGTTGGATGCTAATGCCGAAACTCAGCAACCTATGCCAGATGTCGCCAAAAACCCCAACCAGCCGGGCGTGCCACAAGGTGCGAAACCTAACTTGGAATACCTCCTCACTTCCGTGGAGTCCACTCTCTGCCTTCAGGCACCCTCAGTACCTCTGGGATGGGTGACAATGGGCAGTAACACTTTGCCGCCACAAGTGGCCCAGCCTGAGCTGAAGTTTGCTTGGCCCGCTGCCAAAGTCCAAGACAACAGCCAGCACCGGGCGACTGCCTTGCCCAACTCCGAGCAAGCCACAGCCAGCAATTCCGTTAAGGGTGATGGCTGACTGAGGAGCTGGTCATACCAGATAAAACCAACTCACCAGCCCAAGTGCAAATGCCGTCTCGTATTCATGGAGTCGTTTTTGCTGAGTAGGTTCAACACTTACAGAGGGAGTTGTACGAGGTTAGGATGAGCTTATTAGTGGAGCAGATGAAGTTTTTGGTGATGCAGGGGGGGCTGCAGCAGGCAAGAATCCCTCAGCAGTAAAGAATATAAGGGATGTGAAGTCAGACCTATGCTTTCGGTGTACAGGAGTGTTCAAAGGAAAAGGGGGAAGTCATTTCTGTGGATGCTTTGGCGTGACCTGCGTTCTTTCATCGCAACAGTCGGCCTGATGGCTTTAATGTGACTGGAGTGAAGACAAGCACATGTAATGCGACAATGATAATGACATTTCCTCTGGAATGGCTTAATTTTGTTTGTAGCTGCCAAGCGTCATGTGCTTTTCCGCCTGCCCTTTTCGCTGTCGGATTAATTTTTCATTGGCACAGACCAATCGGGCCGATTGAAGGCAATCCGAATTGCAACAGGTTGACGCATTTCAGGGGTGAACATGCACGAGCATGGCTGTAGACAAGGCTGTTTATGAAGATTCTCATAGTTCAAGATCCCAATTCTTTTGCTCTCAGGAAAAGAAAAGAAAACAAAACTCAAACTGCCGTGACTGTATCGATTATAATGTTTTCTCGGAGCGTGTTGCTGGGATCACCTGCCCTGGTGGCCATTTCGGCGCTCCAATTGGCGAGCTGTGCGGTGTCCACCTTGGTGCCCCGTGCAACATGACGCGTCGTTGGTAAACATTGTCGCGTCTTGTTGCAAACTGTTTTTGCTAACAACCATCCATGCTAAACTCGATGAACACGAGAAAATCAGATCGCCGTCCGAAGTCCCCTCTTTCAATCCATAATTATCTCCGGCAATGGAAGTCGAAATTGACATGCTCCCCTCCCCTCAAGACGAATTGATGCTCGAGACGCTAAGCCCTATACCTAACCCCGACCTGCACAATGAGCTAGAAAAAGCCCTCGAACGCGAGTTAGCCGACATGGAAGAGCTGCGCAAGACGCTGAACCACCTGCAATCGCTACACGAGACACAAAAAATCTCTCCTCGATGAGATTTTCCACACCAAGCTAGCGCTACAAAAGCAACTGGAACACTTGGGTGTTGAGGGGGATGACTTGGAGGATGTCCCGCTCGAGAGCCTAGATCTTGTAATTGAGGACCCAGATGTCGCGCTGGACACGATGTTGAGGGCTCAGCAGGAGCATCTGGCTGCGTTCAGGGACT